GCAAGCCTGGGGGGGGGCCGTACCTGGGTAGCGATAATTTGCTCTGTATTATGAACACGAAAGATCAAGGACAAGATCGAGGGCAAGATCAAAGATTGTTTCCCCGTCCTTCGTGCAATTGCCGAGTACTTCTCTTAGCTAGTGGCGAGCTGATTTTGAGATATATATTTATAACAAGATGAAAGAAAGCATCAAAGACCCATCAAGCGCGGTCTCGACTAAGAACCTCCTTGCACAACAAATCATAACACCTCCATCGGGTGGAGCAGAACCTTAGTCGTGAAACGGAACGGCGTGCCAATAGATTTTGGATCATGTCCACAGACAGGCACATGGCTTGCATCTTCGTGCTCCATGATTATGGAGCAACAAGATTGCAAAATCCAGAGCCACATTCCGCTTTCGACCATTCGATTCTCCCCCACGAGTTGAGCACAGAAACAACGACAATAAGTCCATTTTTAGTAGATGATCCAAATACGTTTGGAGCAATTGCGTCATGAGAGCGTCGTTTAGTCACAGGAGTCCCATTTTTTGGTGCTCGTAGTAAGCTAGTATCCAGTCCTCAAAACACAGGCGACCACTATGGTAGAAAGCAAGTCCAGTTTTGCTACTACAAGGGACACCATTGCTCTCCCACGTCCCGTACGTAGAATGACGAACAAGTGCTGCATGTAAAGACCTACTACTAATGGCCCGCAATCGACGTATTTCATCCTGACTAAAGAATTGTTGTGTTAGAAACCGTATTTCTGTACCTGGCAAGGTCCCGTCGCTGTATACTTGTACCCAGTAGGGTTCAAGCATGGACTTGTGGTGTTAACAGCTACTTGTAGGGTGGAAAGCCTCCTTGGTAGCGAATCATTCAAATCGGTGAGGACAATGCTGTTTGGAGTGTGCTGCTATAGTGCATCTCCAGTGCACGGCCTCGCTGGTTTGAGGAGTAAGATATGAAAAAGTTCATGAAAGCTCACACCAATGGCAAGGTAATTCACGCTCATACAGCAATCACGGCCGTCAGCGTGAAACAAAATTAAGTGCGGCGGTATAGAGCGATACCTGTCTCGTTGTAGATTTGTTTATTCACGTGCGGGAAACCCATAGTAGACCATCTGGATGTATGGATCCCTCGGCCATCTGAACCCGGTACAACATGCCGAAAATTGGTTTGAGAACCGTCAATGATTTGATCTGAAGGCCGCCTACAGCGAGCAAGATTCAAAAGTCCGTATCTAGGACATGGCAAGGGATAGGGAAAGGTGTGCCTTCTTTCCGTGCCGAGTTTCCTTCGCTGGACCCGAAGAGACGGCACACAAGCAGGGTGACATTGCCTTTACTTTCTCTGGTCGTGGGTGGACTTTTGCTTCTGCAATAGCACTTCTGAAGGCGTGTGAGTAGACCTCTATTGACATGTTCGCCATTCCTCAGCCAGTCACGATGTTCTGCTAACCGCGGACACGGGACAGTTCTTGTGAGTAGTGTCGAAATGTACTCCCTTCGATGTCGTCGTCACGATCAAGACTCACTTCCATTCCTTAGGCTGCCTCTCTCTCTCCATGACACCTATGTCCAGGGCTTATCCCTTTGCTCTCGAGTCTGCTTCTGTACCTCAGAGCACTTCTTCTGAAGCTCCAACAATAGAATGCTCGGAAGTAATACACCTCAATTGATGTAACTTCTTCGTATGAATGATTTAAGGTCAGCGCTGCACGCTGAATAAATTCTGCGTCGATTGCCTCAAGTCCGTTGTTTCCAGAATATGTTCCACATCGACTGGCATATGAACAAGGGCGTCTCCAGACCCGACAGTTGTACCACTTGACAGCATTGCTGGCGAGCAACATCAACCCGCCCTCTGTAGGGCCTCGAACAATAGCCTTGGCTCTACACCAATCTTGTTCCCGCCGTTGGTAGTCGTTCGAGACCAGGTGATAAATCTCCACCACTTTAGCGACGAAAATCATTGACACTGAGACGATCTTCAATTACTGCTGAGTCGCGTTGGAAGTGTAATCCAACCTTCAATTTCAGAATTGGCAATCTGATTCCACTGTCATCGAGAATGAGTTGAGTTTTGAATCGCGAAGGGCCCTCATAGTGGATGTTGATGGAATATTTTCTGCATTGTTGACTTCTTCGGCCAAACCTGGGTCTAGGATGCTTCGAAAGTCTGAGCATAAAAGAGTGGTTAAGTTAGATTGCATTCCATGTGCCACTTGGTGGAGAATTTGGGTGGCTGCTTTAGATTCACACGCCCAACGTAGGATGTACTGCTGCTTCTGCTTGCTGAAGAACCGGACTCTTCGGCAAGGTGTTCATAATAGGTCAGGAAGACCGATGTGACATCTTCTCGGCTCCAAGGTTTCAAGACGGAGGCGAAGCGAATCATATCCTTCGCATAACTGAAGACGAAGGGACTAGATCACATACCGACTCCTCCTCCCCATCCTGGAGATGGATTGTCTCCCGACACTGGAATGACCGCTCATCCCCCTCGTCCAGCATCTCCCTCTCCAACTCCGCCAACCTTTCGTCCTTCTGACTGCTCGCGGCAGCCCTTTTCTTCGAAGTGGCGTCAGTGCGCCCGTGGTTCCTGCACCAATGCTTCAGGTGGTGGATGATATCATCCGCCCGGTGCTGCGTAAATGGGGTCTGTTTAGTCTTTGAATCTAAGCAGAATCTATCGTCGCCTTTTGTGTCGTTATCATACCACTTGGAAGAAAGCCGCCTGAGGCAGCCACATGAGCTTCCTAAGACCAAGCCAATGAATCAGTCATCGAGTTTTTTTGCCAAAGGCAAAATGGTAGAGCTGGCATTCCTCCACTTGGTGAGAGTGAGGCTGTGGATGATGAATGGATCCAGAACACAACATTGGAGAAGACCACCCACGACCCCGACATGGATCCATCGCGAGGACCCAGCCTCCCTTCTCGGTGCAGAGGCGACTGCCCGTTGGACAAATCAGAAACCAGAGTCATTGCGTCGTAATTCGCCTCTACTCCGCACGAAGGACATCGGCACGTCAGCAGAGGCAATATCATCGTCTTCGAGTATGTCGTCTCATCCTCTTCTGCTGGTGCAACGGTTCCCATAGGACCTGTTGATAGAGATGTTATTGTGGCTCCAGGGGAGAGCAGCGATGATGGTGCAGAACTGGGTCTAACAGGACTCGATAAATGTACTGCTGTATCGGGTTCTAGACCATCTAGCTAAAGCCAGGCCATACTCGTGTGCTTCCTCCTGCTGTCTTTGCTGTCGCTATTGATGCTACTACTACTGCCGCTGCATCCAACTGTCACCGTAGTTGCTGTTTCTGCTACTGCTGTCGTCGCTGTCCACGATGTAGCTTCTGCGGCGGAATTCTTGAAGACATGTACGCCGTCTTGATCTCCACATAGATCGCCAGATGTAGCGTGAGTTTTAGAGTGTAAACCATTTCCCACGCCTCGGAAGCACATTAGATGATGTCTGTTTCTACATAGATAGCGAGATGTAAGGAGTCCTCTATGGACTGTCCCTTGACGAAGTGTTAGTGGATCTGGCGACGGAGCCCGGCGGGAGAATGTGACTCTTGTAGGTGGTGGAATCAGTAACGTCCATAAGACGTTTAGTAGTCGCCGATGAATAATGCTTTCGAATTCTACAGAGAATGTGTTCCATAAAAGCGATGTATCCACCAGGGTCTGTCACGCTTGACAGTGTTCAGGGTTGAAAGCAAAGCAAAGCTTTTCATCGTCGTCAAAGCACCAGAAAGCCATCAGTGGTCCCTAAGATTATGGTCTGCAATATTATACCTTCGATAGACGATAGTATTGCCGTACTATGAAGAAACTCATCGAAAGGTTGTCCGGGAGGAGGGCAAGCAACTGGATTGTGAACTTTTCTCCATCTCATCCCCTCGAGACTTGGGCCGCAGAGGGATTATCTTGCCCGTCTCGAAGCAGTGACGACAAGAACGATAGTTCCAGCAGTCCAAGGACACCAGAGCTGGACTACTTTTGGTTCTGAAGTTCGCCATCCGAGGAGCAAACAGCATTATCTCCCCCTCACCCAGAAACCCATGGCATACATGGCAAAATTCGTTAACCAAGGAAGTCAGACAAAACACCTTAGACCTCTCAACAAAGGAAGATATTCTCAGAGAAGAGAAGGACGGAGGATGAGGCGAAAGGCGCCCCACATCTGCGAGCAAGGAGTCATCTGGGCCAGCCAACGAACCCAAAATCTCAAACGATGTTCTCGAAGTCTCAGACAGGAAGCGGAAGAAAGAGAGCATAGGCGAGAGTGTGCCGATCTCGAGAACAAGTCAAACGAGTGAGAGAGGAAAAGATACCACCTCCCTCTGTATCAAGTAGGTGGCGTGAGCTCTCCTCACGACCAAGACAGAAGAGTACATGTAGCTTTTCTCTGTCGGTGAGGAAGCTACATGCCCACCTCGGCAGACAACGTGAGGGGAAACCATGAGCAGGGCTGGGTTAGTGACGGTGATACGAGTGGTATGTCCACGCAAGAAGGCGAGGAGGAAGGACCTAGGCGCCTTATACGGTTGTTGTGCATTGCCAGCTAGAGGAGGCAGGGGTGGTGAGGGATATATATTTATATATGAGTACTACTCATCAGGCTCACTGCCTGCGAGCTGACCAGTACAGGAAATAAGGAAGAAAAGAAAGGAATGGAGGGAGAAGGAAGCAACTTATATACCCCACACTACCCAGCCCCCTTCTTTTCACAAAAGCGTCACGCGAGATGGTGAAAGAGTGAGACAGTGAAATCCGGGGGCCGGGGAAAGGTGAAGAAAGCGAGACGTGAAGCATAACATTCGTGAAAGAGTCCGAGACATGAGGACGTGCGCGCCTTGAATATAGTAGGGTAGGGGTGATGAATACAGACCCACACCAGATGGTCATCGCGAGTCACTCGTCTTCGCCGCCGCCACCGCCGCCGCCATCACGCTGCGTGGTAAAGTATCACCCCCACTTCTTTCACTCGATTCGTATCCGCTACGCTTTCACACCATCTTCACTCCCACTACTTCCCCCATTTGCATTCACCGGCTCACCCTTCCTCTTTTTCACAACCCTCAGCCCCGCCATCAACAACACCAACGCTTCCAGCCCCAGGATAACAGCCAGTGTGACCATAGCGCCGATAACGCCAGCGACGGGCTTGCTGACCCCTCCACTCCCACCCCCACTCTTGTCTTGCGCAGCGGGAGGAGGTGCAGTGCTAGCGCAAACACTCGTGCTATTCCCACAAGCTTGACACCAATCCTTCTGATCCCCAACCGCGAACTTACTCATGCCTGCTGCGAAATCCGTCCACGCTATTTCTGGCGCCGCGCCCTTATTGCCAAATAGCGGGTAGGCGACAGGATCATAGTCGTTAGATGTAGTCCCATTATGGAACAAAAACCTGACTTGCACGTCTTTTGTATCTATCGCCGCACTGCCGGTTGGTGGCGTAGCGGTGGTGAAGAGCTCGAATATCATAGCGGACGCGTAGTCGGGTATGCCGTAGAAATCGGGTTCAACGGCAGGCAAGGCGGCGAGGGAGAAGAAGGAGAGGAAGGAGGCGTAGGCGCCGAATTGGATGGTGAGTTTGGGCGCTTTTTGGGGGGTTGCGAGGGTGGCGTTGAGGGCTTGGAGGATTTCGGCGGCGAGGACGGCGCCGGAGATGGCGCGGATGGGGTCCGAGGTGTTGGCTGCGAGGGCGTATTCGTGAGTGTCGGCTAGAGTGCGGATTTGGGTTAGGGTGGAAGGGGTGAGGAGGGAGGAGGAGGGGATGGTGGCGTTGTGGATGCTGGCGACGTTGAGGATGTCGAAGACTGGGGCCGTTAGTGGGGTGGGGTAGGGAGGAGTGGTGTGGGGGGCTTACTGGAGTATGCATTCTTAAAGGTCATGTCATTCGCGCCGAGTATCCCGTTGACTGTTGGTGTGAGGTTCTTGTAGAAATCTGTTGTGCTGTTCAACAGGCTCTTGTATTCGGCAGAGCTGAAGTAGTTGTCTGAGCTCACGATTGCGTTTGCGCAATTGCTGGATCCTTGGAGCCATGCAGAATTCTCACTGCCAGCCCCGCTTGCGGCCACTTGGACTGGAATCAATTGATATCCATTCAAAGGTGCACCAATTATAGTCTTGTTCGCCAGCGTCTCTTGCCCAAGTTTTGGTCCCACTCCCGGATACAGACCCTGTAGAAAGCCCTGGGCGGAGTTCTGGAGGACATTGTCGACGGGGGCAGACACTGCAAGCTGTGAGAGCTTCACGATGTCGGCGTTGATGCCCTGGATCTTGTGAGAAGCGGTGGATGAGACATAGCGCTGCCTGTAGTATGTTCCTGAGTCGTACACTTCGCTGTAGCCGAGATCGGTCAAGTTTGCAGGTGGAGTAGCCTTTGGAGTTCTATCGCCATGGCGATGGAAGATGGCAACTCCGAGGACGGTTTCGGCAGCGGAGGAGAGGGAGGTCAGAGAGACGAGAAGGAGGATGTGTTGGAGCTGCATCATGTCATGTCAATGTGAGGCCAGTAATGTCAATGAGATACATATGAAGGACAACGCATTGCTATATGGCATCTCGGCCGTGGAAATGGGCGTTATCGTACCCCACATTGATTGTCTCATTGGTGTGCTACTAGGAGCCGTCTCGTGCAGGCAGCGCCAAATATAGGGCTCCCAAATATAGGCGGTAGGTCCCGATGGAGGTCTGAATGCTGAGCATTGGTCGCGCAATAGCTCGACGAGGAGAGTAACAAGATATCACGCATTGGAATGAAGGTCGAAGTTGCACAGGAGGAGGTAGAAGCCTGGGGGAGGGAGAGCAGCACGACATTTCTGACCAATGAGACGTTTTTGCCAGAATGATGTACTCGTAGGCCGTTGTCTTGGCATATATCTCTCTCTCGGAAAAGTAGACAGCATCGTATGTCCTTGTCTTGTTTGTCGGTGGCGTTACTAGAATTACCAACGGGTTTGATGTGAAGTACCCGCGATCGCATTGAAGACAATGCTATTGTTACAGATCCGTGGTGCGAGAGCCGTACGGGCTGAAAATTAGCATGTTCGATTTATGCAGTGCATAAATCTTGCATAAACATCGCTCCTTCCTGTTTGGGATTCCGGGGCTGGAAACCCCGTTCTCTGCGTCGTCCTGTCTTCCCATCACTGTCGTTGAGTCCCTCAACATGTCAACATCTTCCAACGCTCAACTTGTAGTCGTCAAAGACTGGTAATTGTGTCTGTCATGCAGGCAGGCTTCCGCTCCAAACCAACGATTGATTTCCCTGGAATGGTTGCATCTTTCGGAAATCCGCCATTCTTCGCTATTTTTATAGATGGATAAAGGCTGGACCCATGACCCTTCGGAGACCGCGAGAAAAGTACTTCCGAACGTCGAGACGACTACTTCTGTGATACAACCGCAGGTAGCTAGAAATCGCCTTCTATCGCTGCTTAATTTGGCATACTTCAAGCTATTGGAAGGATGACATTGCTTCCTGAAAATTTGTCTAGAATGAACATTTAAAGACTTCCCCCAGTAGCTTCAGCCATTCACTGGTAAATGAGCTCATCTGTGGCTAGCCCTCGATGATCGCCTTATCGCCACTTCGATGGCTATCATCCGGGCTAAGAGCAATTGCGAGTTTCTTGTGATGTCTCCTGCCGGAGGATATTTACCAGCGTTATTCAACATGTGGTCTTCCATGCTCTGTTGGCACCTGGATATCTCAAATCCACGCTCGACCGATGTGATCCCATTCCAACGTTTGTGCATCTTTCTGGTCGGCCCGCGTCTAATGTGAGATGCTGATGGAGTCTGTGCCCGTCAAATCGGGCACTGCTTTGAACGCGATCATACTTTGACGTACGCTGTGATGACTCATAGTAGCAGAGAGGATGTTCGAATGCCTGAGAAAAGAAACGGCAGTGATATTTACGGTTTCGGCGTGTGCAGCAGGCTCAACGTGGAGAGTCCCTGCGTCAATCAATTAGCTCCATTATGTCCTCCATTTTATACGGCAACAACCAGCTTGCCTTTTGAAATTTGGGTGTCTTCGATCATACTCGCTCTCTCATCTTTGACGAGTTTATACTGCACGCTCAGCAAAAGTGAGGCCTTTTACGGAATCCCAGCGCTAAGATCTCCCTGATTCATTATATACGACCAAATTCGGAAAGCGACGCTGCCCCCAATGCGCTTCACGCACTAATTCACGCAGAAGCGCTGTCTGAAATTCAACACTCCCATCATTTCACAATGCAAAGAAAAAGTAACAACGGGATCTCGATTGCAGACTTTCAATCAATACAAGCTTGTCTCACTTGTTGGCCACTTTGAATTATCACTTATCACGAGTTCATGAAAATGATTACGCGCGGTCAATCAAAATATCTCCTACACCATAGATCCTGCAGTCACGGTTACACTCCACAGAGGTCTGGACAACTTGAGAACACATCGAGATGGCCGCCTGAAATAACGAGTCTTCCGCGTACAAACTCCAAACCTGCTTGAAGGCTGCCTTATTCCGGAGGTCAATCTTCATATAACAAAAGTCAATCGGGAATCTCGCTTTCGATCTTGGAACTCGGTCGAAAAAGGCACGAATTGTCCCTGTTGAGCGAAATTGCCACATGTTGCTCCACTCTTTGCCCCCACGTCCCAAAAGCCAATTTCAACTCTGTCATCTGACGATGCCATTGACCATCACGATGTTGTTATGCGGCTCAAAAGTATTTACAGTGCTCTGGCTCGGTATGTGCCGACGCCGGCAACTAGGGACTGGCAGATTCCGTATTGCCGCATAGCCTTGGAATATGAGACTGCAGGTTTGGGCCGGGCATGACTCATGCAGCAGGTCTGTTTCACTGGATCAGCTTCACATCTCGAACATGCTCTGGCTCTCGAGACTTGCCGCGATTGGTCTATTTACGGGGCAGAGTCATCATTTGCGCCCACATGCGTGAATGACGAGGCTTGTTCTTGGCAGGATCGACACCAAGGCCAGGCTCAGCCTGAATGTGCTGCTCTCTCCCTCCCTATGACGGAATATGTACTCACATGACAATGGCTTTGTCACATTGCGGACTACTCTGATTGTCAGAGATGCCCTAGGTCCACATGACCGACTCCTTACGATGCGTGAATAATATTTCCCAACAATCCATCCAAAACAAAGAGCAGCCTGGCCAGCGGCTCCGTGTTTACTGATCGATACACATGGTATCCACCAAAATTGAGTGCGTTCAAGGACCAAGTCCAGACTTTTCCAGACTCCACTGCCCAGGATTGCTTGGACAGCGTAGATCATTGCCAAACAGGTCGCCACCTACATAACGCTCTGATTGGGTGCTTGTCTCAGCCTGCAGCAAGCGCCGCTATGGTGCGCATGAACATCGGTCAAACGATCGGTGAAACCGAAACACAGGCAGAAGACGCAAATGATGCGATTTGTACGTCATTTGAACTTCCATGACGATCGGAAGCCCTACAGTGGATTAAGCATCGGAGAAATTACGGGGCTGAAATTGGCTGTGGTCAGGGCAGGGGGCGCTCGTATGTACGCGTCCGAGGTATGTTCTGCATACGATAGTCCTCCAAATCACGCAAAGTGGCGAGTCCGGATAGTGCACAGTCTCACAGTCGGATGCTCGCATACGAATAGGAAGAAATCGGAGCGGAATGCGCGGTGAGTCCGGTTGGTGAGAAGGATACCGACATCTCAACCGCTTATGGAACGAGAATGACTTGAGGCTATACCGACATTCTCACACAAAGTGGTATGATCAGCCCAACATGATACAGCTGAAAGGGTAGCAGGGTCCTGTCACGGGTCAAGACCTTGGCTTACGAGCCCTGAACGCGTCAACTGGTCATGCGTCATCTTCACACTCACCGATTTAGCAATATGACGAGGGCTTCGACCTCGGCCACTACTGGAAGGCTGCATGGCAGCTGAAGTGCCCGCTCTGGTGTGGGGGATCGGGGAAGATCCGTGGGGCAAGCGCCAAAGGCGGCAGTCAGCTAAGACATCACCCACGATCATTCAATGAGCTCATCGATGATGTAGCCACAGGCGTTTCAGCCTGCAGTTGTTCAGCAGCTGGCATCCTGCCTGCTTCTGTAAGCGCTCGCCAAACCCACCCTCGATCGCGCCTGCGAATATGCGTGTGACACAAATCACCATCCTTCAGCCAGTGAGGTTCTGCATTTCCCATTTCCTCGTGTTTTTAGCTGGCTCTGGACTTTTATAGTCGTGATTTCTACCCTTGCCTGCTCTCTGAGCCGCCTTTTGCCTCCAAGACTCAGCCCAAAACCCTTTTTCCATAAGCAGCCAATGTTCCTTTCTGATGATATCTTCGGTTGCCTCTCCGAAATACGCCCGCCAGGCGATTGTCAACGATTTGGTGGGAAATTTTCCGTGGGATTTCGTTCGTTTTGGTAAACTCAGGAAAATGTAACCACGATGCTACGTTTGGGGGACGGTGGATCCTTCCCCCAACATGGGGCCTGCTCACATGGTGAATCTGGCTCTGCTCAAACCCAATCTCTGCCTTCGGATCGAGATCGTATACTCGTTCCTTGTACTGCTTCTGTGCTCTCGTACTGTCCTCGAATCGTTGTTGTCCAGGAAAGAACTCTCACTAGCTTTTCAAAATCTATTTCCATGATTTCTATTGAGCTTCATGCAATTACGTATGCCAACGCGGATGTGGTGCATGATGCAACATTCCCTTCAAAGCGGTCTAGCGGATCTACAGATAGCTCCCGTGTTTATGATTTCCAAGCCTTGCCTCACCTGACGAGGGATGATTATTATGTGCATATGGCTTCCCTTGCATGTTTTAGTGCGGGTCAGCAGAGTCAGGGATTCTTCCTAAAGCGTGGAGCATGCAGCTCTCCCCGCTTGTAACCCTTCCCGCCCACATGTTCGATCTCGCCTGTCTGCCGTTTGCCATCTGCTTGTATATAATACTTGGTACCTCCCCCTTCTTCTAGACCCCATTCCGATCTGTTCAAGTCACTAAGTACTCTTTCCAAACTCTGCTACTGGTCAATGAACAAACTATCAAACGTTTTACTATCTATCAACTGTGCAAAGCCATAGCAATACCGCCCCGACAACATCAAGCCATCACCTCGCCGTCATGCGTCGTCTTTCTCTCATCGCCCTCACGCTATCAACGATACTGGAACCAGCAGCCAGTCTACCAGTCTCTGCACCAGAACCAGATGACAAGGTACATCCCCATCTCATGCACCCCACACCTCCACCTTCCCAATACATCTGCACTCCACCTCTCCCCCTTCCCCTTCCCCTTCCCCTTCCTTTCCCTCAACCATCACCCCTCTTTCACACCCTCCCCTCCTCTAACGACCCGCCACTAACCACCCCTCCAGCTAAAACTCCAAATAAAACGCGACATAGCCTGCTCCTGCCCATCGCCCTCCAACAACCCCGCCAACAACGCCGGAGACTGGTACTGCGGCGACTCACGCCTAGGAACCTACCACATCCCCGACTCCCTGCCGCGCGCCATCTTCACCGAATACTACCGCTTCGGCAACGTCGCCCCCACCGACTTCTTCACAAAATTCTACAACGACCAAACCCAAACCTGGATCGGCGGCGTCAACCCCATGTTCCAAGCGCACGCTTCCGGCGCCTCCTTCAACGCCGTGCCCACCCTCATCACCCCCGACGGCGCCTATCAGCACATCGACGGCTTCGGCGCCGACGGCGCCACCTACGCCTTTCTGAACGGCACCCCCTACGCGCACCGCAGCGTTGCCCCCAGCAGGGTCGTGCCGGATAATTACCAGCATTTTACGGTAATGAAGGCGTTTTGGGCGAGTGTGGGGAGAGTGCCCCCGTGGTTCGGCCAGCCGGGAGGTGGACTGGGGTTTTTTTTGCAGGATGGGAGTACGTGGGGGGATTTGGTCCGCAATGGCACTGTGGCTAATACCACGGATGTGCAGAATGGGGGGATGAGCAGTCCGAATGTTTGTTGATGACTTGGCGTCATTGTGGGTGACGACGACGACGGCTTTCTGGACACACATACTTTTTGGAGGGCCGTCGATGTGCGTGCTGGAACGTGGAGTTGGGGCGTGAATCGTCACCCCCCGCTCGATCTCGGACGCATCCGATGCACGCACGTCGGAGAATTGCGATCGAGAAGGATTGCGGGCTTGCTGCGCCTACGCAGGTCGGCACAGCTTTTGTCTGAGCTTTGTGTTCAGCATATACCCGCGGATTGGCGCGCGTGCTGGGATGATGTCGCACATTGTCTCTGATGCTTTTCCTTTATTCAAGCAGGGCGTTTTTTCTGAGTTTGGAAATGTTTGGGACTGTAATAGTCGGTTTTGGGGGTTTCGTTCTGAGTCAGCCGGTTGTTGTTGTTTGAGGGGGGGGTTTTGAAGACAAGGCTTGGAGAAAAACATAGACGGGGCGGGGGCGGCTATGGCACTTCTGGAGAGGCTTTGTACAATATGCCTACGCTCGCGGGACGACACCACCATTATAGATAGACGATAGATGAGAAAGGGGGAATGATGCATAGCGATGGACTGTGTAGATAGCGAGATTTGCGAAGGCGCTTTGGTGTTTGTTGAATTGAATGAAATGTAAATACTATACTTTGCCAGATCGAAACTTGATAACTCACTCTTTCCTTCCTTCTTCTTCTCTTCCTTGAAGTCTAGTGTCAAATCTCCTGATTCTTCTTCTCTTTCGCACAGCATTGGTCCCTTGAGGAACCGCCTTTGGCATCCGCGATTTGAGCGAAATAGTCGAGCTAGGCGCCACTGGGACCGTATCGCAGTATTTTCTAAGAGAGAATGATTGGAAGGCATACGCGTAACTCAACTCTTGCGATTCATACTTTGAGAGCCAGAGCAGCTGAACGAGAAAGTTAGTATCGACTCCACTTTGCTTGTGAACAGGCGTTGATTTGACATCGAAAGATTCTTGAGCTGTTTCCGATTCATGTCGGCTCTACGAGGAATACGTGTTGACATCGTCGATTGTGAGAACGGGGAAAAGGCCGATGGACGCTCGTTGAACTCAGTTGAGATCAATGCCCAATTATGATCGCTGAAGACACTCATGATAGCTGTGGTGGGGCTGGCCTCTAGGTGTAACCGATCTCAAACATTCAGATTGCAATGCGAGATGCCTAATATCCATAAGCAGCTTCTCAGTAGTATCTAGTGTCCGAACGTTCCCTCCCAAAGACTCCGACTGACCGGTCCGGCCATCAATCAACGCCTTTCCAATATCGTCTATCGACTGCTCCACAATCCAAGGGCCTCCCATCTCGCCGTTGCCGATTCTTCCTCCTTGATGCCCTTCGAATTGCATGACTTCTTATTCTTTGGGGCGAAAAAGGACGGATCCGAGGGCTGAGATAGAACAGATGACTGTTCGGCCTTGGATGGGTTCAAGGTGGGTGCTCTCTTGCGCTTGAAAGCTGTAGAAGAAGGTGGAGATGGTGACATCATTTTCGAGGAGAGACGGTCACGAAGGGCTCGGATATCAATTCCATCCTCAGTCTTGAGTGGAGGCGGTGCTCTCAAGGGAGTACTATGTCTAGAGGTCAGCTTTCTTCTTTGACAACATCGGCGCTGCCAGCTCTTTCTACAGACCTGAGCGGTGCAAATATCTGCGATGAGCTTGGTGAGTGCTCCGAGGCAAGATTGGCGAGCTTGATCTTCACATCGGCCGCACTCACCAACGTGCCGGTGGCGTTTGAGATGTTGCTCGCCACAAAGCGGTAGAACGCAGGCGATGATAAGTCGGCTGCATCGTTAAAGAAGACTATTTCCAGGAGCTTATCCTGCAGTGTGGGCGTCCACAACACCCTAACATTTGTTGACATGGTTGAGTTGGAAGTGCTAGTGAATACGGAATATTTTAGGAGTGAATATAGCTGGCTCCAGCGACTATTGTATAATTGTAAAGAGATAAAAGAGGCGTGTTTGTGAGGTAAACATTACCATGTCGTCGCCGCGTCAATTAGACTAGACCCAAATGGGTCACTTTTTGGTATTTGCTATAAATTTTGCGCCCTGCACCAAACTTACTATGTCATATTTAGCCTACTCTACCTCCGATACAGCCTTGTATTGTCTGGTATCGACCTTTAGTCACATCTGAAGACAGCTCTTGCTATGTAAGCGAAGCGAGCACTTTGGCTTTGCAGAGACTCGATTCTGGCAAATAATGCCAACACTCCACGAGCCACGTATACCTGCTGTCCTTTACTTGAGAGTCTGACGCCGTTTCAGACATGCTATGGCTATATTTCAGCGCGCCATCGGAAGTAAGAGCAAGAGAAAACAATGTTGATGTTCGCTAGGGGCTCTGCAACGAGTACAACATCCGTGGTAGACGGCCTGATCTACCATTGCAGCCTTTCGTAATTTCGCTGATCTGATCACAGGACAGCATGAGCTGAGCTAGTCGCGCAGTTTCAGCATTACCTCAACCTCAAGTCATTGATCTCTCCTAAAAATATTTCACGCAAGCTAGAAGCGGGCTTTCTCCAAGATCCCGATTGACCTCATATCCTCATGACCATACCTTTAAGCTCAGACTCCGATTATACACGTATTTAAAAAGAAAGTGGGGCCGATGTTTTAGACGGCGGGCAACCGCAAAATATCCCGCCTGCTTTCAGACAAGCTTTCCGGTACGTCCTCGTCCTCGATCTAAGCGTACAGAGCCTACAGACGACAGACTTCGTGATGAGGTCTTTGACCGATCTGCAGACCAATAAGAGCGTCGTCAGGCCATCTTTTAGGCGTTGAAGCATCAGCTTCGTATATTCTCTCGATCGAAGTCGTTGTCATGCCGACGTAAGAACATGCGGCCCTTACCACTTGCGAGGTGCCATTAAACATGGACTTGGTATGATTGTTGCATTGAGGGATTTCAGTCAACCTACTCGTCCATTATCCCGCTTTTAAGGTCATCCCTATACGCTCATGACTTCTTCTTTATCTCGTAGCATTGGTCCAATGACGTGCGACGGGCAGCAATCAGCTGAGTTGCTGGATCATCTGCCATGTATTCTTCATGTAAGATCCAAAGGGTACCTGACACAGGCCATCGAAGCTGAAAAATCCTAGAAATTGTATCATAGCTCTGCGAGGTTATCGCCGAAGCCCTTCGCTCTTGAAAATTTGCCTCGTGAGTCATCAAAGCAATTGGTCACATGACGCGACCTTCTCTCTCTGTAGTGAAATGCTTGGAGTAGGCTGCAACTAAGCTTGAGATAACGAGTCTGCAGAATTCTCCAATAATTATGAGTGGTGCTGTACGGCGCTACTCCAAGATCGTCCATCCAAGGATCCCGCCCATGTGTCGCCCCCACAATCTAATGGTAACCGATACTGTTTTGTACATCGGCCAGATTAATCATGCTGGTCCATAGCAAGTCAGAGTCGCGAGGTTCAATGCTATACTAAGTGAGGATTCAGTGCCTGCGAGTATGCCACACTTCAAAGTCTCAAGGAATACTCGTTAAGGGCGTGATAGCTACATTGCCACATGAATAATCTATCACATATCCAACATACCGTTGGCGGAGTCTCGGCAAAAGGAGTGTTGCTCGTTTCCGGCGTAGCTCCCCACTTGTTTGCCGATATCCTTGTTGTCGCCGTTTCGGTGAGAGGCAAGCAATTCGAGAACATCGCTTTTAGAACAATGTATCACACCGACTTCTTCTCCATGACTTGATGTAGAGCTTCCTGAGCGTCCCAGTCCTCATTCTCAAGATTATCCTCAGCTTCATCGATCCATAACTTCCATGCCTCGGCGCTGGGGAGCAGGCCGTCACGTACCCATGTCGTTGAGCCTGCGAGATACATGGCCCTCCACAATGCATCAGTATAGGTTGCCGCCTGTATAGACGACACTATCGAAACCGTGAAAGCACTCATGTCCCAAGCGAGGACGTCCGGCACGGCAGTCATGAGCCAGTATGCAACATTCAAAACGGCATAGCAGAAGCCGATGGCCGCTTGCATAGTCCAACTGCAGTTTGCGAAAAGGACAACAGCCGCCATAATCATGAGCCCGCCGGCAGCCCCACCAAAGGCTTGAGATGATCGGCTTCCCAGCTCATAGTTGGCGATTTCAGCCGCGAAATAGAGGCGGCGACCGATGTGTTCGGGGCATGAGACCACAATGAAAGATCCAGCTCGGATCTGGATCACGATTTTATCCTCGGCTGCCCGACGACGGGCACGTCTTCCGTTGTCACTCAATGACCATAAAGATGCGTATCCTAGGGCAGAAGTGGCAAAGCAAGCCAAGAGCAAGGCAATGAGTGCTACCCCATCGTGAATGATGATAGACCAGATGATCAAACCGATGGACAACAAGCAGCTGATCATGGCAAGGACATTTAGAGGCGCAAGTGTGAGGTACGTGATTGGATGATCCACCTTTCCGTCTGAAATACGCACCTCCTGCACGCAGTATGCCGGACAACGCTCGATATTATGGATGAGGTTTGCCGCAAAGTTCAGACCTTCTCGCTTTCCCCCAGACCTTGTGCCAAAGACCTTGACGTCTTCAATGTATGGCAATGTCTTCGGTCTCCGTTCTCGAAGCAAGGCTTGTGGAGCAGGAAGTAGGCGAGGGAGCAGGCATACTTTGGATGCTGTGATTGTTTGTGCATGGATCTTGATGTTGCTTTCGCCGAGTACAGCGAGAATTGAGACGATCTCGAGTTTCCAGGACTCGCGAGAGCTGGGGAAGTTGAAGCTCCACATTCTTGAACCAGCTGCACATTTTCTGAAGGAATTCACGGCTGTTGTACGGCTGGTTCTTTAGCTAACCCCTTTGTAATGTTGATGGACCTGGCAGCAAGGGTTGATGAGGACAGGGATTATGAACCTCAGCCCGATCGAATTCAGCTTGGCTTGGCATGACGTCAGGCATCATGAACGCGAGGCATCTTCCGCTAAAAGCTTGAGGTGAAGGAAGAAAACAGCTTCACATCATAGGTTGCTGAACAGCGCCGGCAGCAGTTGAGGCGACCTAATCTGATGAACGCCGTTCTCGACATTGAAGAAAGTGCTCCGTGCCTGCATTGATACTCCCAATCCACGAAGCCCACAGCACTGGGTATGGCAATCTTGTAGCATAGACCTATGCTAGTATATGCAACTATTTTCTCTCTTGAGTCATTGCGACCTTCGCTTTAAGTGTCTGACCCATACAATATCTCACACACCCCACCAACAGGCACATCCATAACAGCATCCGTCCCCTCATTCCAGATGCTCTTCCAATCCATCTCATCCGGTGAGCTCAGCGTGATATGTGTTCTCTTGCCAGTCGCTCTCCTATTCTGCATTTTCCCCTTCCCATCCACCACGGCAATACTCGCCGCCTCATCCACAATATTTCCGATACTGTTCATCGGCAAGGTCAGGTATCCCGTGTTGTAGCTTGCGAGCGCGACATAAATGTATATGATCGTCATGACGAGGAAGGCGGGGATGGCGAGGGACCACCATCTGTCAGGGTAGTAGGAGACTCTGATGTATCCTTTGAGGACCGCTTCGGGGAGGTAGGACCAGGCGAGGTAGAGGACTGTGAAACGCGTGAGCCGTGATCACTACTTGAGTATTGCGGGAATATGAATGGAACGTACGGAATACAAAAAAAGACATGATGTAGACGAGGAAGCCGTAGTATTCGTATGTCGGCACCTTGGGGTGCGCGCGCGGAAGGTCCGTTATGCGCGCTGATTTTACCACAGCCGACTCTGTGTCCCCAGGCGTCTCGACGTCGGACACTTCCGGTGAAGAATGGCGAGAAGTAGTCGTGGAGAAGGAGGGTCGGAGGAGGGAGGTCAATGAGGGAGATGGTGGCAAGGGCGTGGGTGGCCGATTGTAGAATGGGGGCGCGAAGGTGTTGGACATCAGCAGTGACGAGCTGGAGTGGTGGAATATGGCGCTCTTTGATAGCGGAGGGCCTTCTGGCTCAGAGTCTGAGCCAGTGGCTTCGGAAGAGCTACCAGCTGGCTCGATGGAGAGTGGGGCGTCATCGTCGTCGGCCATGTTTGATGATGCCGCGGAGGAGCTGATGAATTGGTCTTGCTCCAGTGTGGGGGTTTCGGAGTCTGATGTTTCTTCATCAGGAAGCTCGAAGTTTTGGGTCGGAGTCGACCCATCGAGACCTCTGCTTGGAGCCATCGCGCTTTCCTGTGGAATGTATTTGATGTTGTTGGGGCTTGAATTCTGCCGTGGTTCTAAGCTAGTTCTAGAACTAGCTCATACCCTACCCGGCAGTCGGATTTATCGAACACTAAGCCCTATTTCTCGATGTTATTCACTCAACTCACTGTGTAATCTTGTGTGCACGGGTCTGAAAGTCTGATGCGAATCTTCCAAAGAGACTTATTAGCTATCTGACTAAGTCCATTCTGTCTGCTTTTACTTTAATATAAGTTATTGATATTAACAATGTGGACAATATCGTTCTTCGCCAACTCTTCCCTTCGTTAATTCGTTTCTACGTCTAAAGTACTCGAGTCAAAAGGACATAAATCTGTCCAAAATATATTTTCAACAGGACATCGGCTTCGTCTGAGCGTCTCCACTGATCGCCTCCCCCATTTCGTACCGGGCATCCATCTGAATTGGTCCGATTATTTCTCGCTTTGCAGCTGTACCGGCATATCTCACGGATCTTGAAGATTCCGATGAACCCTTGTCTCCCCAAAAGATAGGATCTTCATCTTTGCCCCAGTCGTCAATTAGTTCGGTCAGAGATCGTAAGTGGCCCCACGCAGCAGGCTGAGGTCCCTTTGGCTTCCGAAATGTGAGAATGGTGGTAAAAATGGCTAGATATCCCAGAAAGAACGCTAATATGAATAGAGAGAGATATTGCAAATAAAGGCCGGCCACTGCTGGCAATGCTGCCGATGATCCCGCTTCTCCAAACGCCCAATGAATTGCACCTTTCAACACGAAGAGTGTGACCGTGTCCCAGCTTTTACAAGCTCCAACAATGGCGTTGGAATCTATACGAGCGCCCTTCTTCGTTGTGGCACGTCTCCAGGCTTTCTCATCGCGAGTACAATTAACCACCAGCTCTACACAGTGCAATCCCAGTGTGAACGGTATTTGTACCAGAAACACCAATAATATGACGAAGAAATGAAAGCGATTTCCCGATACGTGTTTATCGCCATTAATAATATACGTCGTTCGATGACCATTGTTTTTGGACTGGGCGATCGTAACGCTAACATCAGTTCCAGAAGCCTCAGATACGAATTGAGCGATGAATGCCCACAACAATGCCGCGCCCGCTAAAATCCAAATGTATATGACGATCTTGATACTGGCAGATCTTGCCCTCCAAAGTCCCCTCTGCTTCTTTTCTGGATTGAGGGCCAACCATGTTCCGACCACTCTTGAAGACCTGCCATCTTGGGGTCCCATGTGACTTTTATCGCCGGAATAGCTGAGACGCTTATAAATGAGAGCATTGTTTAGAGAGTTCGAACTCCACGTTACTATCCTTGGCTTTGTGGTCATATATGCCCAGGTAGCGATGGAAGTCTGGCCGATCAGCGCAATTGAGAGCACAGAAAGCGCCACAAGGTTGACATAAGATTGTTTCTTATCGTAAGACATCACTGGATCACGTATATAGGAATCTTGAAATATCCTTGCAGCAGTGGCGTACGACAAGGTCATGAAGATGGCGTACGCCAAATTTGAGAGCCAGTCATTCGCTCTGGAAGATTTTGTTCTTGTGAATAGACGTAAGTTTGTATTGTATTTGAGCTGGCCTTCGTGGAAGAGTGCCCAACGAAGCGTTGTTGTATGAATGAGACCAACACATTCATTACATAAAGTAATAAAGAAGGTGAAGATCAAAGGAACGATTGTCTCGTAAGCTGCGCTTTTGTTCGAAGTGACAGCCTCTCCGGTAAGTCTAGGTGCACTGGCCGACTCTTTACCTGGTTGTTGATAAAGAACTATCACCGCGATAATGCAACCTAATGAGACTAGCCATGAGCAGCCCAACCCTATTAAGCAGACTTTGCGAGTCGTCAAGCCTTTGTCATAGGATCGAAGTGTCTTAGGTGACTCTACAGAGGAGACACTTTGAACCTGGACATGCTCAATGGGGCCCAGTGGAAGCGGCTTGTCAACAAAGATATTGTCACTCGCTCGGGCATGGATTTTGCCATGCGCCATCCATGGATTAGCCATTAGCACTTGTGCGACCTAATTTCGAAGGATTTTGCGATTGAAGGCATGGGAAATTGTGCGAACATTGCCAGAAGCCAGAAGTCTACGTTTAAGCTGGAGCCTGCGGGTCGCATATATACACTCTAACGTGGGAGCGGCGCGGAAAATTCATCCATGTCTCAGATGATCAAACACATCGCAGGGACCGAGGGGGCTGTGCTCAACCGCGCCGAGTATGTGTCAAAAGGAGCCTCGCGAGAAGCCCCATTCATGGCTGAAGAGACTTTGGAAAGCGTTCTTGGCAGTACTCCAGGCATCGCGTGGATGAGATACTCGTAAAGGGAGACCGTCCCATGAATGGTAGAAACATTGCTTGAATCTGCCACTCGCCACGTATCAACAAGCAAGCAGGTCAGCATACGACACGGTGTTACCATACACTGCCATGATGGCAGATGTCATTATAGCATCGGAAATTGGTATGGGACGCAAAATCATCGATGCTCAAAGACCTCGTCGACCCTAAGCAAATCATCGAAAAAGCTGCATGACATGCTTTCATGGTGTCGAGATGAAAGTGGCGAATACGGGAGAATTGCACTGCAAGTCCTAACACATTTATCACATCTCAAATGACCCAAGTGCGCGGATTACTCAGCATGTATTGGCTGACCCATCGACACTCAGGCCAAAGTGTCGTAGAGCGCCACCTAATCAGACTTCAACTCTGCTCCTCGGTACCTTGGACTTTCAAGTACACCCTTTGCACGCCGGACATAGCACCGCGACGTCTTCTTCGCTCGAACACAACGAATCTCCCCCTCAATATGCCTGGCACAAGTAACATTCGCGATTGGGATCTCATCATCACGTAAGCATGCAGTTCCACTTCAATCTCCTGCTGCTGAAAATCTCAAAGGTGCAACATCTGGTTCGCAGACGCCGAAAACGAGATTCTCAAGCTATGGAGAACGCGGTCGTATCCAGCCATGGAAGTCTTCGTGAGTTCGCCAATCACATCTTACAGCGACCCCTGAACATGTTCAATTTACAGAAACCCTATCCCCATGGCGCAGACTTGAAGATGCACCAGAAAGGCCTGTTCATCCGTCTTCAGGAACGATATCGTGCCAGGGACGTCTTCGAGGACGTGCACAAGGGCGTTTGGTGAGATTTCAAAGGGTGGGGTGGCGTCGAGGTGAGGGTAGCTGACGACGTGTAGTTTTGCTGAAATCGATGGGGAGAAATATGACATGTTTGAGTGCCATCGGCTTTCGTTCTATGAGGCGACGACGGATGATTTGATGGTGACCTAGGACTGTAGTCGGATTGAGAAGCCTCGGGAAGGGGACGATAGGAATAAGATGCTGTGCTCACGTCTCCATTACGTACGCTTTACAATGGTGACGTAGACACTGGAGAGTATGAATCACCTTTAGGCTCGTTGTTCGTCCCATTGCTATTCAGTGTGCTGGCAACAATCTGAATGAAATTGCATTACAGCCCATGCACCTACCGAATCTGACAGGTTATCGAGCACTTGCGCGAAACGGCCCAACTTGGATTCCTGTTTCCAGGATACGATAGAATGCTCTGGTTGGTGACTATACCTGCGGCCTAGCAGGCTGAGCATTTGAGGCAAATCCCTAGAGTGCTCACATCAACTCAACTACTGTCTTTGGATGTGGGTCTGATGCACGTCTTGAAGCCTCTTTGTTGAGAATCTTGTCTTTTGTCCAATGTGAGTTTCGAAGAGCAGATGTGATACGCGAGTGGAAACATTGCCACTACTTGGCTTTTCAGACTACGGTCGAGTCAGGGGTGTTTGTGGGTTTGCAACGCGCGGTTTCTATGCATGAGCAAGCGTTTTCGTCAGGTGGGGAGTCTGTGGTGTCCAGTAAGGGTTGGGAGTGGTATTTGTGATGGGGAATGGGAAACGGAGGCCAATGCGCTGCTTGAGAATGCTTGCTCTATATATTCGTTCATTTCCCTGACGTTTACTATTGTTATCCTTCTTCTTTCATCTCCATATTTCTCATTTCCGGATTTACAGATAACCTCTTTGCATTTTCTCAATACCCAGCTTTGGCTTTGGATTCAATCTAGCTACAATGGACTTCACAAGTCAACCCTACCGAGGCTCCAGCCGCCAGATCGATGAAAAAGACGGGCCCCCGAAGATCAAGATCTTTGATGCCGATATCGCATATCAAAAATTCACGTGGGATGGACGTGACCCTCGCCATCTTGTCGCAATGTTTGGGATCGATCTCGTTTTATCAATAGCCATGCGCTGAAAGCTTAATAGTTATAAGCCTGCCGACCTAACGATGGAAGAATTCGTAGGTTGGTGGTACAAAAAGGTCTCGCCGCGACTTCAAAATGGAAAACATTCGCTTTACATCGTTGCCATGGATCAACTGGTGAGAATAGTGTTTCGCGTTGCGTAAACGATTTACTGACCGGGGAAAAGCATCATAATGGAAAGAATGTGCCCGCTGTCGCTATCAAGTGCACAGCTACTGAAAAATCTGTGGATCTTGATAAGTACTTTGCTGAATTGAGGGAACGACAGAAGGCGCATAACGTGTAAGTGGACGCCTCAAAATCTGTGGAGAGGTACTGATCGTACATCTAGGCGCATGGCACCCATTAAAGACCTTGGGATTTATCTAGGCCCCCGGCGTGAAGGAGGCTATGTCAAAGTAAATTACGACAAAGAAATGAAGACGCCAGGTAGGTTAGCCTAAACTTGGAATCTATTTGACGTCTAACAAAGATCTTCCAGAGGCGATTACGTATGGCGGCTGACCTCCCAATGATGTCTTGAATCGAGGTCCGCGAATGATCGATAGAGGTCGAAAGGGGAGTGAGTGCCTTGGATAGTAAAGATTCAGCTCGATGGAAAATCATGCATAGAAGTCGAGATTTTCTTGACATGCACAGCTCTTCAGCATCACGGACAAATTTTTCTTGGGAACTTGGGTGGACTTAGATGGCCAACAACTAATAATTAATCAATAGAACATTTGCATGAGTTTTACATGCCAGACCTGCACCGACTCTCATGAAGCTGCGACTACCCTTCTTCAGAGTCTTTTTTAGTTGCGAATATTCCCTTTTTGTTGTTGTAAAGTTGCGACTACGCTTCCATAGCTCTTACTGAGATGCAAATATCCTACCTTTCTTTCTGTAATTGTGCAATCACCTTCTCTTAAATCCTATAAATATCCAACTGCCCTCACTCAACTCAAGTCTTGCAGAAATTCATGCTTTCGTAGTATTGGCGGAGTATCCAGAAACATGTAGATGTTTAGGAATTTGACGGTACGTTTCTTTTGGAGTGCACTATGGCGGGACATCCAAAGTAATAGCTCCTTCATCTAGAGAGGAGGCTGATGATACACGGACAATTCAGACTGTCAGAGACACATACGAGACAACAAACTTTGAACCAATAGCTTCAATGTTCAAGTTAATTCGGCGAGTACGTCGCACAACAGCTGCGCGGGTAGCAGGTTCAGATTTACTTGCGGAAAGCTCTCCACCTCATTGGCCTTCGACTTCAGGTTGCGGCGGGCATTAAGGCTTAGCAGATATCTAATCATTGCATCCTCTTCAATACTTGGTTGTACATGTCCGACACCAACTGAGTACTGCTGTGTCGTTCCGTGTCGTGAGGTCGGTAGCCAATGCTTACTGCGTGCGACACAAGTTGTACAACAATACGAAATGTTGCCACACATCCATCCTGGGCTATCTCCGAACGTACTGTGTCACCTCATTAGTCTGCCTATAAATACTGTACATGCGCATGAATGAAGTTCCTCTCCATCTTCAATCTATCAGATACCTCGATCTTGAAGTCGGTCGTGCAGCAAAGATGGTCCAACTAAAGCAACAATTCCAGGGCTATGAGTCCGTTGAGAATTCCAATAAAGATAAGAAGCCTTGCTTCGAAGTTGAAGCTGTTGAAGTGGAAGGAGCGCGTTTTATTCAGGATGAATCTCGTCTTCGACATCTGATCATAACGTGAGCTGCCAGTATTTTCATCTCGCGAAGATAAATGCTAACGATGCAGCTACAAACCCGCCAACTTCGATGCAGGTACCTTTATGAATTGGTGGAATCGTCGTCTTGTCAAGGAAGCACATGATGGTCCATTCCATATGGTTGCTCTAGACGTGCTCGTAAGTTGGCAACACCCAGAGAAACTACTTGTGGAAAGAGCTAAACTGACCTCATAGTTCTACAACGGAGAAGAATTACATGCCTTTGCAGTCCAACTAGAAATGGAGTCGTATGCGCCACAGGTGATCAACGTATTCAATCGGCTGGGCGACGAGTAAGCTGTTAATAAGGACGCTATTGAAACATCACTGACCTTAAGATAGAGGCAAGAAACCTTTTGGAACCCTGACGTATACTGAGATCCCACAAAAAGGTGAAGGGCATATTGAAATCACGCCGGCTCGCAGTTCGACCTTACCTAGTGAGTCAGATAATTACTCTCTATTTCTCGGATAGTCTGATTCTAATCACGTAAGATAGGAGTGGAATTTGTCCCACAAGGGAAGAAGCAGTAGGCCTTTCGGGAATCGAACTGAGGTTTAAGACGTCAAGATATGAATAGCGAGGGCTGGTGATGTACATGTCAAATGCAAGATATGAGATGCCCTCGGACCCGCCCGTCCGGTATCCAGTACTATTTGCATACAATTCAGTTGGTACAGGAATTGGAAACATTCCCCACTTGCATGCTGCAACAGTGAAACTGGAAGAATACTCCCCTCTTCAAGGAGCGCATGCTTTATTGTATCACGTCGCCTTCTTGACCCATATATGCTCAGGCGCTGCACACTTCAAGCCATAATTGAACTTCGATCTATCAAACACATAGCCTCAATTTTGACATCGATTTCACAAAAATGAAGGACCATCTGATCAACTACTTCAAAGGTCGCGATACTATTGAGAAGCATACTGCCGTCGATGAATCTAGAGTCAAGCCTCCCCCGTCGAAATCGAAGGAAAGAGATTCACACGTGCAGAGCCCGACCCTCGACATCTTGTCATAACGTCTGCTGCCAATAGGCCATCTTGAGAGGGCATGCGCTAACAATTGCGAAGCTACCAACCAGCTACCATTAAGGTAGAAGAATTCGTGGCATGGTGGAAGGAAAATCTCGTTGTGGGAGCGAGTAAGATTGGTGGTCCGTGGCACATGACTGCTTTGGATCAGCTTGTAAGCTGGCAGCATCAGGAGAGATCGTTTGCGGCGGAGAGTCCCGCTGACTTCGAAGGTCCATCATGGAGAAGAACTTCCCGCCGTCGCTGTGAAATTAAAAAATGAACTGCATGTATTACATGTCGCGACGGAGGTTAACAAGCTGAGCCACACGTGCGACAACATCTCATATAGTACTTCAAAAATGCTGACTCGTTGACAGACGTAAAGCACCTTTCGAAGAGATCGTTTGTACGCGGGTCCCCTTCGAGGGAAAAGAGCATGTCGAAGTGACGTTGACAGGCGAAGATGGAATGCCCAGTATGCCTGATTAGTGCTCGATATATTGCGATTTTCAAGGTCTCTAATCAAGTGTTTTTAGGAGCCATATTTGCCTGTGCCACAGAAAAGGATGATAGCAGAAAGAAGAAACGGTTTTGGATGTCTGGAAAGTCGCATTGAAGTCTGAGGCGTCAGAACATATTTCATCTGTGTTGATCATGCGCATTTAGCATGCATGATATGAGATAGACTCGAACCTGCCTGTTCGATATTCACGGGCTTCTGATGGGAAGGTTAGATAGAAGTTCGAAGGCCTCAAGAAGCATATGGTGGATTCTTTAATTGAGACAAGAAGCTTATTGGCCCGTCAAATCTCTTCCTGGGGATGCAATCCTTGAATTCCATATCGACTTTGCACGAGTAGCACGAAGAATATCCAAGAGGGCAATAGTCTAGAGTTTGATCTCAGCGTGAGATGAACCTCAAAACCGCTGGCCTGGTCCTTCCGGCCTCAAATGCGAATTGAATAGCAGCATGATAGACCAATATCACCTCTGTGATACGTTACGCCTCTCACGCACTTCAATTCCTTTCGCACATGTCTCGTTTAAAACAGTGTATCAGTGCTGTAGACCGATGGCTTGTCCATCGTTCGCGGCCTGTCCGACACTGGAGTTTGAAACGTCTGAATTTCAGGCCACACAAATCCAGGTCGCACAACCAGCGTCCTACTGATCAAACAATACATGCAAATATAAAGGACATGCCTATTCCATACTCCCTTTCATATTCTTTAGCTCTCCTCCTTCTCCTATAGCTCTTCAATCCATTGCTCGTCCACTTTCACTGTCAATAATCCAACTAGCTTGAAGCCATGGCAGCCTCAGGCGCCACCGTGCCTAATAAACACCACGTCAAAACTTTCAGCAGTCCGGAGTTCGATGGGTTTTTCATGTCCGTCCCTTCTTACCCATCTATCACTCCTTCTCCACACTCATCCCCTTCTCAGGTTCACGCTCAAGTCTCGCGATCCCGCCGACTACCCCCAGCCAGCCGATTACCATTTTAACCAACGAGTCAACGCAATCCTGGGCACCAGGCCAGAACGGACGGTGTGCCTTCTCCCTTCCCTCCTTCACCTCCCATCAAACGTTGCCCCCCCTGCCCTCCTGGCTTCTCTTTGAGTCCTGCTAATACCTCCACCCTCAGAAGCAACTCGTGACCCGCGGCCCCCCTCACATGTACCTTGCCGACGGAGAGCGGCAGAAATTACCAATACTCGCCTTCCGCGTACCCAAGCGATCTACCATGTCGACGATCGACGAAGACCTAGCGCGCATAGAGGGGGCCCGGCAATGGTACCAAGGGCAGGACAAGGAAAGATGGGGGAGAGTATCGTTCGCGCGTATACCGGAGGGGGGATCTGTCGAGATCTTCTTCACTAATGATGTGGGGGACAAGAGTAAGGGAATTGAGAATTGGATGCCTGGTAAGTACAGTCGATGGAGGCTGAGAGGAGCAAGTGCGCTAATGGGTTTAATCGAAAGAATGGTTTACGCGACCAGCTGCGCCGTCGACGGCCAGGCAATGAGGTCGATGATACTACGAGAGGTGAACGGAGGAGGATATAGCTTTAGACCGTGGCGTGCGAACTTGTCGGCCTGGATGCCTGATGATTGCATAGTCTCTTCCAAAAAGATTGTGTGAAAGTGGCTCGCGTGCGGTCAATGGCATTCTCTAGGTTTGCCCCCGTGGGTTCTTGTGTAGGCTTCTGTGTTGTAGACGTTATGCGAAATCTGGGGAGAGCGGGGAAAGTTCCAAGCATGGTTGAGAATAAGATCGTTTGCCAACTGTATGCAGGCTGTGGAATTGTGTATCCTACTTATCAAGAATATCAAATCATGGAAATCTGATCTTTCAAATCGGTCTTCCAGAGGCCATACCCGTTTGATGCAGTACTTTGGCGGAGCATGATCCTTAGAGACAGGGCTCTCTGCCGGGAAGAGAGCGTGTTATACATTGTTTGCTTCGAAAGTCGTTGAAAGTCACCCATGTGCAGGAGCTGTTCTTCCTCACGTCCCATTCATGCACGTCATCCGCGCTACCGAGTAGGATGCTGAAAATCCAATCTTGTGGTGTATGAAGTAGTAGTCAGGTCGAGGACATGCTACGAGAGACGCGCGTAGTCAGCCACGATTCAACCCCCTGGCCACATGCCACCCGCACACATGCATACTACCCCTAGCGTAGCCAAAAGTTCCAGCTTAGACGCACCAGATGGTATCGCACCCCAGAAACCCAGCTTACAAAGCTCCCCACCACCACTACCGTCAGAAATCTCACATTCCATTCCTAACGTACTAGAAGGCGCAATGGAAGCATACGCCCCCCCTGTCTGTCGTCCCACCCAAACCTTGCCATCAAACCCTATCCACGCGGCCGTCCCATCCCGCATCGCTAGAGTAACCTCGCGCATTGCTGACCCTTCCTAAGTAAAGTTAGTCTCACCGCCATCACCACGCCCCCCTCCCCCTCCCTCCCCCAACCACCACTCCACCATAAGCTAAGATAAGCAGCCCGTGGCCCCCTCCCCCCCCTTTACTGCCCACTCCCATCAATCCCACTCCTACTTAAAGCACGAGCGGGTGGCTTCCCCTAGCCCTTCCTCCCTAGCCCCCGGAAAGACCCGCTGTCATCTCACCCCCTCCCTCCTCCAAACTCGTCTGACACCCCCACCAGCCCATCTAGTACCCAAGGTCCGATACCTGACATTCGCATCGCATGTATCGTACCACGCAAGCGTCAGGCTTACCTCAGCTTTTCGAATTTAGTTGCAGGAGCCAAGAAAGCTGACGTGCGGATTCCGTTGGGGGACGCCATGATGATCTTGGCGTGTCGGAATTTCCACTCCCACCACAAAGGTTCCGATACTCTGGGACTGGAGTGTCATGGAGGAGATGGGAGAAGGCGCATTGATGGGTACGGCGTGGATGTTCGAAGGATGAGAAGGGGCAAGGGGGAAGAGGGAAGGTGGGGGGGCAGAGTTTTACCCGTATGGGCGGAGTAGAGGGGAGTAGAGATAGAGTTGGGAAACGGTCGCCCAGGGGTGGCCTGCAAGCTGGGGACGAGGCCGCGGGAGCGCCCGTGGGCAAGCCCTAAGGGTAGAGATTTAGGGCGAGGGCTTAGGGCACTCTCCCGGGGACCATGATCGGGAATGCGTGGCCTGTCTGGAATATGCGCATCTGTGATGTGACATTCAATGTCTTCGCTCGCCCCTCAAAGGCTCGGGGAACCCTTTCAGGCAATCTGAGTGTTGGCTCTGTCGTCGGGAAGGCTTTGTCGGCATTCATAGCATGGGCTTCGTTGATAGAATTAGTCGCAGTGTTGGATTTGGTCGGGGAAATTGATTCGCGGGAGTGGTCGATTTTGACTAAACGGGAATGATTACACATGCATTGGGGTATGAAGAGTGTGAGAGGTGACTTGACGGGTAGGAGAAAAGAGTAGTGTGGCTTTGAGGTAGGTCAGAAGTAGAGAGAACACCGTTGAGACGTGCATTTTTGGCTTTGCCGAAGAAGATTCAGGGGTTATGATGCATGGTGGCGAGATTAAGGGTGTGAAAGTTAGTCAGCATTCACAAGCGTAGACAGAGCTCGAAGGGTAAATGGACACATATTGTTGAATTTGCTGTGAAGCTAATTGTAGTCGTGTCTGTCTATGGTGAATGTCGTGCGTTACTCATGTCGTGCCGTCGAATGATGGGACTTTTCGTAAGATATCATATCCAGTTTGAAGAACGAGGGTGTCATATGCGATCAGTTGTGAAGTCGTAAGTTTCCTAGGAATATCAGAAAGCGTGCGAGACGAGGGCCGGAGACTGCTGGTCACCCGCACGCGCTTATGAGGCCCACGTCAGTCACGCTCGTCCTTTGGCAGACGTCTTTGACCGTGCGAGACAGTTCTTCTCTCAGCCACATCCGTAACATCGTGAAGAGATTCTTCGAGGCGTTGTCTTCGTAGGTTTCGGATAGTCGGCCTAGGCAGTCAATCATCGGTCTGACCTTTTTGAGGTTGCTAAGGATAAGCAGTCGGCGAATCGGGCCCTGCACTTCGTCGTCGGGCACGAACTTGCCAACACGCACAGGCTCGGCGGATAGCTTCGAGAGGATTGCTGGATTAATCGTCTCCATATTCTCGTGATCCCAGGGGCGCTTCCGATAGGGCGAGTTTACACCCGTGCTTGATTGACTACTCATGGGCGTAGTAGTACCAGACGGGTGAGGAAAGAGAGGATCCACTGGAAGATACGGGTCTAAATCCCCTGACTTCGAACACGCTCGGCGGTGCCAGGCAAGAATCTTGGTGATGATAGACCCTAAAAGCATCGCCATGTCTGGTTTCCTGGCGCAAGTGCATTGCAGCATCTCAAAAATCCGCGTGATAGCTCGCTGATTGACCCTCAAGATTTCATCAAGAGTTCCGGCTTGCAGATCATGATCATCGGTCCAAGCATAGGCGTATGGATTGGTAAAGCTTTCGCTAGAAATACCTGCACCTGTACAAGTTTCGAGAGCTGTCATTGTGTCCCAGGCGATTGCAGCACAACTATTCGGTCCTTGGCCACAAGCAGGATGTTGAGGATATGGTAACACATCTCTGGAAGGCGCTGAGTCGGGTGGAGATGAGCTCATCGGTGTATCCGGGGCATCGTTCATGTCAAAATCGAAAGTATTTGAGAATTCCGAAGATATCGTTGGTGAATTCCCCCAGAAGACACGTACGAAGGGTCAAAGTTGGACATTGAAGGCGTCATGGATTCTACTGCATCCGAAATCATATACGAAGGCGGTTCATATTCCGAGTACGTTGGCGCAAAAGGTGCCGACGACTGATCAGCGTGCTTCGAAGCCTCGGAGGTCTGCGGCGAAGCGTCAAGCCAATCTTGCCCAAAATGCACACTGATGTCGATGTTTTGTGCCGAAACATCGCCCAAGTCAGTCACTGATCGTTGAAGATCCAAGTACGATTCCTTGAGCATCGAAGAGTAGGATTCCTGTCGTTCACCCAGCCGTGGAATTTGAGCGCTTGTTCGCCGTTCCTGTCCAGGCAGAGAAGACGTAGATTGCTGGGGCTTCTTACGTTGGGGTCTCCCATGTCGGAGAGAAACGCCGTACACGCATTTGAGCTGCATTGAAGTACAGCGCTCGCAAGCGGGACGTTCTTTACTACATTTGACCTTTGCCATGCCACAAGAGTCACATGAAAGGCGAAGATTCGGTGGCTTCGCAGTAGACTTGCCTGCAGTCTCCGCTCGTGGAATGTAGGTCGACATGATGGGGCGGAGTATTCGAAGTCTGGTATCGACAATTAGGTGGACAGGACAAGATATGGTATGGGTTGTCTGATGAAGCTTAAGGATGCGATGTCAATGTCTGAGGATTTCAAATCGCTTCACTTATCAGTGACCGCTGGCATTGATTGATGAGGTGAGAGTACTGGAGCTAAGATGACAGGCCGAAGGATTACGGACGGGAACGATCGGTGGTGTCGTCGGAAAGAGTAGTTTCCGGAGTAAGCACAGAGCTTGGCCATTGCGAAGCGAAACTCATAAATCTCTCCTGCAGTCATCGGCAAAATTTATGAGAATTGTGAACATTCCCATTCTCAGCATCTTTCAGTCCACATGACGATGGACAGCATTTGTAGAGACCGGTTGGGAAGATTTGGGCACTTCTTCGGTGATTTAATTCGCCGACGTTGTATTGCCGGTGTCAACGGTCAAGTAGCCGATATGGGAGGCCGACAAGCCTGAGTCCTGTAGCTCGTTTCACCATAATTCCTGCGAGCACAATAAACTTGCGAAGATTAGTGCATTAGACCCAGTACATTGCGTGGTCAAGTTGGTGGCCTCATTGCTCTCTGTAAGTAAGATCATACGACTAATCCGACCTCAGGTTCCAAAATCCAGCCACCAGTCAGAAGGAGATCCTTGCGACCAGGGTCCATCCTGCATGGCATGTCTTACCTAGCTAGGCGGGGTATGGAGCTGATTTCATAAGCTGAATAATCGAGCCAATCAATAAATACCACCCATCCATCCAAGGGAGCCGCTTGTAAGGCACAATTGACCTTGGGGTTTCCCTCGCGTGGCCTCCCGCGCCGCAACGAACTGTGATCTACTCCTTAGACCCTGGCCTTAGCCACAAACCGTAGTAGAGATTCCAGGTACTGCCTAGCATCGGGCAGGAAAGCGGCAGCTAGATGACGCAGGAATGCTATAAGCTGCGCCCACATCAAATGCTGATGCAAAGCCATGCTCAGCTAAGCATCGCGTCAGTCACTTCCTTGTCATAGGTCAGACAGGATTACCGAAAAGAGACTCGGGAATCGCCTTTTTTACCATTCAAGATGAAGGCGTAGTGTGCGTGTACAATGATGTACACGCATGCCACTTGCGTTTGGGTCATCTTCCAAGTTGCTGTTCATTCAAACTCAACCACCGTGGAATCATCGAGGGGAACGGCTGCAAGCTGAAGAGACTGCAATCTTAAATGGACCGCGCGTTCTTCATTAATTAATCCAAGTCTTTTATCGGCTACGCTGATTAAACGACCTGATCTAATTTGGCCTTGAAGCAAACCTAAGGATTGAGCGCTATTGCCAAACCAAGCTATCAGGCGCAAGAAAAGCTCCAATCCTAACGAGATTGGCACATGGCGTTCCTGAAATTAGCGGACACATGGCGGTGGGAAGGCCCGCAGTAGGATCTTAATGTGTGACTCTCGCTGTATGAACTAGACAGACCCGATTTAGTATCAGAAGGCAGAAGCACAGTAGCTTTGCGGTATTAGATTGTTCCGCTCAATTCTGCTGCAGGGGCTGCAAGGCAAGGTACTAAATTATCGGCTCAGTGCTAGACACAGAAAATGAAAGCTTGTATATTCATTACTTCATCATTCGCCATTCTGCGTGAGCACTTTCGACGAATCTTTAAGCATGGGAGTTTGTAAAGTCCATCTCTTCGGCCTGGTACCGTAGACACAAGACAGTACCACCAGCCACATTGCAGTGTCAATGTGATGAGATCATGGTCCAATTGTTCAAGCCTCGTACGTAGTCGTTTAGTCTTCCCGACCTCTTGCCCTTCAAGCCTTGCATAATGTTCCGCGGCGGTTGATCTATAAGAGGGATGGGAGTGCAAGACAATCGTTTCATCGAAGCCCATAAGGGAGTGCAACTCACTGTTTGTACCTTAGAGACAGGGGTGGACGCTGTTGTCTCGGGCAGAGGAAGCGCAGCAGTCGTCCATGTAGGGTCCTGCACGACGAGGGAACCCTGGCCTGGAGCTGGCCTGGAGCTCTCATCTGCCTCGAGCCTTCATATCTGTCTCGACTCTTCCTATACCGGTCTCAGTCCTGAGATCGTAAAGCTTGCCATTGACCGCGATAGGGAGGAAGAGCGGCTCTTGCAATTTCCCACAGACCATCCGTAGTCCTACTCTTGGACATTTCATGCGTGAGGTGTAGGAGTGTCGCAAGCAAGCCTAGAAGCACTGATTCACAGGATGAACAGCACTGCGTACCTCCTCCTCCATGGAAGCTGTCATTCCAATGTTGCAAAGGTTCAAGCTGGAAGCCTGAGATCGCCGAAATCTCCACGCCAAGACTTTGCCAAGAAGTCTTATGTAAGCGCTTGGCACCTCTTGTCGATCGGCTTGGTGGGCTTAAAATCACACAACTACCTATGTCCACCCCATAACCTGACAGTACGAGTCTTACGTACATGTGGGTTCATTGAGTACCTGATGAAAGTCACCGAGAAAGTGGCCGAGCTCCTGTAGTGCTGACAGGCGTCCGACAACGGGGAAGTGAAGTACTTAGATTCAGACACTGCTAGACTTGGAAACGTCCCTCTAGCACAAAGCGATTGAACCTTGAGCGCAAATTCAACCCTTCGAACCATAATTAGACGCCTCTTCTTTCGTGATCGAACATGGTACGCCCAGCGACCTCAGTACTGCTACAAGGAGTCCCCCAGACAGCTACGCAAACTCTTTTCCTCTTTCCGGATGGAGCAGGCTCAGCCTCAGCTTATATCAAGCTTCCGAAGATCCGTCCAGATCTTGCGGTTGTCGGTCTCAATTGTCCTTTCGTACGACACCCGGAGGAGATGACATGTACACTGGATGAACTGGTCGGCTCCTACCTGAACGAAATCCGCAGGCGCAAGCCAAGCGGCCCCTACAACTTTGGTGGCTGGTCAGCAGGGGGCAGTCTAGCCTTCAAAGCAGCGTCAGAGCTCATATCGCAAGGTGACGAAGTCTCCAGCTTGACTCTGCTTGATAGCCCGGCGCCACAGAAGTTGGGAAAGCTGCCGCAGCGCTTCTTAGACCACCTGCGTGAAGCTGGAGTTTTTCAAAGCGGCGTCCCGGGTGGACCAACCAAAGAGATGCCTAAAACACTCATGCCTCATTTCAATGGCACCATGGAAATCATGGCTGGCTATCGTCCCAAGCCTCTTCCTGAGGGCAAGTCACCCAAGACTACTATCATTTATGCAACCGATTCAGCTCTGAAGGGAGACAAGGCATTTGCTTCGCAACCTGGTGATCCGGATGACATGAAGTTTTTGACCGAGAACAAGACCGATCTCTCCGCTACTGCGTGGAAAGAACTGGTCCCTGGTGTAGAAGTCAAGGTAGAGAGGGCAGAGGGGGCAGATCATTTCAGTCTGATGGTCTGTAAATCGCATGAGGTCGGTGTGTGGCCATTGCTAATATTTACTTAGAATGATATGACATATACCCAACAAATTGCTATCATTCTCAACACCGCGACGATGAAGGAGGAACCATAGTCTTGTGTGAAAAGAAGCTGTATTCGCCCGCTCCAAGTTTTTCGCACAAATCATACATAACAGCCACCAAAACACGATTTTGGACTTTGATTGGAGACTCCGTGAGCCTTTCGGCACACGAAATGTCTTTGATAGCCGCGAAATTTCAAGTTGCATCAAGATATCATCAACTTGAGAATCTAACTTAGATGGGAGTATTACGGAATTACCAATCAAAGCAAAGCAGCTACGCCGCTCCGAACGGCAATACAACCAGATGCGGGCTACACAATCCCGTGAGTTGAAGCGCCGTAAGGTACCTTTTTTGAGTGAAATCCAACAGACTCCCTCTGCTAATCACTTTTCGAATGATCGAATTTCAGTGCTATTTTCCGCATTACGAGAGTTGAGACTTATCCAGGTCCAGACATTTCATGAAACAATATTGTTTTCAAGCAAATAATCACGACTTCTTCTGGTTGCATCACAGTTCCCATTGCGGACAGTTGCCACGGTAGCACGTTCCAAAAGATGCTTCAACCGAGTTCTGTGGACTCCTAAATAATCGCCTGCAAATGGCACTAAAGAAGACTTCCTGTGTTCCGGTTCTCAGCATCCCTTTCATTTTTCGTCATTTAAGGTGCCGTGGATGCCAACTTACTGCAGCATACCACTGATAATTCGTCGCACTCTTCAATGTTCCACCCTCCAGACCTTGCACATTGAAGGGCTCCAATCTCAGGATTGTATGCGCCATGATTGGGCCAAGAAGTGGGTCAAAGTTGTTTAAGAGATAATGTTGCCAGAACTCGACACCGAGGTGGTCGTAAATTTTTCCAGTTCCAGGTCTGCAAAATTCAGCTTCAAGCCCAAATGATCTTAAAGTCGACAGAGAAGCTGCAATTACTTACAGGCCTTCTGCGACCCAGGGCAGATGACTACCACCATCAATCTTCGCTTTTTGCCAACATCAGCGAAATTGAATGCTTACAACATTTCGTGCAGCATAATCATCGGCCCAAATGTCATCTGCTCGCTCACTGTCGTTCCAAGCGCCCCACAACTTGGCCTTCTCACATTTCCTATTCCTCCGATTCCCAGATTCTCGAAAAAAAAATCGCAAAAAACTATCCACATTCCGCCTCCCCTCTTCCATCGCCTTTCGTCAAAGAATGCTGTGATGCCTTTGATCATCCCACAAGTACCTTCGGGATCATCCGCGGTTATAATGACGTTGGAAAATGAAGGAGAGCCGTTGATAAAGTCGCCGCCTATGATATTGTCGAAAACATGATTCACAGCAGTCCGCGATGTTGGGGGAAAGTAGTTAGCGAAGATGTGGGCTCGGCGCCGTTCTAGAAGGCTGGTATCATTGAGAACGTAGCCGGCTATGTCGATGGCGGAATGGAAGAGGGACGAGAGGAGCTGACGACGAGATTCGTCGTCACTTTGAAAGCTCACTCCGGAACCGGCACTAGGTGGATAGCTGGTCAAGATCTTCCCTTCAGTCCAGATAGCTGGGTCGAGGAGGCAGGCTTACAGTCCGCTTTCCACCTCATATGCAGCAGATACTGATACGCAAAGCAATGTAAGACCAAGCCACACTTTCCAGGACCGCATCTCTCTCGTAAGTGGGCGAGAAGCAAGTTTATTTGCCAAATCTTTCAAGGTCACAATACCAAGAGTCACGCATAAGGCCAAAGCATTTACAGTTTTCGCGACATTATGATGCGCCAAGAAGGTTCAAGACCAATTGACACTGACACCGCCACTAAGGCCTTGCCAAAGTAAGACATTGACGCTGTTTGTGAGCACCGATCAATTAGTCCTATGGCTCGTCAAGCTCAACGAGGACTCTCCGTAGCCGTCCGGTACTACGCGTCATTGACTCTAGATCAGGCCTCTTTTACACAGCCACAGGCTACGGATTGCAACACACTCATCTATGCTCCACTATTCACTCTCAAAGGGGTATGTTTCACTATCAATAATGTCGTGCACAAATCTACTTACGAAGATCTATCATTGGTGGTTTTAAATGAATGGAGACTCGCAGCTCCGCCCAACGGGTGCAGCTCCTCAATATCAAAAGGCTTGATGAAATCCCTGTCATCTCATTGAAGATGAGTCGTCTGTGTACCAACCCAGGGGGTTCAAAGGAGGTGATGCCCTCTGGTTTGGCTCTTCCGATCGCTCCCTCCTTCTTTGTTGGATGGTCATGCCCCTCGTTCGCGCGCGAATGAGGGTTGAAAGGTCAATCGACGCCCTTTCACAGCGCAAATCGTTCATCATCTCCTCGGTCCTTCATTTCATTTGAGAAAATAAAGAGATTGAGTAAGCAGAGGACGGAACATGTGTGGTCAAGAAGATGCGTAGCTGAGGTACATACATAATGATAGGAGGGGTCTGTGGCGCAGAGGTGTGCAGGATTGTCAGCGCCGATCATGCAGGCTTATGAATGTCCCCGCATCTACATGACAACTGTCACGCAACCTTATTGGATTGCGATTCGGTCAAATTCAGGCAGCCATTACTTCGCGTCTCGTTCAGATTCAGGCAAGTATTGACATTGAAGTACTTTGCATTCCTTTGCCTGAATTTCTCAAGGTTAGCTCACTACCGCCCCAACGAGTATCACTCCCGCAGAATTGCAGACGGCCTCACCTCGGCAGCACCAGCATTCTGAGTTGATCTTCTGACATGCATAACAGAGTCCACATTCTCTGCCCAAGCCTTGGAGCGAACGAGAGGGGTTTGCCAATCGATGAGCTCTTTCTGATTTTGTAGCGACAGCAAACGTAAGAATGTTCGATAGCTTGAGAGTCAATTTGAAGCAGGTATGCTCGGAACTCTTCCACGCCGGCAACTTCCACTAAAGACCTGCAAGCTCCTCCACTAGGTTACTCAGGTGGATATGCCCAGAATAGGATACCGTCCTTTCCGGCGACTCATTGATTCGAAGGAAATGCAAAGACTACTCGGATCCGCAAGCCACTACAGACAGTCTGCCTATCGTTGAGCTTGACGCAATGTAGGAACTTCGTCAAAGACAGATACATACAAACCTTGAATCTTCGGACATGGTCGCCTGCGCACTCGACGGCGCTGCAATCCGGTCTTTCACCGAACATTTGGCCGATGATTGGGTATAAAAGTGGGCTCAACAAGTCTGTCCTTCATTATTCTTTACACTTCACTGCTCTCGCACTCTTCAAATCCTTTCTCCTCATCACAATCATCAACTTCCAACACCAAACTCTCTTTGTCTTCATCAAAATGCACGTGCAAGTACTCTCATACGCTTTTGGCTTGCTGGGTACTTTCCATCTTGTTGCAACTCATTGTGTTCCCCCTCAAGTTTACCAAGACAATTCTAATCCACATGACGACCTATATGCGATTGAGGATGCTGTTGGTCAATCAGTCCTTGTGGGATCGCAGAAAGGACAACAGAACACTCTTCTTGCTGGCAACAGGATGATAAACGAGTCCAAGCTTGTCGATGCAGTCAGAAGTCAATATCTGGCTAAGTATCCATCCGAGATGAAAGCCTCGCAGCATCTCGTTCACGTCACGGGTACCCAGCAAAACCGAATCAATTACGGCTGGGGCGACGCCAGAATGATCGACATCCAATTCCCTCTAATGGGTACTTGCAAACCCAAGGTTTCCAAGAGTAAAGAAGTTGCCGAAGGCATCTATTGCGGCCAAGAGGCTGGATGCCAGGTCACTCGACAAGTCACCCTTACCGATGGCTACGAAAGCACTCTTGGTTTCGGCATCAGCACTACTATCAGTGCAGAAACGGACATTGTGTTCGTCAAAGCTTCCATCGCAACGACGTATGAATTCTCCTACGAATATAAATGGTCACACAGCGAGTCGTCCACGAATTCGTACACTTTCAACCTGCTCAAAGGCGAATATTGCACCCCGAGCATGGTTCATCTGAATCTCGAGTGCGATGTCGCGTCCGACATTGTCTTTTATGACACCACCTGGGACGACGGCCCCGAGAATATGTGGTTAGAGGAGAACAACCACCGGATGGGCGGACCTTACCAATACGGGCAATGGTGCCGGACAATGCACCTCAAAGAAGACATTCTCAAGCAAGACAAATACTTCGACGCCGTGCTGAAGGAGGATCCCCCCAGAGGAAAAGCATGGTTGCGCCCTTCGAGCGAGCTCAATAAATACAAGAAGAATAGCAATGACAAAGACATCCACGATGACGAGGTTGTGATACGCAGAGGTGAAAGGGGCCGTGGTGGTGACTTCAGCCAGGTCTTTGTCTGTAAGAGATATCTGCCTTCAACGCAGCGAGAAAAGACGGATGTCCCTGTTCATGGGAGTTCGAACAAGCTTCTAGGCTTTATTGGCTGCATTTGAAGATTAGGGCCTTAATTATCGCCTTTGAGTGTGCTGGAACGATTGTCGAGGAATGCTCGGTCCTGTAAACCCAAAAAAGTCACTGGCTGGATGGTGTGTTGGATGGGGCACTAGGAATGGTGAAGATGCGAGGTGAGACTGCAAAGGACGCCACAAGGAGGTTCTAGGCCTGATTTCAAATTTGGAAGCGAAGAACATGCATACAATCTTTTCCGTGCTCTGTGCCAATCTTGATTGATGAAACGTATGATGACGGCAGTAAACAATGTACTACCCCCTGAGGCAAAGAAGTCAAGACGTTTGCCTCGTTTGGAGCATGCCTCTCTAAGATCAATGCTCACGTGTAGAGCTGAGTAATTAATATCTGCACTCCCAACTTGCAACTCGCCTACCATACATATCTCTGGCCGCTTCTTTATAGGTGAGCCCATCTGAAAACCCATACACGACATGCGTATGACAATGCAGTAAGGACAAAGAGCACTCAAATCGCGTCGTCCTCTTCGCCCACACGATCAAGCATTGCAAAACAACTCGCACCTTTCCAACTTCAGCACACCATCGTGCTCGCAGAAGACGAAGCGACTTACCACCAGTAGTAACACACCATGCCCTCCTCATTCGCATAATCCCCGTAGCCGCAATCAGTCGCGTTCCAAGCCCGTTTGTCCTGGCCATTGATCCTATCCCGTCAGCCTGTCTGCCTTTCCCTCCTCCCCATTCCTCCCCTCCTACCGCTGCCTCCATCCCCTATTTACACATCTCCCCAGACCCCATCTCCCCAAACACCGTAGAAAACAAAAAAAAAAGCCGCTTGTGGAGGAAACATACCTAAACCACGGATCCGCAGGCACCCCCGAATAATCCCCCTAAACGTCACGCTCACGTCCCCATAGACTTCCACCGCCATCACCATCGTGACGTTTTGCCCGCATGGCTCCCCTCCTGCCCCTTCTGCCCCTTCCCCTCCTACCCCTCCCCCTCCCCCCTCCCCCTTGCCCTTCCCCTACCCCTTTCCCTTTTACTAAAGGAAACCCCTCCCGCCCCTCCCCATCAAAATACACCACCGCGCACGCGCTGCCGCGTAATTGTCGCGCATCCAGTAGTGGGGTTGGATCAGGGATGTAAGAAGCTGGTAAGGGGAAGGGCGGGAAGCAGATGCGTGTTCGGAGAGTACAGGGGGGCGGAGGGGGATGTTGGGCGAGGGACTGGGGGAGGGATCGGGGAAGGGGGAGGGGGAGGGGCAGGGGGAGGGGGGGGGGAAGGGGGCGAAGTATGATGTTTGTGAGATGGATGGTAGAGGGGAAGGGAGGGCGGGGGCGGGGGAGAAGGAGGGGAAGGAGGGGGTTTGCGCTGTGCTGAGGAAAGGGTTAGGGGGGAGGAGGAGGAGGAGAAGTAGGAGGAGGAGGTGTGGGATTAGTTGGAGAGGGCGCATTTCAAGGGGGAAGGGGGAGGTTGTGGTGAGCGGCCCGGGAGAGACGAGGGAGGGAGGAAGTGGGTGTAGATTCGTGGTGTAGAGGGGAGGGGGAGAGGGCGTGGTGGAGTATTGCGCGGTGGGGTATATGGGCTGTGCAATCAGTGGAGATGCGCATTTCGCGTCGAGAATCAGATTGTGGAGATAGTGGAGTCCCGACTTATGTCTGTGCTGTGTTTGCTTCGGGGGGTTTCATTGTCGCTTGGATGTCTGCGTCGCTTGCGCGGTGGGGCTTCCTTTGAACAAGGTATGCAGAGTCGTGGAATTTGTCCGAGAAGGTGGGGAAGAGGGTGTTATTTAATGTTCAGCGGCTGACTTGGATTGAGGATGCGAAGGGGATGGTTGAGTTGGCAAAAGATGTGGGGAGGAGAAAAAAGATTTAGTCGCGCAGGGTGATAGAGGTAACGCTTGTTGCATTAGATACTCCCTGGGAAGACATCCCGAGTATGCCTTTGTTGATTAAAGGACTAAGAGAGATATTGGATAGCGAGAGAGAAGATAGCTCAGGTCAGGGAGATTGAAAGGAGAAACTAGAAAATAAAATTTATTCCTATGGCAGAAGACAATTAAGAAATAAATTTTTAATGTACAGATTTTCCCAACAGTTAAAGAGGCGATGAGAATAACATGTTGGACTGCGCAAGAGAACATGAGAAGGCGGGGAAAAGGACGAAATTAGTGGAAATGGCACTTGGAGATTAGAGTTCATGGATTGCAGACTTATTGGCAAATGAAACAAAGTCTGAGAAGGTGGGTTGGATTACGCGGAACTCGAAAGTGCCAGAAAGACAAACGCCTTCGTTTTGGAGGGGCACTTGTCGAGAGTGGCAATAGCTGGGTTAGTGCTGAGCATTTGCAGGCTCCGAAAAGCAGTAAAGTGTAGATGTTTGTCACTAGCTACTCAATCGTATCGTTTTTTGCCTCTCCAGATGTTGCTATTGACGGCTTCTCTTCCACGTTACCGGGGGAAATGGTAGCACTTGAACCCAGTAAGGAGCTCCAGTCTTACTTCTAGGGCAAGCGCGTCGTGTTGAAAAGGCGATTCCCAGTGTCAATAGTGCGGGTACCGACAAAGCTGGTATCAGAGGTCCGTAGTGCAACCAAGTTGACATCTGCATACTTTCCAATGTCTTTATTAAGTGTGCCGTCCTTGATGCATTTGGCTTGGACAGTACCAGCCACGATGAAGACACGGATGGTAGCGTGAAGCGTGCGGACATGTTCGACAAACTCTTTGACTGACCTGCCGGAGTGGACAACAGAGTCTACGAGGATGACTGTGGATTGGCCCCTCAAGTGATGGAGCTTCAGATCGTCGGGGGCTTTGGCGTGGACGAACATGGCGAGAGGGAAAGCATCACTGACACCAAAAGCCATGGGTTCACCTCCCCTCATCATGGCTACGATTGTTGTGCGTTCCTCGTGAAGCAATTGACAGCCTTTGACTTCGTTGCCCTGAACGTGCTTGATCGTACGCTCCTCCATGCCAATTTCAGTGGTGAGATGTTCAACCGCTAAGTAGAATCCAGCGCGACGATGCGCTTCCCTAAGATTGTTGCCAGCGATTGTTGAGTCACGCATAGCTGATGCTAGCAATTGTGAGGCACCCAACTTTTCTTTGTCGGCAAGAATGATTTTTAGAAATCTTCCAGTCTCTGTTTTCTGAGCTTCCATGATAGACGCGACGGAGTCTGTGCCAATAAGATTGATAAGAGGAAGCTTGTTCGTATCCAGTCGTGGAGGAGCATCTTTCGGCAGCAAGACCTGCCATGCGCGAAGACCAAGGTCGTAGGCCTCAGAGAGCTTTCCGTCCATACTTGCGCTCCTAGAATGCTTGTCACCAACAACTATGACAGCCTGGTGTGCTTTCTTTAGCATTTTGATGTCTACTGGACTGTCCCCAAAAGCCCAGACACAGATCGAATGATGCTCTCGAAGATATGTGGTTAGTTTACCCTTGATCTTAGGGGTGATGATCAATGTATCAGCAAGTCGACCTCCACCGATGACTTTGACTCCGTCATGAACGCCGTGGGCTTTGAGGACCAATTGCCAAACACGAAGGAGACCACTGGTGACGATCATTGCGCCAACGGCGGGATTGTCCTCCACGGATTTCAATAGCTTGACAAAGTCTGGGTACATGGTCACCTTCTTGGCGACCTCTTCACAGATATTTTCGTATTCCTCGTCATTCGCTGTCTCTTCGTAGAGCAACAATGCTTGGCAAAAGGCTATATATGAGTACTCCAATAGACTGCTGAAGAGCGTAGTCAAAGCGTTGCTCTCGCCGACCAAGTTCGAGGATTCTGAGACCGCTTTCCAGAACATTTTCCCCGTGTCTTGGGCAGTCATAGTCTTGTCGGCATCCATAACGAGCATGATCTTTGGGTGAGGATCCTTCTGAAAACATGTGCCGTCGACCGCCTTTTGAACATTCAATTCATTCCGCGTTTTGTCTTGGTCGCGGAAGTGGATGAGCAATTTTTTGATGTTCAAAATTGGTTCGGGAGCCGAAGGGATGGTTGTGAATAAGATACCATGATTGCGGCAAAGATGACGCATGGCTTTCTTCTCAAACTCTTGCCAGTCTTCGAGTTGCTTCTCTGTCAAGTTCTCACGGGTTTTCTTACTATCCTTTCGGCGACGCTCCGCAACTTCATTTGCAGGAACATCGAGGTAGAGGATATGCGTGTATGTAGCGAGGTCTTTGTTGGTGTAAATTGGAACTGGGGCCTCTTCTTTCTTAGACCAAAGGGCGTAGTGCCCAGCAACAACGGCAATTTGATTTGTGGGTGTGCACTTCCCTTCCACTTTACCGATGGCTTTCTCACGGAAGAAGACTTTGTTTTTCTCAGTCTGGGCATCGAAAGTCTCAAAGTTGTCACTAAAAACGTCTTTGATGGCCTTTGACCCATCGTGAAAGGCGAATGCATGCTCCCCCAGATTCTCTTTCAACTGGTACAACAACGTCGTCTTCCCACAACCCGAGACGCCGTAGAGACCGATAAAGGGCCGTTGGTCACCAGCAAGTTTGGCCTTTGCATGGTCTTTCTCTGAAAGGCCTGTGGTAGGAGGCTCCAAACATGATCCTGCCATCTCGTTGGTGTTTTGATTGTCAGAGAGATCACTCAGTGCTATTAATGAAGAGCTATTGGGGTTGAACTGAAAGCTTCGGCTAGGCTTGATGTTGTCAAATGCTTTCGAAAGCTTCCAAGAAATTAAAAATGTGAGGTGATCGAGTGAATGAAGTGGTCAAGTAAATCAAGTGTTCGAGTGAATAAAGTGATCGAGTGAATGTTCTTCTCAAGGTTATGCTTTTTATTGGGTCACAGAGACATCTTGCGTCAGTGGCATCGGCAGCAGCAGGGGTGAAGTAAGTGCGATCTGCATGGGCCCGAATGAGCGGTCGGAAAGTCCCACCTTCTTCGAGCCAAGCAAATTCCAGTCTGCTCATGTAGTTTTTGACCATGAAATCTGGCAGAAGTAGAGCCAGTTTTACTTGTCGGTAGTTGGAGATCGCGAGAATTGGACTGGATAGATGCCGTCCAGAAGAATGGACCAAACTATCCCTCGATCAGGGAAGCAAAGGCCACACCCTTCGTAACCTCCGACCAACCTTTCCAAACTTCACCGGATCAAGGCCATGACGCAACGCCACCTCTCCAAGTTTGTGGTCCTTCCAGGGATTGATGACCTCACACACGCCCCTCCAATACGGGCTCCTGCACATCAAAGCAGCCACCCGATAGAACCCCCAACGCATCGTATACTTTACCAACATATATGCAATGGGCAAACCATGCCGTCCAAGATCAGAAGTTGGCAACTTCCGAACTGGGAATCCATCATACTGTGCTCTGATAGTAGCAAACAATACGTCCGAAGTTTCACTTAGCCTCTTTAACGCATTTGGCGCGTTGCGGTGTTCCAGCAGCTCCTCGCGCAGGCGGTCACGGTACCACGACGGCGGTGATTGGTGTGAGAGACTGAGCATGCGGTGCCAACGTGAAAGAACGTGGTTGCCTATTCCCCGCATGGCTGTAGATGTGGAGTTATGCAGGGATAGTGGAGTACGGAAGCTGGCATACTAGCTCATTGACACTCTGGATTGAATGACAACGTCTCGGGGCAGCGAGGCTGGCTTGTGGCAAGTTAGGGTTGACCTTCTAGGAGGTAGAGTATCAAATCGAAGTGGAAGTAATTTCCAAAGCAAGAATCGAGTAGTATGATGGATGAGACAACACATGTTGAGGAGAGCGGACAGCTGTAGATATGTGGCAAACAAAGCGGCTGCCCGATTGAGATTTAAGATACAGCTAGTGTATAGTACGACTAGCGTATCTGGACTAGTACATTACATGACGTCACTCCACGCTGACTAAGGATTGGCTTGGCTCGCCGAGTCTTGGCACTGTTGACCGAGGGCATTTTCATCATGCAAGACTGGGCGCCTTATACGAGATTACATCTGCCAGCTCCATGGACTCATCTCGACGACAAACGATGCATTAACGTAAGACTCGACCACATTGATCAAGGAAAGAGTGCCTTCAACTAATTCAATCCATCCATAAGAAGCAATCGGAGCTCATGCATATCTTCCGGTCGCGTTCCTTCTCTCAATTTCTGACATACACAATGAACTATAACCTCTAAGGTAAATTTTGTTGTTTCGAAATATCTATGCTCATCCAATGGTGGGGAACGACTTTACCGAGCAACAAGGACGCACCCTACAAAGCCAGCGAGGCGCTGACGCGGGATCTCTGAGAGGCAATATGATCCCGCGAGGATAGTCTCCAATCAGCAGACCGTTCGACCCTACTTGTCTGGAGCTGCTAAGGTTCTGTTGAAAGTAAATGAGGGTGCTCACATTCTGCAACGCCAACAGGTTTTGTCCTTTCCATTCCGCCAGCCAGGACTCAGCATCAGCATGCTCCCAGTCCCGTAGATCGAGGGACCCAGAGATTTGAAGTGCGGTAGATCATCTAGGTGTCGCCTGATTCCGAGACACATTTTGCACTGCGTGGAATATCGCTGCCTATGGGTAGCTGCACCAACAGCGGAATGATGTTTCAGTTTACGCGCATGTCACCGGACTTCTGATGCATCGTACAACATCATGGCATAAATCATCTCAAAAGTTTAATGCTGTGCAGATAGACTTATGAGTCTCAAAATAGCCTTTCATAATTACAGCCACGCCTGCATGAAATGCCATCCCTGGCGAATACCAACAAAGTCTCTTCAACATTGCGTCAACAGCCCGGTATATGAGGCTTTTGGACGCAGCAGGCAGTTTCAGCCCACTGTTCAAATATCTCACATATATCAAACATCATGGTCCCGACCGTGAACAGGAACAGCTTAAGCAAATACGCCAGCCATACATACGACAGAAATGAATCGCTCTCCGTCGTCATTCCTGCACACGATATTGCTGTTCTTGAGATGCTGCTTCGCAGATGATGTCAGTACTTCTGTGCTCTATCCCCATCATCTCTCGCTCAGAAAAGAGTAGTTTATGCAATGCAGCTCGAGGGCGGTGATACCGAACGTGCCAGGCGCAGGGTATCGAGACCTAAGCATTCCCACTGCAATCAACTCACTAGTTCAGCTCTGCGGGGATTTTAGCAACGGTTTGGGCATATTCTGCTATACAGACGAGGGACCATTAGCGGTGTTCACACCCCTACCAGCACTTTTCGATACTGCACAGCATTCATATCTCAGGAAATCATGTGCCACTAACTGCTGGTGTACCCGTCGTCGGAGGGAAGACGATGTCGTTCGGTCGTCCGGAGTGGTGATAGCACCAGTCGGTCCCGGCTTCTATGTTCAGAATGCCAACGGCTTCTATCTTCTGGACATCGATGGTGACCCGGGGCAAAGCTCGGTCAACAACGCAGCTGGAGGAAACGATGGAGGTCACGCCTCAACTGATGATGACACGGCGTGGGAAGGGAGCATTCAAGACGATCTGGGCGAGGTTGGTGGAGCCTCTGATTTGACTAACTCGCAGCCCAGCTGGCTTTCGGAAGGTTTTGGAGAACCTCGTGGCAACCCATCGTATTTAAGCCTTTCAAGTATTCCTAGCCATCTAGATGATGACCAAGATGACTTTGGCAGCATTGCTACTACCATCGATACGGAGTCCGATGGTTTTGCTTCGGCGATTATGAACCCCACACAAGACGCCCTGTATGCTGATCCGACTTGGGATGAAGGGGTCATCTGCTCCGTAGATCTCTTCGGGAATCCTTCTGCAGATGACTGTCGAGCAGCCATAGAATCACTGGATGCAGCTTTACCACATGGCTTGCTAGAGCCGCGTTGGTATCGCAACCAGCAATTTGCGGAACAATTCGTCAGTTCTCTTGAAGCGCCGGTCATAAAACTACCGTGGAGTAAGACTGTTGGTAAGGACTTTAGCTTTGTCGAACAGCTTCAGAACTCGATTGAAGAAGTTAGGTACTTGCGTCTTCGCGATTCGAATGATCCCTTTTCGATCCGTCAGCGACTCGGAGAACTTTGATTACATCGAAGCTCGAGCGAATGCCATCAATAAGAAGTGTGTCTCAGGTGGAGGCACCGGAGGCTGGGCGAGGGCAGGTAAAGCTTCTCTGAACCCACTCCATCCCTGACCATCGGTCAATTGAGCTAACATCGCAGGCACGACAAAACAAGCCATCGCCATATACCTCTTTGGCCCCAGATCAACCATGGCCGAGCGTCTCAACATCGACCAAACATGCGGCATCAACTACGCCGGCGTCACCGAATGCCAATATGAATCCAACGACAAGGAGAACGTTAACCCAAGCACGCCGCCCGCAATCCCTGACCCAAATGCAGTCGCCAAACCAATAGCAAGCCAATGCAGCGGCACATGCGCCGGAGCTTGCGGAGAAGGCTGCCAGTGCGCCTACGCCGACCTCGACATTTTCAATCAACGCCACGTAGCGAGCGACATACCCTTTTCCGCCACCTGGGGCACCTTCGCGTGCCAAGCTCTAACATACGCCGCGGTGGGCGCATCATCGTATGCGAAACTCGGCACAGCGTGCTCATCTGGCCGCTGTCTCCTCGAAGCTAATGGCTCGGTGGCTGTGGCGAATGCTAGTGGCACGCTCCCACCGCTGCCGGATGCGTACAGTAGCTCGCCTTTGACGTGCGCGTGTAATTGCACGTATGCTAGCCATGGCTGTTGTTTTGCCAATCCGGTGTACGAGGATCGGTTTCAGAAGGCGAATGTTACGATTCTGGGGCCTGCTGGTACGTGCTGTGATCATAAGACTGGGATCTGGGTGCCGAATGGGGTCGTGGGTCAGGATCTGGCGAAAGATCCCGCTTGTGTTGCGGCGGCGGGTGCTTCGTCGGTGGTGGCGGTGCAAAGTACGTCGCGCAGTGTGAGTAGTACTGCTGTTAGGGTGACTGGCAGCGCGGGGACTGGTTCGGGAGGTAGTGGTCGAAGATTTAGATCATAAGAGACTCCTTCCGCTGCCCCTACAACCTACTTGCTCTCATCCCTTCTCAGTCTCAAAAGGCTCATGCGCTTGTACCGTCGTTATCCTCACTTCTACTACCCCTCTTATACTCTTCGGAAGGTTTTTCTGCTTGGTATGCAAATCCGAGTCTTTTGGTTTTGGGCGGGCTTTAGGCAGCAACGATTCTTGGCACCCGGCAGAAATGGCACCTACTACAAAACAGGTTTCAACACAGATATGTCTCTACCAGGCCAGCAAACGACCAGTCGCGAAGAGTCCATTCCGAGTCGCGAAGGCCATGCATAAAGGTCTGTTGCATATCAGGAAGGCGCGCGTCATGGCTCTCCCGAAGGACAAACACCTGAGAGCGAATCCAACGCTATTTAGTAGTGCGTCTGAGAACCATGGAGTTTATGGCGGCTACCGTGATTCATTGGGTACAAAATCTGAGTAATCATATCCGGGCAAAGCGACAACCCGTGAGCCTGGATTGTCTCACTCTGTAAGGCATATTCTAGGCAGATGCATAGCGCCGTCACAGCTCTTGACTCTTCGCACCGCCTTGTTTGAGATTCGACTTTCCTTGATAACAAGTCATCCCACAAGTCCTGCTATTAAATTTAGCTTGAAATTACCCCTTGGATTTGTACGCGATCTATGTGATTTGTAAATATAAGAGAACATACCTCAAGCTCTGGCGACAAACTGCTTCATTCATTGCCTTGCACAGACGAGATACGAGCTGCAAAGGGTTTTAGCGATCGCGTTTCAACTATCGACGTGTTGGAGCCCGTAGACCATTTGGCCAGATCGGATTAAGCTCAGGGAAAGAGATGCGCTGAGCTGAGAGACTGGAATCATTTGTTTCCTATTGCCAAACTCGATGACGCTTCTCATTTAGCCAGTCGATCATTCTTGCCGGGCATCTCAGATTCAAGAAATAATAAGTATGCCTCAGTCAGATCGGACTAGTGACAAGCAAATACGTGAGAAATTAGACATCGGTTCGATAATTAGTGCCGTGGAGCAGCAGTTGAAGACTTATCCAGAGCACGAATATTGCGATGGAAGCTGCACCGGCCAGCAAATTCTGAACAAGCTGTCACTTTCAGGTGAACCGGGAGGTACCATGTCGCGAAAAACCCAGCCAAGGATTGTACCAACTGGAAGAGTTTGTCAGGATGGAACATGGCTTGAGCAACAAAACCGTACTCCCTTCGAATATAGTGCGCTTGGATCTGGGGATGCTGTCATACGACTTGTGCGTATCAAGCATGCTTATTTTCCAAAAGACATTATTGAGTGTGATATGAAAAATGTCGATCTGAACACAAATCCTGGCTTTGCAGCTCTCTCTTACTATTGGGGTCCACGTGTTTTCAATTGCCAGATGATTTGTAACGGAAAATTGATGGCGATCACTGCGACATTAAATGCAGCACTCAAGAGGGTTCGTAATGATTTCTACTCCAATTATTTCACGATGTTCGTCGACAACTTTGGCGCAAATGAACACCTCATCTGGGTGGATGCTTTGTGCATCAATCAGAATGATGAAGTAGAGCGCGACAGCCAAGTAAGACTCATGCGCCGAATCTATAGTCAAGCGACAGTGGTTCACGTAGACCTGGGTCATACGGACCTAAGTCGTTCAAACAGATCAGAATGGTTTCAGGGTTACGATCTTCTCAAGAGGCTGGCTTCAGCCGCCAAAGATATCGTACCAACTTCAAGGCGTGAATCAGAGGATCTGTATAGCAGATTTGGAATTTATCCTACACATCCTGCCTGGGTTACTTACCTTGACATTTTCGCAATGCCCTGGTTTCAGAGAACATGGACGGTGCAAGATGTCGTCTTAGCGAAAAACGCCATGGTCCGCTTTGGGGACTTCACGTTCTCATGGTCCTTACTTTCTCAATCTTTTAAGATGTTGGAGCACCTCGAATTTGATGTGAAAAGCAAGGAGGTCGTGCGCGGGTTTGAACACTTAAAGATCCTGGAAAGATTGATCGACGTGCCAAAGCACGATTCAAGCGGCATGAATCTCCTCTCACTTTTGCAGCTGACCACTGATTTCTCTGTTTCGGATCCAAAGGACAAAATACACGCCTTGTTGGGCCTTGCTGGAGTGAACGATCAATTGAATGGGCCGCATTTTACGGCTGACTATAGCATGTCGACCGAAGCCTTGTATCTGAGATGCGGAATATACTTCGTTAGGACAAATTGCGCAGACCAGATGCTACCTTTTGCGGGCCTACAGCATAGAAGTTCACAGCTTAGAGAGATTCCTTCATGGGTGCCGGATTGGTCTTCCCAGTCCAATGTTCATTGTTCTCCACCAGTAGCAGACCTTCGACCAACGGCGTACACTGCTACACCAGGGACAAAACTCCATGCTAGGTTGAAAATAGCCTCATCCTCACCGAAGTTCCGGTCTAACATCCTCGTCATGAAGAGGAAAATTGTAGACCGACTTGCTTTTGTAAGCGAAACCTTGTGCCTGGACAATCGACTGAAGACGCCTAACGATCTAGAGGCCATGATCTTCCTCCACTGGCATCAAACTGCTGAACGGCAGACGTTCCTCCATTATGATAAGTCTTCTCCCAGACAGATATACACCGATATTCTCGAATCATTCATCTGCACCTTGCTCATGGATTCTGTCGATGAAAGTCCACAGATGACCGAGATCCGAAATCTCAAGACCACATACAGCTTCGCCATGAGCGCTCTCCAAGGAATTGCCCGAGATAACAGTAAGATCAGCCTCAGTTATCTAGAACCAAAGAATGAACGGGACACCCTTCTGCGTCGAATGCTCGAGGCATGCTCGGGCCGTAAGGTTGCGGTGACCCAGCGCGGTCTCATCGGACTAGTTCCCAGATGCACCAAGCTCGGAGATCAAGTCAACCTATTCCACGGCGTATCCGTGCCATTTATTACAAGAGACTCGGAGAGATCGCTGACTATTGAAGGTCACACTGGAAGACCCGTGGAGTTGGTGGGAGACGCATATATCCATGGACTTATGCGAGGTGAAGCGATGGGTCTCGGAGGTAATAGCGACGAGGAAGATGTCTGGATATGCTGATCCCTCGTCATCTCAAGAATCGATGACGGACTTTTTTTTAAAATTGACTGGCTAGACAGAGCCCGTTTGTTCATCTCAGACGTGATACTATTCTCAGGGGGCACAAGTCCCTCCCGCGCTCTCTCAGATCCATCAAGCTCGAGATGCTGCGCTACAGATCGTGCATACCTTCTGATTACGTCGTGACCTAGGCACTACACTACTACGTCCGAAAACCGCAACCGGGCTTTATCTCACCAGGTGCCGGATTGGGCAGTACGTGAGCATGACGATGTGATGTGTGTTTCGATGGGGAATTGGGCACATGTATGCTTTCGCCTGGGGACTGCCATTGCAACTCGAGTGACTCTACATCTGATGAAACGCTACAGCATGCCGCGGGATTATCGAATCCTTCTTCTAGAACGGCTGTCTACGGATGAGCCAAATTACATGAGCGGTCTGGATTAGCGCTTTGACGAGCGTTGGGTGAAATGGCTTCACGAGTAATGAACGCCAGTGCAGCTTGCATGTGCAACTATTCTGCCCAATCTAAGAGTATTGTGTCGTTGGGTGGCCTCCAGGTTGGCTGGAATCTTTTCCGGAAAAGACGGATGGTGTGACCATATCAATATGTTTGTGCGACAATTCGAGCTTATGAGCACCGATACTCTAAACGTATCTTACACATGATGGCAATGAAGGGCTGGCACCATCTCTGCTCCGTCATTTGCCATTCTCAATGTAGGTTTGTAATTTGGCGAGCTGCTTGCCATGAGTGCATCTCGAGGTATGTTGCTGAGGATTGACCGTATAAATGAAGAGTCGACAGTGCGTATAACATCGAAGTTGATGGCATAAGGAAAGCCATGCAAAACAAGTCCCTGGCGCACCTAAGACTGTCACCTCTTCCACCTGCTTTTGAGGATGCTATGCATAGACTGGCAGATGTGTTACCAATGAACCGTATCGGAATCTGTACTCCTTTGCTTGTGCTGTGTTCTCAAACGCATGCACGTTGTCAAACTGGTGGAAGTATTGCTTAATTCCGGAAACTTCAATGTTGTGCCCGATCGCTTGGTAGGAACAAGTAGTCCCCTGACCATAGTCCGAAGATCACTGTTCGGCACGACTCTCAAGATTATTCAGAAAGAGTCCATAATCCTTTATTGGTGCCTTATAAATGATGTAAATGCTGAAGTCTCCCGCTTCCAAGCTCGGATGCCAAGATCAAGCTAGTCTTTCCCGATCGGTCTGATACCTTAGCACGGCCAAACTAGTCAATCCGAGCCAAATCTTTCTGGGCTTTAGTCTATCTTAGCGCTGGTCAAGAGTCCAATGTATAAGGTTGGACCGTACTAGCTTACAATAGTTGAGAGTGCCAAGAGTGGCGGCTGCCTAGAAGACCAATAAACTCAGATAGTGGGGGCTTGTCAAGCTTCGAAGAGCGCTCTCATCTGACAACCAAAGTTGGAGTCGTGAGCTCAGAGATGCCTTCAGCCAAAGATCGCTTGTACATTGCGCTCTACGCACGTGGTGGGCATGGCAATTAAGACACGTATGTTGTCCAATTCTTTCCACCTGTGGCTAGTATTGAGTAAGCCGCAGCTACCACTGGGCCATGATCATAGGCCCCAAGGTCGAAACGAAGGATGCCCTCGGCATGCGCTTACATGCCAAGAACCGACTCGGCCCAGAAGGCAATGCGGTGTGGGAATTCGAGTAGGTTGACATCACTCTACTTCCTACTTAAATGCTCCTTGTGCGTGTCGTGGTAAGGAAGATTGAGGACAAGAAGCGTGTGCTTCGAATATTAAATGAGGTGCCCATTGTGCAGAATGATGCCAATTTCAACTGTCGAGTGTGGGTCATGTTGGCCTTGAAAGCATTGCAGGGAGATGCGAAGGCGCTGGGTAATTCAAAGTTGGATTGGGATGTTGTGAGGGAGGCTGCCTTGGAGTACGTTCGGAAGAAGAAAGGTCAGAATCGGTGACAGGCGGGCTCGAACACGTATAATCCGGACAAGGTTCCTGCCTTCGATTTGTTGGAGGAAAAAGAGACAATCTCGTGAATAGCTATCGTCGGGTGCCTTGGGATCAGATCAGGCCAAGGGTCGCAATAGCGGCGACCGTGAATGTTCTTTTTCTTTATATGGGGCCCCAGTACTCAAGCCGAATCAGGTCCATTTCCCGAGCCTCAGATAGCGGCTCGAGGAAGTTGTCAATGTAATCACTCCACCAGAAGTTTCTCGGGTTTGCATACCGAGCAGAGGTGTACTCCCAGTAGGCGGGATACCACCCGGCGGTCTCCCAATCCACGATGCCTACAACTTTATCGCCTTTGACCATGATGTTCAAGGTGCTCAGATCGCCATGCGTAAATTGTAAGGGCCAATCTGTTGACCTGTGCCAATCGATGAATCGCTGCACATCGGGGATTCCACATGTGTCAAGCCCAGATCTGAGCCACCTGTGAAATTCGCTGACCCCGCTCTTGAAGGGACCAAAGTAAATTGTCGGGCAAAAAGGCATGCGCCCATCATAGATAGGTCCACCATTCACATTCTCACATCCTACACCTTCCACTGGCTTTAGGCTATGCAGATTCCGAATCATGAGCTTCAGCTGATGGAAGATTTTGGCTTTCGATTCCTCGGACAGTTTTGGCCAGCATTTGTGTAACATCTCGCCATCAATTCTTTCCATGACTGAGTAAATGAGATGTTTCCGACGAAACGCCGCATAAATCTTGGGCACAGGGATCGTTGTGTTCTTGGCAATAAATTGGATCGTGTTTGCTTCCGCTACACCATGCTTGATGCAAATACCGCCAGGTAGAAACAGCACCCCTTGCTTTCGCCAGCGAGTCGACAGCTTTAGCAGTAGCTTGCTACCGCACAATTTGGTGATCACCAGCGTTGAGGCGCGGCGGACAAAGGTGGCGTTGATAGGTTCGCTGCCTGCGCGCCGAATGTCGTTCTCGCGCGCAATCGCGCGCTTTTCCTGCTCCTCAGTGATCATACTTTGCACATGACATGAATCTAATCTGGAGCACTGATGAAGATCATGATTGTACTCGCCAGTGTACAGTCTGGATCTACTGGAGGAAATCGATACTGACAGGGAAAGTTCGAAGAGTTGCCAAGGCTCTAGTAAATCTCGATTAGCGGCTCAACGATGATCCGGTCTCCGGGCAATGACGTCATCCCCAAAACAACCCAAGACAGAATGAAGGTAAACAACTTCTTACTAGTCACTTCTTCTGCCACATCAAGCCTGTGCACTCTAGCATTGCCACCATCATGATGACTTACCACTATTAGCATAGTCTTCATCTCTTGCCACCCCAGAAGCCCACCACGTACAGGTCATTAGTGGGTCGGTTTTGAACTCAATCCAAGGCCTCATTTCCTTCCCATAAACAACGGTGCTCATCCCTGGCCAGCCAATCCAGATGGATGTTTCCTAGAGTTTTGGAGCTAAATTGATTAGTAACCCTATCAGTCACCCACTGTCAACAATAATAATCTCCTATGCGTCCGCTAGTATCGAGCGATATTCGCGCTGACCTCGTCTCTAATGGCCCTGTACTATTGATCGATGTCTCATCCTTACCGATTCCCAGGTTCATCTCGCACCTAAACTACGGAAACTTGATCAGCAAACTTCCATTGGAGATATGGAGACAGATCATAGATGAACATGCCAAACTCATCCATCCCAAATACTGGTGTGTTCGTCCCAAGGCCATTCAAGAATCCCAGCACGGGAAAACGCTGTTTTGCCAAGGCGTTACTTTCAATCTCGACTTAGCAGATCAATTCTCTGTGGCCGATGCTGAGGACTTCCTGACTTCAACCGTGGGTTTTCAGCAAGGTCGCAATGATCAAATCAATGAAATTGGCAACTTGAAAAATGATGCGCCCCCGCGTTCTCCAGATCGGAACGATTACACTGATGAAGCTTCAGACAGCGAGGATGGAACGTTCGAAGCTGAGGACACAAAGGATCGCTATTGTATCTTCATGCCTAACGAAGAGGGCCCGATGGTCCTGCCCTTTCGACCGAGTAACTACGCTGACATCACCGTCCCTGACTGGATTGCCTTCTGCGACAACGGTGACTGCTGGGTCTGCGAAGGGGAGCGCAGAATGTGTCCTGGCTGCACGGGTGGCAAGTATCAGAAATTTGATTGCTTTGGAAGCTGCGGGAGCGGGCTGGCCTGTCCCTTATGTATTGGTATGCAGTTTGCTTGGGACGACAAGGATTTTTTAGAAACATACAACCACCCTTATGCGCCACCGAAGAAGGAATTAGTGGCGCGCTTTGCAAGACTCAATAGACGACTGGAGGAGTTTGGCTATGGACGATGGGAACCAGATATGGCTTCTCTGAAGGACTTGAAGGATGCAGGTGAGACATGGGTGAAAGAATACAAATAGAGCGAGAAAATGGGGTGTGAACCAATTAGCTTGGCAGCTCAAGCCTTGTAGATGAAAGCCAGGCTCGGAAGTTGAGTGGCTACTCTTGAGGGGCAAGTCCAAACTTCATTACCGAGTATACGTTACCACTGATTGCCAGATACTACTTCAAGCCTAGTGCTCTTAATAAAAATGTCTCCTCTCCCCCTGCGTCTCTGCTCTTATATAGTCATTGGCCTGATTTCTGTACACCCCTCTTTCATTTTTATAGAGAATTCTGCGATTGATGCGAGCTTGCGTCCGGGAAACCTTCATTTGAAGCTCAAATCTCGCGGCTTTTCAGTCTTAATGAACTGCAGGTGAACTTCGTTAATAGCCCGCAAAATCCTGCGGCTTCATGAAAAGGACTTCCAAGATAGACCAAGACTATTCGGCTTCATTAGCATCTCCAAGACGAGCGAGACTCATGCCAGCTTACAGACTCAGATTTTTCGCCCCCAGACCTTACCTGGCCCAGTGAAAGGATAGCAAGGGCCAAAATTCACTCCCGGATTTCTCTGCCATAAAACGACCATGAGATGTTATAGATTTGTCAGGGCAAAGAAGACGCCAAGCCCTTATTCAATTCACAGATATCTAAGCTATCAAAGCATAACTCAATCATGCACATCGGCTAGTGCCACATGTGGCAGAGCGATCACGCACAAAGAAAGCGCCCCGTATCGGCAAATGCACACCGCCACCGCCAATGTAAAAACCCCACTCGGCTCTTGGAAAGATGGCAAACAACCAAAACCAAATAGTCTGGTCGCTGACGATCAAACCTACTTCCGCCATTCAGCGCCGTCTTGGCGAGTCTACGCGAGATATCGAAACAAAGAAAATAAAGAGCCAGGATTTCGCCTGGAAAATACTCACTCATCATTTACCCGAGCGCCAAAACAACAGCCACAGCACATGCAAACAGCCTCAAGCCTTCAAATCTAGGAAAACATCATCCACCATGAAAGTTCCAGCAGCCCTCGCCTCCATTCTCCTCAAAACCGCTGCGCTTTCCTTACCATCTCTCACCCTACGCATGATCCCCCGCTACTTCCATCTTCTCAGACCTGTCTTGCTAGCGCGCACACACCCTTTCCCATTCCTAAACCCCTAACCCATTTCCCCTCCCCAGTCCTGTCACATCTCTACCTCCACAGCACCTTACGCGCACCTCTTCCCCAGCAACTGCTCCCACACCGCCACCATCACGCCCTCCCCACCCTCCAATTATTCCATCCAACCCGCAGCAAACCCGCAGCAGCCCCGTCGGTGCAGACGATACCTATCCCTAGGCCTGCGTTTAGAAGCCCGATCAGGTTTGCATTGAGGGGGGGGTGGTTCCGATACGGGTGGAAAGGTGGGGGTTTGATGGGTTTGGTGCGTTGAGGGAGCTGGGGAGTTGAGGGAGATGGGGAGTTGGGGGAAGGAGCGGAGGAAAGAGCGGGTGAAACGGGGTTGGTGACGTGTGGAGGAATAAGGAGCGGGAGGGGAGGGGGAGGGGCGGATTATGAGGGGTTTTGGGAAGCGATGCGAGAGTGGAAAGGGCAGATGAAGAAGATGAGATAGTCGTGATAATAGACGGTTAGTTGTCACGCCTTACTGACCAACATGTTTATCTTGTTGATCAAATTGTTAGGTTGGTGAATTCATTGACTAATCAGTTATCCGCTTGTCTGGTTTGTCAAACCACTGCTGCTTTTCATACAGCAGCAGCTGTTCTGGGCATTTTTACCTATTTAGTCTCTAAAGGGGTTCACCGTTGATATACTCCGATTAGCTCTTGCATCAATATTCACAGGCTGAACTCATCGTCGAAGCCTAAGGGTCATATAGCGATACCAAGTCTCGGGAGGGTAGGGGTCAGTATACTCTCAGACTAGAAAGCATAATGTATGAACTTGGGTGTACAAAATCGGCACGATCCAGTTAGTGAATTGAAGGCTTCTTTCTTAAGAGGGACCTTTAGTGATCAGACCTGACTAATGAATCAATCAATCAGAAAGACATTCTGTATGGCTGAGTACGTATTGAGGTCCCTTCACCTTTCGCAGATATTACAATACTGTATCCGAGGAGGCCTGTGCGATCGTCTGAGTCTCCGTCATGGCGTGTTCGCTCACTTGTTGCGATGCAGCTTTTGAGACGTTTACACTCTTTTCGTTTTTCTGATTGGACCGCAATTGTGTTACCGTGAATGATGGCACCCATGGCGACGGCATTCCTCTCTACGCTCGAAGTCTACGGCATCAAAGTGCGAAATTTGGGGGCTTTAAATGTCGGGTAGGTCAAAGACCCGTCGTCGCAATATCTCGCTTAGAGCACTTTTCTTGAAATGACTGTCTTTCTGTGATGTTCGGGCCTAGTCCGATGCGCGCATTGCGCTTCTTGTAGGGCTTGTATAATAATGATCAAGGCGAAATCCGTCGAAAATAGAATTCTTCCTTTCACATTCTCCTGATCTCATGTATGAAGCAAAGCGCTCGGACAAATGGTCGTAGGGTGTATCTACATTAGTTCAATACTCCAATAGCGCGTGGGCACTATTTGAGTAAACTTAGATGGCGATATTGGCGACCTTATGATCGGATCTAGTCCGGCTCATTGCGACGCATTTGAGTTTTTTGATAACAATCATTTGGTACCAATATTTCTGCTCATTATTACTCTACTCTTCTTGTGTTGTGTCTCCGAGAAAGTGTCACTATGCATTTTCAAATCACAACATCTTGGCTACTCGCTTTTGTCCTGTTTCTAGACTTCGGAAGCTGTGGGGATGCTGTGTGGTTGGTATTTGCAGAACCGCCACCACCATCGAAAGGACAGCAACAATTTGATACCGAAATAACAAATTCCTTACAAAAGATTCTAGACTCGTCACAAGTACTTGCCATCCACTCACAGTGGCTGGCCAAAGTCGCATTTTGGAGGATAGAGGCTACGGAAGATGAAGCCGAAGCGGCGCGCAGGATTCCGGGAGTAAGTAATTACACTGTAATTGCAGACTTGAGTCTGAATACGGGCGAAGATTGAGACCGTCGAGAGAAGCTCGCCGCTCGAGGCTGATGACGACGATGAGGGAGGCTTCGTGCCTAGCAGCAGCTCGCCGTCCGGCAATGTGACAAATTTCGATACATCCGAGCTGGATTTCAATCTTGATCCCATTGACCTTCGACTTCTTTCATGGCCGCCAAACAAAGATGTTCCCAGAGCAGATCTCATCCCTCCATACAAATTCAACCCTCGTTCTAGTCGGGATCCGGCTAACATATATGTGATTGACATGGGAGTCAATGTCGGCAATGAGGTATTTCCCTACTGTCAAAACGATTCGGATAGTAAATGATTATTCCAGGACTTCAGTCATCTCGCTACACGATCAGAGGATTGGATCTACACAGCAGGTATTGATCACAGTGAGACAGACAGCAGTGCGAAGGGACACGGCACATGCGTTGCATCCAAGGCCTTAGGCTCAATCAACGGCATTTTCAAGAGCTCATCGCTGGTACCTGTGAAAATATCATATCAAACAGCTGATCTTTCCGAAGCTCTCGTGACACTTCTGGACAGAATTTACCATTCGTCTGACCAGGCAAGGGCAGTGATAGTGTTGTCGCTCACACACCCAGTATCTTATGATCGCGGAACAACAATACCCACCAGAACATGGAGAGAGATTGATTTACATTTTATGGACCTAATGACTAGCCTCGAAATCAATATTGTTTTGGCAGCCGGTAATCACGCAGACCGTAGTGCCTCCGTTGATACTTTTCCAGCACGGCTACCGAATTCCGGAGGACTTTTCATCACGGCGGGAGCAGCTACGCAAGAAGGCAATAGGGAACTCAGCTCCCAATTTCTTCCCAACGAACCATGGGCCATAGGCGAAAAAGTCGCTTGTGCAGGGTTACCGGGTCAGCCGCAGACTGTCATCAAAAGTGGCACCTCCTTTGCAGCCCCAGCTGTAAGTGAGGTTAGGTCGATCGAAAATCATTTGGAGATGCTGACTATTTCAGGTCGCTGGTCTCATAGCTTACTTTATATCCAATGGAAATCTCTGGCCTGGTTTTAGCAAAGATATATTATTCGTACAACAGACTAAAAAATATATCACAGAGGTTGCCTCGAGAAAATACAGTCCAGTCACTGACCAAAGCCTCCCTGTCATTTGGAATCTGGAAGACTCGTCGATATCGAATGTCGCTAATCAAAGCAGCCCGCTTGAAAGTGTAGTGAGACAGCCGGCAGATCTCACATCATGAATACAAGTTCCGCTGCGACTTATGTTTGGGAACGTGGTAAGGAAGAAGCAGGAGTTCCCCAGTCGATATCTCCATTGGGACCTAGCCCGGGCATTGTAAAAATTCCAAAAAAACGGATTGACTTCACTTCAAAAGATCACCAGATTCCAAGCTTTTTCCTCCTCCATTGATGACTCTTGAAGGGATTTGATGGCCTTTCCATACATCAAATCTGGGATGCAGCAAGGACCGACGATTCTCACCTGCAGTGCATTCTCTTCATCTGGAGAATCTTCCTCTCGGAGACTATCTTCTGCAACTTCTTCGGACTCGCAAGGTCTGAGAACGAACGGAAGCTTGCCTCCCCTCAAGATTACTAGCAAATCTCCATCTTGTGCCGATGAAGGAACGAGACATAAGCGCGCTGACTCAGTGATACATAGACGTCGTAAGTCACGCGAGGCGTCGAATGGGTATGTGTATTGGTCGAGACTTTCTTGATCTCGAATGCTCATTAAATCATGAGAATTCTGGACAGTCGAGTTTAGGGTGTCTCGGATCCTATCTACAGAGTATCCCACGACAGTCAATTTAACGTACTCGGATACATTCTGAGCTACAGCTTTGGTGAATCCTGCAGCGGCATATTTGCAGCCAAAGTAGTCCCAGCAATCTTTGAGCTTAGCATGGGAAGTCGGCACACGCCAATCGGGAACCCATGACGGCAGGTCCTCCGAGTTCTGGTCTCGGTGAGTGTTGAGAATACATAGTATGTCTAGATTACGGTCTCGGTTGATAATGTACTTTGTGACTTCCTGATAGACTTGAGAGACCGTCTTTTCGTAGTCAATTTCGATACATGGTACAGTATTTGTGGCAGAATCATCTGCTGTTTCCGTTGGTGTTCCCGCCATGTTGAGGACTGAATACACTTTATCCCTTGGGTCCATCGCATCAAACTCCCGTCCGACCATAAGCAAGTCCACAAGGCCACCAGCATGATAGTACCAGACACTTCTAATGTGCCCAAATGGGTTTATAACTGCCTGTCCGTATACCCAGCCCCGCTGCAGGAATTCGAGCGGAGCTTGGCTTCTTGCGAACTCTTCCCCGACTGTTTTAGAGTCCTGCTTCTGTATAAAGTTCCTGACGCTAGGTAACCTTGCTGCACAGCGCTTCAGAGCATACCATGACATTTCATCATCACCACAACGGACCTCAATCTTCTTCGCCACCGCGACTTCTTGTCGAATCCAGCTTCGTCGAAAGTACGACCGTCGATACAAAGCGACGAGAGCCCTATAAATACTCTCCAGTCTGTCATAGCAGGTCACATTGTGCTGTCGGAGTAGAACTCTCTGCCGATCTCTGCGTCTGTCAAACATTTTGAGAAAATCTACAGCCATCCCGCTCTCCTCGTCCGCCTTCCCGAGCCAAACAACGACTCGATGAGCAGATCTGTAAACATCATGCATACGACGAACTTGACTGTTTCTCTCTGGGATGTTCTCTTGATCTATACACAAGGCATCTACCCAGAGATAGCGGTATCCGTCGGAGGGCCGTAGATGGATGAGTGCCGAATGGAGATTCTTAGTGATGAATAAACGCTTTGTTTCGCATCGGATTGAGTATGGACGCTCAGAAGATCCCCAGGTATACGACAAGGCTTCATACTGCCCTCTATATATGCTCTCGTTGTTTTCACGTCCAAAGTCTTCTCTTGGGCCAAAGGTCATGGGCAGTAGCTTCCCCACCAAAGGTGATTTGTCATTGGCACCTTTGAGAACCAGTATGCGTGTCTGGCTTGGAGAGATCCTGGCATAAGTGTACGTCTCAAGCCGTGGGTCATGCTCATCAAGTGCATTCTCATTGTCTGTTGCACTGGCGACAATCCCAGACTTACCCTCTAGCCGAAGTGGGCAGTCTGGATCACAGCGTTGATTCTGAGGTGATGCTTCGTAATTTGTGACAGATATATCAGAGACGGACGATACGGATGACGATCGCTCGATATCTTTCAATTCATCAACAAACTCTCCTTGGGCCATCGAGAATGCCTTCATCTGGCGCTTGGTCTCCTTTCGTGCCTTTTTTGCGAGCTCCTCGTGGTTTTCCATCGTCAGATCCCCAGCGTTTGTCAATTGACTCTCTGGGCGTAATTCTGGCCCATCATTGTCGTAGTCTATATCGAAATTGCCGTGCATATCAAGTGCAACAGAATCGCCTTTAGGCCATCGACCCGTGCGTCTCAGGTTTGCGTAAAACCTTTCGTCCAGGTCCTCTCTAGTTATTGAAATGTTTGAGGATTTTGCGAGTAATTTCCCTTGCGGTCGTTGTAGACTGGTAGCAGTTGAGGCTAAAGGCGCCTCGTTGTACTCGGTGTGCCTAGAGTCTCCCATGATCTCACTACTTTGCTCCTCCTCGGCTAATCCCCGTCCATGCCTTTTCTGGGGCTCTTTTGGTGGGCTTGGGGAGAGACGGAAGACTTGTCGATCCTGGAGGAAAACATAGGCGAATTTCCCGCTCACAGGCCCTCCAATTACCCCTTCTTGTAACCATCGCATTCTGCCGTCGACCATGACGCCTTTACGAGGCCACTGTCGATCATCATCACTTCCGACATCTGGATGATCCTGGCGAGCTTCTGCGTTACTAGACATTCAGAATTCGAATATTAACTAGTGAGAGACAAAAAAAAGCCCTCTTCTTTGGTTAGTGATTGCGAATGGACAGTTCAGATCAAAGGAAAGATAAAATGCGGGGTTGGAAAGCGTTTGCAAATGCCAACACTTGATGCCCGGCTTTGACCTCGGCATTGGACCATCACATCCTTCTTTTTTATGACGCAAAAATGTAAGGTCAGTAGTCTCTTTTGTGTTCCCAGTAGACGTTCGTCCCAGGGTCGGGACTCCATATACTGAGTAGAATATTTCAATTGTTGATAAAAGCAATATAGTTGACCGAACTCATCTGCGCTCTCAAAAACCACGGAAACAGATGCTAATATGCAGTCAATGTATCAGAGAGTCAAAAGAGAAGGAGCATTTAAAGAATTCTAAATCGAACTACTTCAAAGCATTCAATTTTACCTACGTAGCCTGCTTTTTCCACTCCCTTTTCAGACCCATGATTCAAGTGATTGCACGCAGGCTTGAGCTTTACCGCAATAACATATAACTGTTTTATTCAAGTTTCATTTTAGCTAGTGTGGTGTGAAAAGATGATGGACAAAATAGCGGGGACTTTATGCTTCTACCAAATTTCCTGTAGAATTATTAAGCTATCGCGCATTCTATTCTTTGCCAAGGTGGGCCTCCTTGGGAAAGACACCTTAGTTGTGGCCAAATGTCACTGTGTCATCCGCAGCCAAGCTACATTCGAAGAGTCAATCGCTGATGTAGGCGACCGGATCAACAACCTGCAACCCATTGTGCCGGTGATACTATTTTGTGAAGAAACTCTTCAGAGCATTCATGTCATCACCATTTTTTCTCCTATGCTGAATCTTCCTCAAGACACGGATTTGTGACTGTGTCGCTCCCTTATATTTGGCAGTCATGATTCAGACCCTGGGCTTCTGCAGTAAGCCAATCAATTCATTCATATGAATCCTTGATATCGCAGAAGTGAAGACCAACCTATGTATTCGGAACATAGGTATCGTTAGTGACCAAAGGGAGACAGATCTGATCGACTCTAAAACGTAAAGCATTCCGCCAAATTACGCAAAAAGCGAAGGATGTTTATCAACTCACTTGCACCGCACTTCCCACCCCACTCAGACCTCCTGATCCCAGATCCTGGCTCCCCAGCGTCCCCAACGGCATCGACGCCGCACCAAACCCCAACCCATCAAACTCCCCTGGCCCACTCCCCAACAAAGCCCTCACACTAATCCCCCCCACCGGCACGCCAAGCGACCCAATATCGACACCATTCCTCCCCCCTCTGCCTGCACATCCCTCGTGACAGGCACAGCTATCGTCTCGCCTTCCAAACTCGTCTCATCCCTTACAACCGTCAAATTAACCACCTCAACGCTCCTCGTGTATTTCTCCCACGACCTGCCCCCCACCCCAGCCGAGCCATCCTTCCCCTCGAACGCGAAATCCTGCCTGTGGCTGCCAAAACTGTAGGATTGGTCGTCGGCGTCGGTGTCGAAGTACTTCCCTTCGCCGGACTGCGTAATCGTCCAGGACGCAGTCATGTCGGCGGGCGCAGTTGCGTTGATGGGGCTAAGTTGGACTTCTTGCGTGCTGGTGTCGAGCGGCATCAGGGCCGGACTGTCGAGGTTGAAATTCTGGATGCCGTTGGGGAAGACGGAGGGCCCGGTTATGGAGAGGGAGAGCCCGCTGGAGACGCTGCCGGAGAGAGAGAGGCTGCCGGCTGACGGCTTGGACCAGGTTGTGTTGACGCTGAGCGGGTAGGTGTATTCTCGGGAATATCCGGATTTGGAGGTGTCGTTGCCCTTGGTGGACTGGGTGATGGCTTGTGTGCGGCCTTCGTCGGTTAAAGAGCCGGCGTTATGGAAGGAGAGGTCTTGCGCCCAGGAGCCGCTGGACGAGCTTATGCTGAGGGAGCGGGAGACTTCGATGCTGTAAGTCAAAGACTCAGGGTCGCCTGTGGAGGTGGTGGATTTCGAGGATGAGACTTCGATCCTGGGGTTTTCTGCCTGTATCGAGGGGGGCTCTGGTTGAGAGATGGTGGGGCCGTCGCTGTTGAAGAGGAAGATGGTTCCGCTGATAACCCACCATCCTTCGACCGTGTCAGAGAGTGTCGCATTGCCTTTTCCGTCGTCATTCAGTCCGACGATCTTGATCTGGAACTCATGATCTTTACCATCGGAGAGATAACCCAGCCACGGCGTGACATCGATCTCATGTTGCTTGAGATCATAAGTGCCTATTTGGACGACGGGCTGCCAAATGCCCGGCACTAGGCCACCAGTAAAAATGTATGGAAAGGGCCACGAGACACCAGCCAATTTCCCGTCAATGAGCAATTGTACTTCGCGAAATGGCGAGTAGCGAACAAGGCTATCACCTGTCCGCCTCTTGAAAGTGTCGGCGTCTGAGGTGAGGACAGCATTGTACCAGAATTCTTCCCTTTGCTGCCCGCAAGCTGATAGAGACACGACAGCTTTATTGTACTTAGATTTGAACGAGTAAGTCACCTTCGCGACATCACTTGGTACTGAGAAGGCACTTCCCTCGTCTTTCCCAGAGTTTCCTCTGGAAATTGGTAGGATTTCATCTGCGACCTGACGATTTTGGGGTACGGTAAAGAATGTAGCAGTGAGGGTTGTAATCAAGGGTCCAGTATATGGACCTCTGACAATGTTTGGCATGTCAAAAATCAGCTTCTGCTCCTGCTTCCAGAGGGTATTATATTGGTCCATTTCCTTCACGTAAGTCCAGATTATGCCATCCGGGGTAGGTTCCGAGGTTGTTGTCCTGAAGACTTCTATATCACCCAGGTACATAATACCCATTCTATCAAATTGTTCGCCCTTCACCCTCACGGTGAAATTCATGGTCACCCGGTTGAACGCGCAAGGTGGGGGTTTGTAAGTACCTAAATTGTTTAGGAGAGTCAGGGTATAGGAGCACACGCTTATGCTGACCGACGAAAGGGAAACCATATGTGTTCTCAAACACCTTCTCCATGAGGGTCATAGTATGTACACAACCATATTTACCCTCTTCCTTTGGTGTGAAGACAGGCTCGTAGATTTGAAAGTTGACGAGTGGATCCGAAGATTGAGTCAAATTGTTCAGAGTACTGTTCACAAGGCTCAATCCTGAAAAGGCAGCTTCAATATAGGTAGGAAGAGACAGGATGTAAGTGACAACTGCGAAGCAACTGATAATGCTAAGCCTTGAAAACATGTCGAATAGATGAGAAGCTCAAAGACAGCTCGTGGATAGCCTACTGTGCATATATAGCCCATGAGAGCAGCACAAGCAGCGACAGCGCCAACATGGCGGAGCGGGTTGATGTCTCCGGGAGATCTGAGACTTTCTGCCGGCGCATGAGTTGGTGGACCGTTAGCTTGCGCAGAGCCAGCAAACGCTCCCTCCGCGCTTCCCCTCCCTCCCATCAATAAGCTGCAATGTCTCTAAAAACTCTGGTGGTCGCAGACGGTGCCAAAAAAAGATCGAAAGCCTTGTTGAGGTTCAGCCTGCGGCTCTCACGATTTATTTCCGAGCCGCGACCACCATGACCGAAAGTTCCAAGGCTGACTCGACGGGAGGCATCTCAGCTTTACTTTAAATTCTCCCACAGAAACTATCATCGTATACAAGGTTCTCATAGACCTGACTAAGATGGAAGGAAAATGAAATGGGCAGCTATTTTAACGCACTGCAAGTGCACTTCAGTACACTTCTACTAATTTATGCACGCTCTACGAAGGGTGATCAGATCTTGCGCAGCTGAACGTGAAGTCGCACGATCTGTCAGCTGGTAAATGCATGGCTTCTGTTGTTGGGAGCAGAATCAAGACCAAACCGAAAACTCGCGGCTCAAGACCAACGAGAGTCAGGCTTCAAGGTTGCAACCAGCGCCGCAGTGAAAACTCGCCATGATAGCAAGTACAAATTACCGAGAGCAATGGGTTGAGAGCATATCGAGGTTGTGCGAGAACCGCTAAGCAAAGACCTGGGAGCTTCTCATATCGCGTCTCGCCAAACGAGAAACGGAATGCATTACCACAAAGATATCATTCAGACACCCACCTGGCAATAGAATTATCATCGTATCCAAGCAAGTACGAAGGGACGAAGAGGAGACAGGACAAGATAAGGGTACGAATATAGGACTCTGAGGCCCCACCCACTACTATTGCAAGCCATTATCTAACAAAGGTACCACGACCTACCTACCACCCACAATCAACTCGGCAGCGCCTCGGGCGCCGTAAACGACCGTTTCTGCTGCAAAAGCCCCTGCACCACCGTATACGGCGCGTCCTCAAACACAGGCTTTGTCTCCGGCGCCACGACATCCATAACATTGAACGCCGTGCCCGCAGCTGAGCCCATATCGTATGGCTGCAACCACGCTCAATCAATCTCCCAGCCCCACTGACGGGATGGGAACGGTGCCATTGGAGGCAGGCGCGGTGGCGGCGTCATCGAGGCGATAGTCTGCCGCTACCTCTTTCAGATTGTCGAAGGGGGCAACGTCTTGGGGGATGAGGAAGGGGCCCATTTTGAAGAATGCAGAGATGGATTTGAGACCGGCGTCGATTGTCCAGGCGGGCAGTTTGAGTTGCTTCATCGGTAGGAGAGAGGTTGTGAGGGAGATGGGCGTGAAGGGGTCGATTATGCCGGCGAAGACGCGCGTGTTGCGCATGCGTTCTTGCGCGAAGTTCGTGGCGTGCGGGTCCGGGTAGAAGGGGGAGATGGTGGGCATGGAGCGGGAGGGACCGTTGGGGATCGGTTCGTCGAGGATGGAGCGGGTGTGGTAGGTGTAGTAGTCGCTGTAGTTGATGAGGACGCCTTTGTCGACGCTCGGGGCCGCGGTGAATAGGCCGTATAGCCCGTCGTAGATGTTGTCTTTGTCGCCGATTTTGAGGCCGAAGTTGTAGCTGGTGAGGTAGTCGCTTGCAATGCGGCCGATTTGGCGTTGGTTTGCTGTGCTTCTGTCTTCTGCCATCGGGTTGGCGAGTTCGAGGTTTATGCCGAAGACGGTGAGTGCGAGTGGGCGTCCGAGGATGCGGAGCATGGACTCGGCGTAGCTTGTCGGGTTGGCTTGGGTGGTTTCTGTTGTTTCTGTGATGGAGCGGAAGAATCCTGCCAGGTATCCCTGGTCGGCGAATTTGGTTAGGAGGCCCTTGAGAACCGGGTCGATTGTGTTGTAGAGTACTGTGTCCACCGCAAAGGGACGAGTCATTGGATTTTGACTTGCGACGCCAAATTCTCGCACAAAGCGGCCTGTACTTGTGGTTAGCCACAATAATTACAAGGTTCTTCGATTGACGCACCGTCTGGCGTGAAGACTTGCACGCTGACATTTGCCGGATTGATAACAAGCCAGCCTCGTATTGGGTTCTCCCACTCGTCTAGCTGCCGCCATGTCGAAGGGATATCCTCCTTGAGAAACGAGGCGTTTATACGTGCATCCTGATTGATACTTGGTGGAAGCTGACCAAAGTTGCATTTAGTGTCTGTACGAGGTAGAACGATCTTTGCTGTGCCATCAACATTCTGATCTACGGAGTAGAAATCACCAAGACAGGGGAACAGAGGCGTTGCTGTTGGTCCAATAGGTCTCGCCGCGTTAGAAAGATCCGTATACGGTTGGACTCCTCGGACAATTTGTCCAAATTTGTCGATGATGTTCAGCTTTGTGAATCGGAATTGCCCGTGTGTACATGCTTTGAATGGTGATCTTTGAGCAGGGATGTCAATTAGAGAGGCAAAGGGGGTTTTCGATGTGTGTCCTTGATGTTTCGTTTTGTTAGTAACATGACTCGATGCACAATTCGGTAAACAGATTCACAAAATCAATGGTTGATCACGTAAATGCTGGGCGGTCTGACTAGTCAAGATAAGAACATACCTGCCATTAGCATAATATCAGCCTTCCCAACGAAGCCAATCTCTGCTCCTACTGTCAATGCGTCGTCTGTAGGTACGAGGCCATATTGTTGAGTCCATTGCAAAGGATTGACATGCATGCCTTGCATTTGGGTCAGCAATTGGTCCGTAAAGCCGACCATTGGAGCCGATGAGAAATCCAATGCCCTGGCGCCCGCTAGTAAGGCAGCTTTATCGTTGGCACTTAGAGAGATTTCATCCGGATTGAGTTTCGCAAATACTCGATTCAGTCTCGTTTCTAAAGCTGACCCAGCTTATGGAAGAATGGGGCAACGACCTTTCAAAATTCGATAGCTGTTCTGAATGAGTACACTCGCAGGATCTGCTTCTGCTTTAAGAGAATAGCCAATTCTAGCTTCTGAGCCCTGAGGAACAAATTCCCAACTCTCGAACGGAACATGGTAATACTCGACCTCCCGTTCGACGAACAATGGGAACCATCCATTCTTCCATACGCCAGCGTCGTGTATGGTGTCTCCATTGTGATAATAATTGGAATTCGTGCCGAGAACTGCCCACTGGTCGTCACGCAGCAGGCCTTCACCCATAGCGCTAGTCATCGCTGAGCTCAGGACCGTGGGTATCTTTCCACCAAACAGCAAATCATTCGTAAATGGTGACCAAGCAGGAAACCCCGATGATGGTGGCGGGTTGATTGAAGCTTGGGGATTTGGTCGGACCTTCAGATCCTGGTCCCAATCCGCTGGCCACTGCGAGGATAAGCCTGCAATGAGGAGTGTAGGATCATGCTGCATGTAAAAAAGGACTTTCAGTCCCGACCTGTAGATTACCAAGCTGAGCCTTCTTGGCGGCTATCTGTGTTTGAAGGTCAGTAATCAAGCCTAGACCGGCTCCAGATCCACGATCAACTTCGTCGTATATGTTGCGAATCCTTTGGAGAAAGCCTGTCGTTATTGTAGACATACCGGTTTGGTATCGTGCATTGAGTTCATCTGTACCGTAACTGTTCCTATCGGCCATGTACATCCACCAAGTAGCGAATAGCTCGCCCTTGAGGTAGTCTTGCTCTCGAAGAACAGCATTCTGATGCACTTGGAGAGCATTCAAATCCCTCAAACCTTGCGCCTGAGCATCTGTAGGGACCGTGGGTTGAGCATCGTTCGGCAGGCCATCAGGCGCTTTAAAATGCCACGTCGATCCTCCCGTATGGGGTACAAAGTTGTCCGTCGACAGCATGTCCTTGGCCATCAATTGAGAGTCAACGGTATCGTTGTTGTTGAACACTAATGTCTGAAGCTTCAAGAGATCTGTTCTGATTTGGTCAATCGTGACATTACCCGTATCGGTGGTCGATCTGAGCCAGCCGAATTTTGCGTCAATAGGATTCGTACCCACGGCGACGGGATGTGTGCTTGTGAACATTTGCTGAATCTGGTCGCCAGGGTATACGAAGGTCGTCGGAAGTGAGCTAAACCAACGATCAGCTTGAGAGTCTAGATCTCGTTAAAGTCCTATAGATGCACGCAGTGTAGACAAGGGGAGAGGCTGCTTCAAGGCCATTCCTTTGACCCTTTTTGTGTACTCAATTCAGGCCGAATATCAGGCAGATCACGAGCGATTCATTAACATTTCAAAATAATCCTACTAACGTCGAGCTTACCACCAGCTGCCCAATGTAGAGATCGAAAGGAATCGTTCCAGCGCTCGTGAGTGCTAGGAAGGCTCATGCGCAATGATCAAACAAGAAGAGAAATGGTAGATTCACTCACCCTTCGCCAGGGGACTGGGTCCACGCAACATCACATAGCGTTCCGTGGACCAAGGTTCGCATATTCTAGGTGGCTCGGCCAGCCTGAGTTGCCAGCCAAGTTGCATCGGCATTGCTAATTTGGCCGTTCAGATCGAGACCACATCGATTCAGACGATCCTGAAATGTCTGATCCGAGACATAAGTAGGGTTTAAATAGAGCGGATCGTTTTCTTCTGGGACGTGATAACCAAGAACGGTATAGGAAATATTGGCCTGGGTGATGTACGCTAGACTACCATCGCTCAATGTCACGTGGAGATCGTCACGAAAAGAAAACACGGAGGTGTTGAGAGGTTGGTAATCCGCGAAATATGGGTTTGCTGAGTTAGATACAGTTACGCTGGTGGTGGTATTTGGATCCGGAGTATTGTCGTTGCCAGTCCACTGGTTGTATCCTTGACTGAATCCGACATACTTATGTCCCTGCTGGTCTGGTCTGAGATTGTGGTCTAGGAGCGGCGAAGACCAATATTCAACATCTCCGGACGCCGGAATATCTGCTAAATCCCGTTTCCGATTCTGTTTGCCAGTCATGTTCAGTGTACAGGCATACAACCGGGCTTCGAAGGCTGCTCGGTGGAAGCCGTGTGGGGAAGTTCGTGACTTACGGCATGTACAACGAACATACTGCGAATCGAAGGACCGTCGCCAGCGACTTGGTTGAAAAGGCTGCCAGGCGCCTGAATCTCTGCATCTCCGGAGCGAACCATGACTCTCTGCGCAAAAGGACCACTCGGAAATGCTCTCACGGTTCGCATGATGATCCAGCGCTCAGGAACCGACCGAAATATCGGATTGCCGACGTCGTTACTAGTGTAAGTTGCGTCGGACATGCTGTAGCCTCCATACTTTCGAGCGTCATTTGTGGCAGCAACGCTCTCCGCCGCACTGGAACCAGCGATCCCCACGCGGTAGAAGCGTGGCAAGGTCCAGTGAAGCATCCTGCGAAGATTGTTCAGACCCTGCAGAGTTCTTCCCCTCCAGCTGACTTACACTCCTTGTCTCTGATTCAATTGACGAAGGGGGTCCGCACAGCCCATGTAGGGTGCATCACGGTGGTGTTCAAAGATGTCATGTTGGAGGGGTCCATCATCGAGACCTAAGCTATCGTAGTTGGGAGTGCTGATGGGTCCGAAGTAAGCTCGGTTCCGAGGATCTACATTGGAGACCCTCCTGGGATCGTAATTGAGATAGGCATCTATTTTCATAGGCACCCATATCGCATTACGATCTGCCGCCATGCTGGAGACGAAGAGAATGATGTAAGTCCGTCGAAGGGGAGGAAGACGTCGACGGTATGGACGATCGAGGCACTCAATATCATCTCCGGCAAATTGAACAACTCGAGATATGTTGCAGCCGAAGCAAAGGGTGTCCCGAGCTGCCGCCAACTAGGACGACGAGCTAGCTTTGAGCGTCAACGTTGAGATGCTTGTGAACTCCGAGTCGACTCCTGGCCATTGCCGCGCTAGAAGCATCTGGCCTTCTGGTGGCTTTCAGCTAGAGAGCCACTCGACTGCGAATGGGTTTCCCGGCGTGGCATCAAAGGCATCTGATGCGATCTACTCTGAAGGCGGGATGGGGCGGGCTGGCGGCAGTCGGTACGAGATGCCATGAAGTGTTGGACCAGTCTCGACGGAGAGACTCCTGCATGAGACTGAGCTGGATCGGGCAGGAATGATGCTCCGATGCGGCTGGGAAGATGCAGATGCCGTAGACGCCGTGAACGCGGGGCTGCCAAGCCTTTCCATACGATGCTAATCTAGCGTGCTATCTTAGAGCGGTATTTTACGGCGGGACGACGCATGCCCTCCACTGTGCCACCTTACCCCATTGGGCAGGTGGGCTTGGCCAGACGGGGGGCTTGGCACGGCGGCATCGCAATTCCCTGCTTTCTGCCCCTTGCTATTCACCATCACGGGAGAACCCCGTCACTCTGCGCCGTGAGTACCGCATCGTAAGCTTTTTAATATTGCACCATGGGGACTACTGGGAACTCGTGTCTCTCAGATGCAACAATGCTCGCAAATCTACATTTGCGGCACCGCTGATTGTGGAGGAAGACAAAGGCTCTGAAAGGGGCAAATATCTCAACCCCCTCGAGCATGGCCTGCCTGACTCTCGCGGCGGCGCGATGTCCTCGCCGAAACCGGCGCAGGCGAAAACAGACCCGAAAGCCAAAGCCGACCCGAACGTGAAACCGACGACGGCGAAGGTGACTTCGGCGCAGCCGGACACAACGCTGCAAACGGAAAATGCGGACTTGAAAAAGCAGATTGCCCTGCTTGCCGACGCAGTCCGCAAATTTCGTAGTTCTTCGCCTTGACCGGGCCATGAATGGCCCGTCTGGGAAGCCTGCGGCTAACCGTCCTGCGGACGCAGAGGCGACTTCGGATGCTTCCTGTAAATCTACGAAGAAACAACCCCCCCCCCCTAGCGTTCTCCCCCAAAGAAAGAGACCCCACAGAGGGAGGCGAGCCTTTTTACCAAAGGCCCCCCCCCCCCCTAACGCGCTAACGAGCTAACGAGCAGCGCAAGCGTCCGTCAGGAAGACGAACTCGTGTGACCGCGCAACGGGGGGGAAGGATTTTTTTTATATTAAAAATTCACCCCCCGGGGACCGCAGGATAACGCGCCCTCTCTTCTCTCTACACACCACCCAAAACAAAAAACATATCACACCCCCCACCCAAAACATCGGGTTATCTTTTTCCTGTCAAAGAAAAAAAGAAATACCAAAAAATAATAATTTTAACCCCCCATCCCCTGGAAAACCAAAATATATCCTAAAACGGGCAACTGGCGGGCTTTGTCGCCGCGCAGCACACCGCATGGAACCGACGGGTTCTCCTCTGGCATCTGTACGTCATGCCTCCTTTTCGCAAACGGCGGGTGGGAACCCAGATGCTGCAAGCGCTAGAGGTCTTTGCGCGCTCGGTAACGGCCCGTTGTTTGTGGCTGGAAACGCAGAATGTCAATTATCCAGCCATCGCATTTTACCGAGCAGCCGGTTTTACGTTCTGCGGTTTTGATTCGAGCCTCTACGATCCCCAACGCCTCGCGTCGGAAGAGGTGGCTTTGTTTTTCGCCCGCTCGGTAGGCGTCGCAAGTGATCCGTAACTGCCTGCCGGTTTATATCCACAGACTGCGCCCGTTCCGAAACAGCCTTCCACCGCCATTTACTTGTGTGCCCAAATTTTTGTAAAAGGATTATCACCATATCAGAAACACTCGCTTTTCTAAAATGTTTTTAACCATGAATTGACAACTTATAATATTTGCAGTATTAACATAATATGCTTGTTGTGACAATTATCACATTCCCTACGCGTCAACAATCACATACATATCGCATGATACTTTTGCCAGGCGTGGTAAAATTTATAAGTGTACATCGCCCAACTAAATGCGCTTAAAACTGTCATGCGACAACAAACTCTGGAGGTTTTACTAACAGAGGAATGGTCATGCAGTAATCTTGAGCAGCCATTAAGGGCGGTTGTCAGAATGTTTTTTCGACTGCGCCTTTCCCTGATAAACGCGCAGGGAGCGGGCAAGCCGATCCTGTCGAACCCGTCTTTCAGAAAAGGAGTTTCTCTATGAAAAACACAAACGATCTGCTGGCAAAGACACCATGCGATCAAGTGTCCCTCGCTTTCAGGCTGCGCGCCTGCCAAACACGCTTCCTTTGCAGCGTATTGCTGCTCACATCCGTGTTTCTGCTGCCCGGCCTGATTTCGGGCAGACCCGCTTTCGGCACCGAAGTGGCGCCGATGACCATCGAAGAAACCATCCACGACGCGGGAGCCATTTTCGTCGGAACTGTGCAGAGCGAACAGACTCACTGGGGCAACGCTTCCCACCGCTGGATGTACACCGAGTATACGTTCAATGTCGAAGAGGCTCCCCTGTCCGACGGCGTCGTCCAAAAGGGCGGTCAGGTGACTATCTCTTACTGGGGTGGCACGATTGGAAACCAGACGCAGCGCATCGCAGACGTAGAAATTCCTAAAGTGGGTCAGCGCTACGTGATCATGCTGCGCCCGGACTGGCAGACGCCCGGCTACACGCCCATCGTTGGCCTGCACCTGGGACAGTTCCAGGTGCAGGTAGACGCGCAGAGCAAAGCGCAGTACGTCACGGAATCGGATGGCAGGCCGCTTTTCACGGCGGCGCAGGCCCCGCAGATGCTGCGCCAGCGCGACATCGGCAACAAAGAGGCGACGCCGAGAGTAACGCTCGCCAACTTCACACAGTGGATTCGCGCCAATCTCGCCCGCATCAAGGCGATGCCCGGAAAACCAATGCCCCAGGCCGATCCCAAAGACCCGCGCGTGATGAAAACCTTCTCGAAAACACCCGAAGCGGAAACAACCGCCCTCGACCCGGCGAGCGAAATTTTTGGCGAACCGATTTCCGAACCGCAAACGCCGCCTCAGAACGATCAGGCGCGCATTCCAACGGTCACGAAAAACCAGATCGAAAGCAAACCGACCCGCGAACCCGTTTCCGTGTCGCGAGCCGACCAGATGGGGCCGAAGCCGTTCTACGTCACCTACGGCTATACAGACCCGCCGATTGTCGTCAATTCCTTCCCGCACAACTGGTATTGGTATCCCGAAGATCAATACCAGATGTCGAAGTGGAACTACTACTCCAACGATCTTTTTCGTGTCTACACGAACCCGACCGGCAACTTTGCCTGGGGTAACGGACGCTTCGACCTCGACGGCTGGCCCGACAATGCGACGATGCAGAGCCAGTACGGCTATACCTGGGGTTCCAATACGCTAGGGATTACGTTCGCCAATTCCAACGGAGGTCACTTCAGCGAAGCGGACATCGCCCTCAACCCGGCATTCTCGTGGACGCTGGATGACGAATGGTGCTGGGCAAGCGGGCCTGCTCAGTCGTTCCGCGCCACGATGCTGCATGAACTCGGACATATGTTCGGCCTGGATCACGACTTCAACTATTTATCCATTATGAACTACGCGCCGTCGGCGTTCCGCGCCTACGCCATTCCTTACGCCGACGACGCGGAAGGCGCCCGCGCGCTTTATCCCGGACGGGCTATCGGGCGCAGCGATCTGGCTATCTACCTGTTTTACTCCGTAGGCTACCAGAATTGGACTGACGCCAACTATCCCAGTTCAGTGGATGCGGGCGCGTACATGAACATCAACCACTTCCACATCGAGAACACTGGAACGGCCACGATCAACAACCCATCCATTCAGTGGTATCTGACGACGTCGCTCAATTACAGCGACCCCTACTACTATCTGGGAACCACCAACTACAACGGCTCGATTGCGCGCTTCAGCTACTGGGACCCGAACTCACTCAGTCTCAACCTCAGCGTGCCGACGTACGTGCCGGGCGGCAACTACTATCTGAACGCCTACATTCCGAACGACGACGGCGCTTCCAACTTCCCGTTCGCCAACAATTACGGATGGAGCCGCTTCCAGATTACAGTCCAGCCTGCGCCGACGCTCTCCAGCATTACGCCGACTTCAGTATACGCCGGATTGAGCAGCTTCTATCTGGACGTGTATGGAACGAACTTCCAGCCGGGCGCTGCAATTCTGTGGAACGGCTCTTACCGCGGCACCACGTATCTCTCGTCTACGCATCTCTATGCCTACATCTCGGATAGCGACATTGCGAACGAGGGCAGCGTCAGCATCAGCGTCCAGAATCCCAGCGGCGTCACGACGGGAACAGCAACATTGACGATCTACGCGCCTGTTCTCGACTCCATCAGCCCGGATTCGGCGCTTACGGGCAGTCAGACTTTCACGATGGACGTCTACGGAGCAGGATTTGACTCCTCTGCGGTTGTCAACATCGGCTCCTTCCTGTACCTGCCGCTGCCTACGACTTACCTCTCTTCGACGCACCTCCAGGCGACGGTAGATGCGGCATGGGTGGCTGCGCCCGGTTCCTGGGAGATATTCGTGTCGAACCCCAGCGGAGCCTCTACGAACGTGGCTGACCTTTACGTAGACGACCCCTCGGTGGGCGGGACGCTGACTCTGCAAGGCATTGCTTCTGGCGCAGTGGCGCAGAATATCTCGTTCGAGTTCCGCCCGACGGATGGCAGTGACCCCTTTACCAAAACGGCGTCCGTCGCTCCTGACGGAAACTTCTCACTCGGATCGGTTCCGGCAAAAGAGTACACGGTTCACGTCAAAGGCGCAAAGTACCTCGCTTCCAACGTCACCATCAACATGATTGGGGAAAACGCTTCTCTGAATGCGTCGCTGGCGCCGGGCGACGCCAACAACGATAACGCCTGCGATACCATTGACTTTGGAATTCTGGTTGGAGCCTATGGCGGTGACGCAAGCATCGTCGGCAGCGGCTACGATGCGAATTGCGACTTTAACGGCGACGGATTGGTAGACGTCACTGATTTTAGCCTGTTCGTCGGCAGTTACGGCGAAAACGGCGACAACTAAGGCGACGGAAGCCGCAAAATAAGCGAAAGGAGTACCCTGCAATCAGCCTCTTCACAGTCAATATTTGATAGTGAAGAGGCTTTTTGATAAACCCCTCTTTCCAATGCGTCTTCTATGCCCCACCCGGCGCGTTGAAACGCTCGGTTGTAATACAGCCTATCACAGGTAAGCCGCGCCCCGTGATAAAGGGCCGTAAGAGGTTTTAAGCGCTGAGAGCAAAAACTGAATAGTCGCGGCGGGAGCAGAATCCAGAAGGATTATGGGCCAAACGCGGCGAACAGAATCCCTGTGTAAATTTTCATGGGAAGTCGAAAAGGGACGCGGAATTTGAGACGGCTCACTCTCAACCTGCGCCGCGATTAGCGACTGGAGTCAGGCGTATTCTCAACGAGGAGACAGCGGGCAATATGCTCTCAGGCAAACACTATCGAATAACGCTGTTCGCGGCCCTGGCGCTCTGCGGCCTACTGCTCGGTTTCGCTGCGTTCGGACAGGGTGAAAATCGCCTGCTGATAAAGCCGGATTTCGTCCGCGATATTCAGCCGATTTTCAAGGCGCGTTGCTATGCCTGCCATGCTGGAACGCAAAAGCAGGGCGGGCTTCGCCTCGACACAAGAGCCTTCGCAATGCAGGGTGGCGCAGGCGGCAGGGCGTTCGCACCGGGGAGCAGCGTAAAAAGTCTGATGCTGACGCGCCTCACCGGGCAAGACGGCAAGCCACGAATGCCGCTGGGCTTCGCGCCGCTTTCAGAAAAGCAGACCGCTCTTATTCGCGCCTGGGTTGATGCGGGCGCAGCGTGGCCGGAGTCGGGCCTTGTCAGCAGGCATTGGGCCTATATCCCCCCTTCGCGACCCGCAGTCCCGAAGGTCAAAAACACGGCGTGGGTACGTAATCCCATTGACGTCTTCACGCTGGCCCGGATGGAACGCGTTGGGTTACAGCCGTCGCCGGAAGCCGACAAAATTACGCTGCTGCGCCGTGTTACCCTGGACCTGACCGGACTGCCTCCCACACCGCAGGAGGTAGACGCCTTCCTCGCCGACCGCTCCCCGACCGCCTATGAGAAGGTGGTTACCCGACTGCTGAACAGCCCGCATTATGGCGAACGCATGGCGCTGCCCTGGCTCGATGCGGCCCGTTACGCCGACAGCAATGGCTTTCAGCAGGACGGCGACACTTATCAGTATGTCTGGCGGGACTGGGTGACCCGCGCCCTCAATGCCAATATGCCCTTCAGCCAGTTCACCATCCTGCAGCTCGCGGGCGATCTGCTGCCCAACGCTACGCCTGACCAGCAACTCGCCACCGCATTCAACCGCTGCCATATGCTCAACGGCGAGGGCGGAGCCATTCCCGAAGAGCAGCGTCATGTCATCTTGTTCGACCGTGTGGATGTGACAGCAACGGTCTGGCTCGGCGCGACGATGGCCTGCGCACAGTGCCACGACCATAAATACGACCCGATCACGCAGCGCGACTACTACTCCTTCATGGCCTTTTTCAACAACGCGCCGGAGAGCGGGACGCCGCCGGGCGGAGGGCAGTACCGCATCGCCGATCCCTGGATATTCGTCGGCAGCGAGGCGGAAACCGCGAAACTCAAGGCGTTTGAAGCGCAGGTCGTCACGGCGCAGGACGAGACCGGAAACTACGAGCGCGAACACGAGGCCGAAATACAGAGCGCGCAGGCCCTCTGGGAGGCTGATAGCCTGAAAAATAACAGCGCTATCCTCCGGTTCAGAAGGCTGGAACGCCGTCGGCCCATTCCCCGCAGAGAGTTTCGATGCCGCCTACGACACCGCCTTTGAGGCGGAAAAACAGGTTGATCTGGCAAAAACCTATCTCGACGGTAAACTGAAATGGGTTGCGCATCCCGAATGGGAGGATGGCAAACCCTATGTTCTGAACGGCGAGAATACGGCGACTTACCTCACGCGCATCCTTCATTCCGACCGCGAAACGCTGCTCACGCTTTCGCTTGGCAGCGACGATGCCATCAAGGTCTGGCTGAACGGCGAATCCGCGCTGGCCAACAAGGTAACGCGGGCCGTTGCGCCGGATCAGGAACGGGTAACGGTTCGTCTGCATTCCGGCGAAAATTGCCTGCTGATAAAGATTGTGAACGGCGGTGGGATCGGCGGGTTCTATTTCAAGGCCGTTGGGGCCGGATTACCGGAGAACGTGCTTGCCATCATGAAAACCCGGCCTGAAATGCGCTCCGAAGGGGCAGCGAAACAACTGCGGGCCTACTTTCTTGCCAACGCGCCGCCCGCCGCGTTCAAGGCCCTGCGGGAGAAGCAGAAATTGCTGGAAATAGAGCGCGACAACTACCGCGTGACCCTGCCGAAGGTGATGGTCATGTCGGACGCCATGCCGCGCAAAACGCACCTTTTGCAGCGCGGCAACTATGAGATGACAGGGGAAGAGACGCCGCCTGCCACGCCCGCCTTCCTGCCGCCGATGCCGCAGGGCGCGCCCCGAAATCGGCTTGGCCTCGCGCAGTGGCTGATGCGCCCCGATAACCCGCTCACGGCGCGGGTGCAGGTCAACCGCTACTGGCAACTGTTTTTCGGCGTAGGACTGGTGAAAACGTCGGAAAATATGGGGACGCAGAGCGACCCACCGACCCACCCGCTGCTGCTTGACTGGCTTGCGGCGGAGTTCCGAGAAAGCGGCTGGAACGTCAAACGGATGCACCGCCTGATAGTGACAAGCGCTACCTATCGGCAGAGTTCTAAAGTCACTCCATCGCTACTTTTGCGCGATCCGGAAAACCGCCTGCTGGCGCGGGGAGCGCGGTTCCGTTTGCCCTCGCTTCTGCTGCGCGACGTCGCGCTGGCGGCAAGCGGTCTGCTTGACCGGCGCATCGGGGGCAAACCTGTCTATCCCTATCAGCCGAAAGACATCTGGGACGGCCTTTCGATCACCAAAGAGCGCGACTTCACGTATCCTCAATCCACAGGGAGCGACCTCTACCGCCGCAGCCTCTACACTTTCTGGCGGCGCACCGTCGCGCCTTCTAATATGTTTGATGCCTCGGTGCGCAATACGTGCAAAGTGCGGCTGACCGCGACGAGCACGCCTCTCCATGCGCTGACTACGCTGAACGATGTGACCTGGGTGGAAGCGGGCCGGGCTCTGGCGCAGCGCGTGATGCGGGAGGCAGGTTCCGACCCGAATACGCGCCTTACGGAGGCGTTTCGGCGCGTCTGCGCGCGGCGTCCTGCGGCGGACGAAATTCAGAATTTTGCGCCGCAGCCTGAACCGCGCTCTTGCTGTATATCGCGCTGATCCTGCCGCTGCCAGCGCCTATCTCAAAGCGGGCGACAGTCCGCGTGACGCCGCGCTCGACCCGGTGGAACACGCCGCCTATGCCAGCGTTTGCCTCGCCATTTTCAATCTCGACGAGGCCCTGACCCGCGAATAGCAGGAGGACTGCCATGAACCCGGAATTTGAACACGCTATGCATCTCACCCGTCGTCAGTTTTTTGGAAGCGCCGCCACCAGTGTTGGGATTGCCGCGCTGGCGGGTCTGTTGCAGCAGGAAGGTTTCGCCGCCGAAACGAAAACAGCGTCGAATATGCCGCCGTTGCCCGGTCTGCCGCACTTTGCGCCGAAAGCGAAGCGGGTTATTGTGCTCTGGCAGGGCGGCGCGCCATCCCATGTAGACTTGTTCGACTACAAACCTGGCTTGTTCGAGAAGCGCGGACAGCAGGTTCCCGATTCTGTGCGGGCCGGAGCGCGGCTCTCTACGATGACCGCAGGACAGAAAAACCACCCGGTTCTGCCGCCAATCAAGCCATTCAAGCAGTACGGCAAATCCGGGATGTGGCTTTCTGAGATGCTGCCCCACATTGGTTCCATTGCTGACGACATCTGTCTTGTCAAGACGATGCGCACTGACTCGGTCAACCACGCGCCCGGCGTCGCCTTCTTCCTTACCGGCAGTCAGACCCCGGGGCGACCGAGCATGGGCGCATGGGCGACCTATGGATTAGGCAGCATCGCCAGCGACCTGCCCGCCTTCTGCGTGATGACTTCGACCGACGTAGGCCGGACGTGCGGACAACTTTTCTACGACTACTACTGGGGCAGCGGGTTCCTGCCTTCTGAAGTATCAGGGCGTCCGCTTCCGAGGTGAGGGTGATCCGGTTTTATATCTGGCGAATCCCGACGGAATGCCGGATAAACTGCGGCGCGGCGCGCTCGACGATATTGCGGAACTTAACAAACGTCGGCTTGCCGAGTACGGCGACCCGGAAATAGAGACGCGCATCACGCAGTACGAGATGGCTTACAGGATGCAGACCAGCGTTCCGGAACTACTGGACATTTCAGAAAGAGCCGCCGCATATCCTCGAAATGTACGGGCCGGATGTTCAGCGCAAAGGCTCTTACGCTCGCAACTGCCTGCTGGCGCGTCGGCTGATCGAGCGCGGCGTCCGTTTCGTGCAGTTGATGCACTCCGGCTGGGATCAGCACAGCAACCTCAGCACTCAGTTGGAAGCGCAGTGCCGCGATACCGATCAGCCCTCCGCCGCGCTGGTTGCCGACCTGAAACAGCGCGGCCTGCTCGACGATACAATAGTACTCTGGGGCGGCGAGTTCGGGCGCACTGTCTTCGTGCAGGGTGACATCAACAATCCGAGTGGACATGGGCGCGATCATCTTGGCTCCTGTTACAGTATGTGGCTGGCCGGAGGGGGCTTCAAGGGCGGAATGACTTACGGTGAAACCGATGACTACTGCTACAACGTCGCGAAAGACCCGGTTCACATTCATGATTTGCAGGCCACCCTCCTGCGCCAGTTGGGAATTGACCACACCCGGCTGACCTATCGTTATCAGGGCCGCGATTTCCGCCTGACCGATGTTTTCGGCAGCGTCGTGAAACCGCTGATTGCCTGAGCGCATAGGAAATCGTTCAGAAGCAAAAACGAAATGGCCCTGCCCATTCCCTCAGTAAGGGAGGAGTTTCCTGCCGCGTTGCCAAATAAAAACGGCATGACCAAAAGCGCTCTGCCCCAAAGAGATCATGGCTTCCTAACGCGTCTTGCGCTGCGCGGAATCCTGGTGGCTTGTGCGTCGGTTGGAAGCGGCGGGGCCATCCCATCAAGCCCCCGTCCAAAGGCCGCTCAAACGAAGGAAGCATTGTCGAATGACAAGCCATGACCCCGTCAACGCCGCCGCGCCGATTTTGTCGCTGCAGGAGGTGAGCAAAAGTTTCGGGCGGCAGGACATTCTGCGTAGCCTGAGCGTTGAGGTGCAGGAAGGGAAGGTCATCGCGATTATCGGGCCGAGTGGGAACGGCAAGTCTACCCTGTTGCGCTGTATCAACGGCCTTGAAACGCCACTTCCGACAGGGTTCTGTAGCGCGGACAGGAAGTAAATGCCGCAACGCTGAATCGAGTTCGCCATGAAATCGGCATGGTCTTCCAGCGCTTCAATCTTTTTCTCATCTAACCGCCCTGCAGAATGTCATGCTGGCTCCGCGTAAGACGCGGGGCGTTCCGGACTCGCAGGCGGCAGAAAGGTTGGCGCTGCTGGAGCAGGCGCATCTGGAGGCGAAGGCGCACAGTCTTCCCGGTGAATTGTCGGGGGGCAGCAACGCGTAGCGATTGCGCGCTGGCCTTGAACCCGGCGGCGCTTTTGTTTGATGAGCCGACTTCCGCGTTTCTGGATGGGGGCGTCATCGTTGAGGAAGGCGCGCCGGAGCCGATACTCGAGCAGCCGAAAGAGGAGCGCACCCGCGCTTTTCTCGCTCGTGTCCTGAACCGTTAAGCATTCCAGACGAAAAAAGACAATCGAGAGGCAAACCATGCAAAGATTGCTATTCCTGTTCGCTCTACTCTTCCTGTTCTGTGTCAGCCCGATGGCCGTCTGCCCCGCGCCACGCCTGCAGACCGGACAAAATAACGCCTCGATTTTGATTACAGGCGGCGCTCTGATTGACGGGACGGGCGCGAAGCGACGGCAGGAGGATATAAGAATTGTCGCGGGCAAAATCGCCGCGATTGGCAAACTGAAGCCGGAACCGGGTGAGCGGGTTATCCACGCGAAGGGGCTGATTGTTGCGCCCGGATTTATTGATGCCCATAGCCACGCGGATGGCGGCCTGCTGGAAGACCCCGACGCCGAAACGCAAATCCGTCAGGGTATTACCACCTCCGTTGTCGGGCAGGACGGCAGTTCGCACTTTCCCTGCAGACCTGGTTCGACGCGGTGACCGCAAAAGGCGTGGCGCTCAACATTGCCAGTTTCGTGGGGCATGGCACGATGCGCGAGCAGGCGATGGGAGCCGATTTCAGGAAACCCGCGACCCCCGAACAAATCGCCCGAATGAGAACGCTGGTCGCCCAGGAGATGGAGTCGGGAGCACTCGGCCTTTCTTCCGGTCTTGAATATGTGCCGGGCCGCTATTCCAACACGGAAGAATTAATCGCCTGCGCTCAAGTGGCGGGCAAATACGACGGCATTTACATCAGCCATGTCCGCAATGAAGATAATCAGGCGCTAGACTCGTTCCGCGAACTGATCCGCATTGCCGACGAGGGTCACTTGCCCGCGCAGATTTCGCATATCAAGCTCGGCTCCGCGTCGGTCTGGGGACAATCGAAGACCGTTTTGCAAATGATGGCGGACGCTCGCAAGCGCGGTCTGGACGTTACGGCGGACGTTTACCCCTATCTATACTGGCAGTCTACTATCGTCGTCCTTATCGCGACGGAGGAATGGGATAACCGGGCGTTGTGGACGAAAGGGCTGGCGGATGTGGGCGGCGCAGACCATGTTCTGTTGAGCAGCTACACGCCAAAACCGGAATGGGCTGGAAGAACCATCGCGCAAATCGCCGCGCAGACGCAGCAAGACCCGGTAACGATTATTCAGGAAATTGTCCGCAACACGCATGGCCCGGAGGCGAAGGGTAAAGAGGGCGTGATCGTGACGGCGATGGCGGAGCCGGATTTAGAAACGTTTATTGCGTCGCCCTTCATTATGTTTTGCAGCGATGGCGGGCTGCGTGGAACCCATCCGCGTGGCGCCGGTTCCTTCCCCCGTGTGTTGAGCCGCTATGTTCGCGAACGAAAAACGCTCACGCTGGAAGCCGCAATCCACAAAATGACCGGCCTGACCGCGCAGCGTATGGGCCTGACGGATCGCGGCGTCCTTGCCCCGGGAAAAGCGGCGGACATTGTTCTCTTCGATGCCGCCAGGATTCAGGATACTGCCACAACAGCGCATCCGACAGCGGCTCCGCTGGGGATTCCAACGGTGTTTGTCAATGGCGTTCCCGCTCTGGAAAACGGTCAGATTACTGGCGCGCGCCCCGGAATGATTCTCAAGCGGCGTGGATTAGGACACGAAAATAGAAGTGGACGCGAATAGCGACGGATTGTATTTACCGAAAACTAAAGTTAATCATCCCGAACTTTACAGGGAAGCCGCTCCGCGCCACAGTAGTTCCGCATAGGAGGAAGCGGTCTATTCCGACCGGCAAAAATCAATGTAACTCTCGCCTTTGTTGTTCGTGTCTCCCATCGAGTATGGAAACGGGATGGTAGGGCAGAACAAACTCTTTTTTACGGCCCCCGAACAATATCCAATACCGACTCTGGGGTCTACGTCCGTATGCGACCACTTTGCATGACCGTCAAAATAAGCAAGATTGACGCCCTGCGTGTGCGCAATAGAAGGGCAATCGTTCGGCGCAAAGAAGAAGCCATCGTTAAACGTGTATTGCTCGTCTATCAGCAGCACGAACTGCGAGGGACGCTGGGCATAGGAGTCGGGCATGAATCCTGCGGCTGCGTTGGCGGAATAACTCTGCATTTTCTGCGGTAGCGGGTCTGAAGGGCAGAGAAATATCTGCGCGTTTTTTACGTAGGGATAGATTACGCCGTATTTAGGGCCAGTATTCTGCCACGATTTCGTAAGCGGGTTGGTGGTCGGGTTGAACAGGTTATGGTCGTTCGCTTCGACATTAAAACAAGGGATCCACTGCGCGTTGGCATCGAAATTCACCGGGTTAGGCGTCGCCTGTAGCGCCTGATGCGCATTTGGAACAGACGCCAGATAGGGTGGATAGGCAGTTGGATTGGAGAACCAATCGGGCTGCCCGGCGCTGCAATGATAGTCGTGCGCCGGGCCGGGTTGGCGTCCGTCGTAGTCCTGACGGTACGTTGCCATTGCAAGGGTTAACTGCTTCATATTGCTGAGGCAGGCGGTTTGTCGGGCCTTCTCGCGGGCCTGCGCGAACACGGGGAAAAGGATGGCGGCGAGTATTGCGATAATGGCGATAACCACAAGCAACTCGATTAACGTAAACGCTTTTCGGTTCATAAAATCTCCTCGTTCAGAGTGCGCTCCGGGTGGAACGCTTCCGGCGGTTCAAGGAGTTGACGCGACGCGGCACAATGTCCGCTCGCATCGGCGTTGATACGGCGCAACCACTTCTGCAAATGATTTTTGCAAATACTGGAAACAACGATATGTCGTTAAATTGGTGTTTAACATTACATTGTAGCCCATGATTGCCACAAACGTCAATAGCCTGAGGAGGCAATCACAGCAAAAAATCGCTAAATTTGCCGCTTATGCTTCAGAAGTGGCATTTTGCGCAGACGCGGAATTCCCGCGCGATTTACGCGCTGCAAAATGCAGGCAAAAAGAACATAGAGGGAAGACGTATGGGGAATCTCAGCGGGCAAACGGCAATTATAACGGGCGGTTCGCGGGGCATCGGGGCAACCATTGCAAAACGATTAGCAGCGGACGGCGCGAACATTGCGGTGAATTTTAGTCGGAACGCGGAGGCCGCCGCGCAGATCGTGGCGGAGATCGAACGGGCGGGCGGATCGGCAGAAGCGGTGCAGGGCAATTTGAGCGACCCGGCGCAGATCGAACGTTGCTTTGCGGAAACTCAGGCAACCTTTGGCCGTCTCGACATTCTGGTCAATAACGCAGGCTTAGCGGAATATCGCCCGCTGGCAGACTCCGACGCCGCGTTTTACGATGCGATTTTCGCTGTCAATGTGCGCGGAGCCTTGCTTTGCTGCCGGGAAGCGGCGCGATACTTCGGCAAATCGGGCGGGCGCATTATCAATATCAGCAGCAGCCTGACCGAATCCCCTACACCCAATGCCTGCGTTTATGCGGCAAGCAAAGCGGCGCTGGAAAGCTTGACCGCGTTTTTAGGGGCGGAACTCGGCTCCAAAAACATACTGGTCAATGCGGTGTCGCCTGGAGTGACGCGCACCGAGATGCTGGCGCAAGTCCTGTCACCAGCCATGCAGACGGATTTAATTGCCCGAACGCCGCTCGGCAGGCTGGGCGAAACCGGTGACATTGCGGACGTTGTGGCGTTTCTCGCCTCCGACGCCGCCCGGTGGATTACAGGGCAGGTTCTGGTCGCGAACGGCGGGCTGCGCTAACCGGGCGGGTTACAGCGAAACAAGGCCGCGTCTGGCCCCGGATGTCACCGCTTCGGTGCGGCTCGACGCGCCGAGTTTCGCCAGTATAGAAGCAACATGAAATTTCACGGTGTGCTGGCTGATGTTCAGCCGCGCCGCAATTTGCTTGTTCGGCAGCCCGTGCGTCATCTGCTGCAAGACTTCCCGTTCACGAGCGGTCAATGTTTCATCAGGCGGCAGAATTTCCGCGTCGGCAAGCGGAAACGCGCTTCCGGGCAACAGGCTGAAACTTCGGTCCACGGCGATTAGCCCCGCGCCCGCTGCCCGGATCGCGCCCAGAATTTCGATGCGGTCGGCTTCCTTGCGAAGATAGGCCCATCCCGGCAGAACCGCGTCTGCCATCAGTTGGTATTCGCTGTGGTCTTCGCCGAGCAGCACAAGCGCCGCGCCTTCGCCGGAAAGCGCCTCGATCACGCGAAGCGCGTCCGCTGGAGACGTGTCACACAGGACGACTTCCGGCGCGGACTCGATCAAAAGCCGCTCCATCTCCGCGCTGCCGTTCGCTTCTCCAACAATTTCGCAGTCATCCGCGTCCACCAGCATCGCCCGCAGTCCTGCCCGCACGGACGCCCAGCCCGCCACAATCAAAATACGCAAAGCGCCCTCCGGGGAAGGGAAAAGGGCTGTGGGGGAAGCGAATGCGCCTGCTCGCGTACAGTTCGCGCAAACTCAAAGCGAATCCTGCGCTGGCCTCAGTCCTGGCCCTCAGCCCTTTTTCCTAGTTTTCGGTTCCTAACGTCACGGCCAGCGTGAGCAGAACGCCGCCGCGCAGCAGGTTCAGGGCGATTTCCTGCCCCGCGTGATGCTGCCGCAGCTGCGAACGAAGGCTGTCCACATCCGTGATTTGCTGCCCGCTCACGCTCAGCAGCGTATCGCCGAGCAGTAAGCCACCCTGTTCCGCCGGACTTTTCTGCTCAACCTGCACGATCAGCAGACCGCGATCTTGCGTGAGAGGAAGCGATTCGATGAGGTGCGCAGGCAGGGCCGCCGCCTGTGTCCGAACACCCAGATAGCCCCGCGGCATCTTGCCGTGCGCCAGCAGCCCTTCCACGACGTGCCGCACAATAGAAACGCCGAGCGAAACGCCTTTGCCGCGTCCGAACATCAGATTGTTTAGACCGATGACCTGCCCCGCGACATTGACCAGCGGCCCGCCGGAAAATCCGGGATAAAAGACGGCGTCGGTATGCAGCACGGTTTCAGGGCCGCCTTCGCTTTGCGAGTCCAGCCTTGCGCTGACGATTCCAAAAGTGGCCTGCAAGCCGGAGTTGCCCGGACGGCCTAATGCCAGCGCGAATTGCCCGATTTTTGCCGCGTCGTCCGCCGCGACTTCCGCAGGGGGCAGGCCGGTCGCCGCCACACGCAGCGCCGCAATATCGGTGTCCGGGTCGCGGCCTATCAGCGTCGCGGCGAGGCGCGTTCCATTATGCAATTCAATGAAGACCTCCTCGTCGCGCTCTACGCCGTGCGATGTCGTAACGATAATTCCATCTGCCGACCAGATGATTCCCGTCGCCGTCAGGCGCGTCCCGTCGTCCACTCGCACAACGGACGCTCCTACTCTCTCTGTAATACTCACCAGTTCCGCTGAAAGGCCCGCCAGCAGGCCGTTTGTTTCGTTTGTCATTGTATTCCGGTTTCCTTAATCTTTGCGCGGCTTTCGTTTGTTTGCTATCTTCGCTATTCGGCGCGAAGGGGCGGAAAGCCTGCGGTTTTTCGCTTTATTGTTTCGCTGCAAGATTAGGATACTTTGTTTCCGCAGTCCGCGTATCGGTCATTAGAGCAGGGAGGCCCGCCGCTCTTACGGTCAGGCATCGGGATATTTCGTTTAGAATCGCCCGCGCTTCCTATGCGGGAGCGCAAAGATAAACAGGGTTTTGTCTGCAAAGGGATATACGCAGGCGCGGCCCTTGTTGACAGACAGCGGCGCTTTCTCGTATTATTAAAGACGGCGCAAAACGCTATAGATAAGGAAGGAATCAAAATCATGTTTCCGGTTTTGAAAATGAACCGTATGTTAATTTCGCGGAAGAGGCCCCGCGCCGCAAAATGAAAGAGGCGCTGGAGCTTGTTCGCCGACAGTTGGGCCGCTCGTATCCCCTTATCATCGGCGGCGAACAAATTGAAACCAGAGGGCGCGTGGAGCTTCGTAATCCTGCGAACCGCGATGAAGTTCTCGGCTCGGTAGCAAGTGGCGAACCCGCTCATGCGGAACAGGCCATCGCCGCCGCGCAAAAAGCGTTTTCCTCCTGGTCGCAGGTTCCCGCCGAAGTTCGCGCTCGCTATCTTGTAAAGGTCGCCGCGCTGCTGCGCCGACGAATTTACGAGTTTTCGGCGTGGATGGTCGTCGAGGCCAGCAAAACGTGGCTGGAAGCGTATGCGGACGCGGCAGAAGCGGTGGACTTTCTGGAATTTTATGCCCGTGAAGCCGTGAAGTTCGGCGCCCCGCATCCGACCACACCCTATCCCGGAGAAGAAAACGAGGTACGTTATCTGCCGCTCGGCGTGGGCGCAATTATTTCGCCCTGGAATTTTCCGCTGGCGATTATGGCGGGTATGACGGTGGCAGCGGTCGTTACGGGCAACACGGTCGTGGTCAAACCGGCGGAACAGACGCCGATTATTGCGGCCAAATTCTTTGAATTACTGGAAGAAGCGAGCCTGCCGCCCGGAGTCGCAAACCTGATTTTCGGCGATGGCGAAACGGTCGGCGAAACGCTGACGGGCAGCTCTGCCGTCCGGTTCATCTCGTTTACGGGCAGCCGGGATGTGGGGCTGCATATCTATCGCAAAGCGGCGCAGACCCCGCCCGGTCAAAAATGGCTAAAAAAGTCGTTCTGGAAATGGGCGGCAAGGATGCGATACTCGTGGATGCGGGCGTAGACCCGGATGTTGCGGCGGAAGGAATTGTCGCCGCGGCGTTTGGGTTTCAGGGGCAAAAATGCTCCGCTTGTTCCCGTTTGATTGTGCATCAGGACAATTATGACGCGGTGCTGGAAAAAGTGGTTTCCCGCGCTTCGCAATTGACGCTTGGCGATCCCGCCGATAATGCCAACGCGCTCGGCGCTGTAATTGACGCGGACGCTTACCGCAAAATTCATTCTTATATCGAAATCGGGCGTGGTGAGGGGCGCGTCGTTCTTGGCGGCGAACAAAGGCCGGAAAACAGCCCGAACGGTTATTTCATTCGGCCTGTGGTTGTCGCGGACGTGGAATCGAAAGCCCGCATCGCGCAGGAAGAGATTTTCGGCCCCGTCCTCGCCATGATTAAGGCCCGCGATTTTGACCACGCCCTTGCCATCGCTAACGACACCGATTACGCGCTGACAGGCAGCTGCTATTCCAACAATCGCGCGCATCTGGAACGCGCCCGCCACGAATTCCATGTCGGCAATCTGTACCTGAATCGCAAATGCACCGGAGCTCTGGTAGACGTGCAGCCGTTCGGCGGCTTCAATCTCAGTGGGACGGACAGCAAGGCGGGCGGGCGCGATTATCTACTGCATTTCCTGCAGGCGAAGTCCATTACGGAACGCTGGTAAGTTCGCAAAATCCACGCTCGCAGCGGCAAAACTCGTGTTCCAATAACTGGATATCCTCCTGCCAATAGGACGCTGGATAGGATGAAGAAGCGGCGGACAGATGCCATTTCGGGCCGTTATAGCGCCAACATCGGGCCATTTTGCGCTTGACAGGATCACTCGATTTCGCTATACTTCGGACAGTTCGAACCATCTTGCAATGACTGCAAAATCCACAACGACGCGCAAAGCCTGGCACTGATAACCATGAATACCATTGAACAAAACCTCCGCCTCGCAGAAAGTGTTTCCCTATCGCCCGCGCCGAATGATGCGGGGGTATTTCTGCGATTCGCGGCGGAAAAAGCCGCTTCCCGCCACGTTTTCCCTGTCGGCGAACTGATGGGAATTGTTCGCTATACCGCCCTGCGCCGTTATGAGCCGTTCTGGATGAAGGCTGTTTCGGGAACGCGAGGCGGCGACGTTCCGATGGAAACGCAGTTCCTGCTCGCGGAAACCGAAAGCGGCGGATGCCTCCTGCTCGTTCCCCTGATTGACGGCGTGTTCCGCGCCTGCTTGCAGGGAACCGGGGAAAACACGCTGGAAATCGTGGCGGAAACCGGCGACCCGGCGACGGTGGGAACGGAACTTGTAGGACTATATGCCGCGTCAGGCGCAGACCCGTATGCGCTGATGGCGCAGGCCGCGCCGATTGTTCTGACGCAAATGCAAACCGGGCGACTCCGAACGGAAAAAGCGTTGCCTGCCTTTGCTGACAAGTTCGGCTGGTGTACCTGGGACGCTTTTTATCAGGATGTCACGGGGGAGAACGTCCGCGAAGGGCTGGAAAGTTTTCGCGTGGGCGGCGTAGAACCGAAACTTCTGATTTTAGATGATGGCTGGCAGTCGGTCAAACCATTCCCGAACGGCGAAAAGCGGCTGACTGCGTTTCAGGGGCAAAAAAAAAATTCCCCGGCCCCCCCCCCCTGTGGCCCCAAAGGCAAAAGGGGAATATAAAATTGAAACGTTCCTCGTCTGGCACGCGCTGCACGGCTATTGGGGTGGAGTGGATGGCGACAGCCTGCCCGGTTACGGCGTTCAGAACATTGCCCGTCAGTATTCACCCGCCATCAATCATTACGCGCCTTCGTTGCTGGGGCGGGGTGGGGAAAGGGGGGGGGGGGGGGGGGGGGGGGCGTTTCCTCCCCCTTTTTTCGGGGATCCACCCCCCCCCCGCGCGGCGGGGGCAGAGAGGGGTTAGGTTGTTTAATACGGGGGGGGGTTTTTAAAATTATGCAAAATCGGTTACGAAGCAGGCAAAGGCAGGGCGGGTTGTAGAATAGGGAAGCATCTTCTTTTTTGGAGGCTTCTTATGGCGACCGAAGAACCGGTTTCACCTTCCCGCGAAGAACAAATTCAGCGCTTGCTTGGCGCGTACGAAACGCATCTGCGAAAAACATTGCCGACTACGCCGCAAACGCTGGAACAAATCGAGCGAACCGCCCAGGATATCGGCGAGGAAGTCAAGCAGGAGATACAAAAAGAAGTCGCCGACGCGCAAGGGGTGGGGTCTAGCAGCAAGCAGACCGTTTGCGCCTGCGGAAAGAAAGCCCGCTGCATCGGCCTGTACGGGCGGCAGATCGTCACCCGGCATGGCGTTCTGTCGCTTAGGCGGGCGTACTATCACTGCCGCGCCTGCGGCAAGGGGTTTTGCCCCCTCGACCGGCAGTTGCAGATGGGGAGCGGGCAATGCAGCGTCACCGTTGCCGCCCTGCTGGCCCGCTTCGCGGCGTATTTGCCTTTTGAGACGGCGGCCCGCGAACTGGAACTCGTCTGCGGCATCCGCCTGTCCGCCGCGACCCTAAGACGGCAGGCCGAAGCGGTCGGAGAACATCTTGCCCGTGAGTGGCAGCAAAAGGAAGCGCGGTTGTGGGCGCAGCCCGAACGCGAAGCGTCCGCCCGCCCGCGTCAGTTGCATCTGACGTGCGACGGGGTAATGGTTCACGTCGGCGGGACATGGCGGGAAGCGAAAATTGGGTGCGCGTATGAACGAGCGGAAGACAAAGCGGGCGTGAAGAACGCGACGTATTACGCGACGCTCTTGCCTTCACAGCCTTTTGGCAAGCGGTTGCGAACGCTGGGGCATGAAGCGGGAGCGGAGAACTGCGGCAAGGTGGGGTTTGTGGCGGACGGAGCGGAGTGGATTTGGCAGGAGGCGGGCAAGTATTACCCGCAGCGGGCGCAGATACTGGACTTCTACCACGCCTGCCAGCATTTAGGGAACGTGGCCTCGGCGTGGCATGGAGAAGGAAGCCAGCAAAGCGCGGAGTGGCTTGAGACGCAGAAGGAAGACTTGCTTGCCAACCGCGCCGAGCGGGTACTCAAAACGATAGAAGACTGGCAGCCGACGACGCAGTCTCAGGCAGAAGTGCAGCGCAAAGAAGGCGCCTATCTGCGGACGCATCTGCGGCGGATGCGCTATGAGACCTTTGCCCAATCGGGCTACCATATCGGCAGCGGAGTGGCGGAAGCGAGTTGTAAGAATGTCGTTCAGGCGCGTTTCAAGCAAGCGGGGATGCGTTGGAGCGAAAGCGGCGCCGAAGCGATGTTGCATCTGCGAACCGCGTGGTGCAACACCCAGCAGGCCGACTTAATGCAGGCGGCGCGGGGCGCAATGGGATTTGCATAATCTTGAAGCGCACCCCTAATCAAGCGGGGGGGGGGGGGGGGGGTGGGGGGGGGGGGGGGGGGGGGGTTTGGGGGGGGGGGGTTATCACGGAGGGGGGGGGGTTCCCGCCAACGCGGTTTAATGGGAATCTGATTAATTTTTTGTGGTGGGCCAGCGAAATGCTGTACGGGGCGCTGAACTCGAACCTGACTCGCACATCCACCGACTTCTGGCCTGATCGCCCGGAGTCGCATGGCGAACATCTGTACGTCAACGCGCAGGTCTCGGCGTGGTTCGGCGCATTTATTCATCCCGACTGGGATATGTTCCAGTCCGCGCATCCTGTGGGCGCGTACCATGCGGCGGGCCGCGCTGTGGGCGGCTGTCCTATCTATGTTTCCGATAAACCGGGCAAGCACGATTTTGATCTGTTGCGAAAACTTGTCCTGCCCGATGGCGGCGTTCTGCGCTGTGAAGGGCCCGGCCGACCAACTCGCGACTGCCTGTTTTGCGATCCAACGCAGGAACCCGTTCTGCTTAAAATCTTCAATCATAATCTCTGCAATGGGGTTCTGGGCGTGTTCAATGCGCGGTATGGCGGGAAGGAAACGCCAGGCGAACCGATTACGGGCGCGGTTCGCCCAGCCGACGTGGAAGGGTTGCAGGGTCTGGAATTCGTAGTTTACGCGCATCATGCGAACGAACTGCGAACACTGGCGCGAAATGAAGCGTGGGATATTACGCTGCCGGAATTAAACGCGGAAATTTTCACAGTGGTTCCGCTTGTCGGCGGCGTGGCCCCAATTGGATTGTCGGATAAATTTAACAGCGGCGGAGCGATTGTCCGCGCCGGGTTCGATCTGGATGCGCCGGAACGCTATACGCTGACGGTGCGAGGCGGCGGAAACCTGCTGCTCTGGTGCGAAACGCGGCCTGTTTCGGTCGCCGTTGACCGCGACTGGGCGGCCTTTCATTACGAGGAAACCACGCGCCGTCTGGAAATTTCGCTCCCGGAAGCCAGAGAATTCAGCGTGATCCTGCGATTCTGAAGCGTCACAGTGAACATTTTGTCCGGAAGAAATGTTTGACTGGACGCATTTTTTCTTGACAAAATGGCGTCATTCTGCCATAATCAATGTTGTGTGATAAACATTGATCGTGTCCGCCGACATGGCACAGTGGTAGCGCAGCTCACTCGTAATGAGCAGGTCCTCGGTTCAGAATCCGAGTGTCGGCTTTCCTCTGTTTACTTCCTGACCGGGTTTGCCCTGCTCTTCCTGCGGTCTTCCCCCGGGCCACCCTCTTCCGCGCCCGCTTCCTGCATCAATTTTGCGCGGAAAGCGAAGTCTCGACGAAACGGCGCAGCCCGGTGGTATACTCCTCGACGCGCAGAACTCCTTCAGGAAAAGCCGCGTTTTGCCACAGATAATTCGCAAGCCATTCCTCGCAAATGGCTTGCCAGAAACGATCTCCTCCCGGCATCTGTTCGCGGTCGGTGTGCGCCTTAACCAGTTCAACAAACACTACCGGCAACGCCACCCTGCACGTTTGCTCCGCGCCAAGCGGATCGCGCACCGTAAATGGCTGCTGAAATCCGCCGCCCATTTTCTGTCCCGCATCAGCCTGAAACGTGATACGGTAGCCATTAATCGTCGTAGAGCCGAACGTTATTCCGCTGGGAGACGCTGCCACCGGGGGTTCCAGAACGGCTTCGACCGCGCCACGCAGTGTTTCCAGCGTGAACGGCTTGCGGAGGAAATCGGTCGCGCCGGATTTCATCGCTTCTACCGCTAGATCAATCGTGCCAAACGCGGTTGCCATGATAATCCTGGCTTTTGGAGCGTGTCCGCGCATCTGTCGCAGAACGTCCAGCCCCTCCATTCCCGGCATCCGCTGGTCCAGCAGCACCAGGTCCCACCCGCCGCCAAGACCAAATTTTTCCAGAGCTTCCGGGCCATCCGCTGCCGTTTCGACCGTATGCCCGCTATGCTGCAATGCCAGCCGCACGGTCATGCGAATATTCGCTTCATCATCCACAACAAGAATATGCGCCATGATCCTCTTTTCCTTTCGTGCCTGTTGCGCCTGCCTTCTGATGAAGGGTAACTATCACCGAAAGTTGCGACCGGCCGTCCTTGCGGACGGAAATGCGGTGATAGAATGTTTTATCCCTGCAGGCGATTGGCGGAACGTCTATAGCCGCGCCTTTTGTAGGGCTGACAAGGCTAACTTGTTATTCCGCAACCGGAAGCGCGAACGCGAAGCGACTGCCCCGATTCAATTCGCTTTCCGCCGTAATCACGCTGTCATGCGCCCTGATTATGTTCTGCACAATGGACAGCCCGAGTCCCGCCCCGCCTCGCGTGGCTCCGGGAACCTGCATAAACCGCTCAAAAATGCGTGGTAGGTATTCCGGCGGAATGCCCGCTCCAGTATCCCGCACCGAAAATTCTACCGCGTTTCCTATCTTTTTCCCTGCGATAATCACCTGTCCGCCCGACTCAGTGTGGCGTATTGCGTTGTTAAGCAGATTCAGCAGAACACGCTGAATCTGGCTGCGGTCGGCGCGGACGGCGGGCAGGTCGGCTCCCGCATCAAGCGTTAATCGAATGTCTTTCGCCTCGGCCTGCGAACGGGCGGCCTCGAAGGATTCTTCCGCAAGCTGCGCCGCCGGAACCGGGGCGAAGCGCGGAAGCGTCATGCCCGCTTCCAGCCGTGTAATGTCCAGCAGGTCACGCATCATGCGTTCCAGGCGCTCCAAATCCTCCCGCTGCGCCGCCACGAGTTCCTTTTGATCCGCGTTTAGTTCGCCGACCGCTCCCTCCTGCATCAACTGCACAGAAAGCAATAGCGACGTCACAGGAGTTCGCAATTCGTGCGATGCGACGCCGATGAATTCCGTTTTTAAGCGATCCAATTCGCGCAGGTGCGTGATGTCTTCCAGCACGGCGACCGCGCCAAGCAAAGCGCCATCTTCATCGCGCATTGGGCTGGCCCGCAGACGATACGAGCGCTGCGTTCCGGCATGGCTGCGGGTCAGCAGACCGGCTTCATCTTCGGCGGCGGAAACGCGCTCCTGCGAAATGGCCCGCTCCACCGCTTCGGTCAGGCGCGGCTCGTTCATTTGCGCGACAGCGTGGCCCCGCGAGGATTGGGCCGGGCCGAACAAACCTTCCGCAGCCGGGTTCAAATGCACGATTTTTCCTTCCGCGTCTGTTACCACTACGGGGTCGTACAGGCTTTCCAGCGCCGCGTCCGACATCCGCTCCGCTCGCTTCAAGCGTTCCGCCTCCTGTTGCCGGGCTTCCCGCAGTTTTTCAGTCATATCGTTGAAGGAAGCCGCCAGAGCGCCGATTTCATCAGAGCGGTTCAGCAGAATCTGCTGATTCAGATGCCCGAAGCCGATTTCCTCTGCCTGCCGCGCCAGCGAACGCAGGGGAGTCAGCGCGGCCCGCGTGGCCCAGACCGCGAACAAAATCGCCAGACCGAAAGCGCCCGCTGTGACCGCTTCGCCAACGCGGGAAGCCCGCCACGCTTCGTTTTTAGCCTGCTCATTGGCGCGGAGTATCGCCTCCTGATTCAGATTCAGCACATCCTGCGCCCGCTGCTTGATCCGCTTGAAATCGGGTTCCAGAACAGAAAAATAGTACGTTCGCGCCTGCGCGTTCGGCATTGGCGGATTGGCGTAAAGCAAGGCCTCGATTTTCTTCCGATAATTTGTAAAACGCCTGCCGATGTCGTTCGCAATGTCCTGCTCGCCCGGTTCCGTGATATTGTTCGATTCGATTTGATAAGCTCTCTGAAACAGCGGCCAGTTTGCCTGATACTGCGCCCGCGCCTTTTCGGTCTGGCCCGCGAGGAAAAACGTCGCGGCGCTGTCCTGCCGCTCCAGCGTGTCCTTCATATTCTGCGCCGCGATCACGCTCTTGTAATTGTCCCTCAAAATGCGGTCAATCGAGCGGCCCAGTCGAAAAAAGTTAATCACGCCGCCTGTCATTCCAATCAGCATCAGCAGCGCCAGCGCCAGATGGCTTATCAGCAATTGCGCGCGCAAATTACGCATACTTTTTATCCTGTTCTACTTCAACCACTCTTTGATCTTTTTGTCACCTCTTGAACGCGCTATGCATCGGGTCTATCGGGCGCGGCGTCACAATCAACAAAAAACGGAGGACGAAGATCGCGCCGCGCATTCAGAACGGAAAAGGTTCCAAATGCGCAGTTATGAACTTCGGCCTCCGTTCGAACTGGCGGGTTCTGCGTCCCCCCTGTCTCAAGACTGCCGTTCGCTATGCGCTTGCGATGTTTTCCGATCCACTTTATCGTCGGCGTCGAAAATCGAATTTATATTCAGGCGTCGCGCCGGGACGCGGGCCTATACGGCCCTTACAAATCCTGACGCACAATCTGTTTTTCCAAGTCTGAGGCCAGCACAAAAACCTCAATCTGCTCCGCCGCTTCCACATTGACATCGCTGTAACTGCGAACCACCGCGACGCCCGAAATGGAAGCGACCGCGTTTTCTATCTCCGCATGATTAATGCTGCGCAGCTCCTGACGGGCGCTGCGAATCAGCCTGCGCCCCTCTTCGGAAACCGCGAGACGGGCTTCAGTCGGCGTAAAAATTCCCGAACAGCGAGCCAGAATCAACTCGCCGATAAGGTGGACGCGAACGTCGCCGGGGCCGCGCCCCTGCTGCTCCCGCTGGAACTTCACCACCGCGTTGGCGATTTCAGCCTCGATTGTTCCCCTTGTTGGTCGCGTCACATCGTCGCCCTGAAAATAAAAAAGCCAGCATCGCTTTCTCTCCTTGCCGTATAGAAGACACGGGGAATCTGAAAGGATGCCGACACAAAATCGTTGAACCGTTTCTACGGCCCCTCCACTCACTCCACCAGAAAACACATTACATTCGATATACCACAGAGCAAATTAAAATGCAAGGAAAATGTGAAAAATTGTCTGAACTGTGATTTGAGGCATGGATTATGAGGAGACGGCGCCATCTGTCTCGCGCTCAGGCGCACGGGCGAACTCTTTGAGAATGGGCTTTTGCTCAGCGGGACTTGGAATGCCCCCTAAAATTTAGTGAACTGCTAACATAGACTTGCAACTTTGGGCTTTGTTTGGGTAAACTCTCTGGCATGAGCCAACATATTACCCTGCATCTTAACGACACCCAGCGAGCGCATCTGACCAGCCTGCTCCGTTCTGGCAACGCGCCCGCCCGAACCCAAACCAAAGTCCGCCTGCTGCTTCTGACCGACCGCAGCGAGGGACAGCAACATACGGACGAATGCATCGCCCAAACGCTAGGCATCAGTCGCGCCACCATTATTCGCACCCGACGCCGTTTTGCCCAAGAAGGGGCCAACGCCGCCCTCTATGATAAAGCCCGTCCCGGCAAAACGCCAAAAATCACCGGCGAAGTCGAAGCGTATTTAACCACGCTCGCCTGCTCTGCCCCGCCCGAAGGCCGCGCCCGCTGGACGCTGCGCCTGCTGGCGAAAAAACGGTGGAGTTAGGCCTGGTGGAAAGTCTCTCTAACGTCGCGGTCTACAAGCGGCTAAAAAAAACAAACGCAAACCTTGGCAGGTGAAATCCTGGTGCATTCCCAAAGCGGACGCTCGCTTTGTCGCCAAAATGGAAGACGCGCTTTCGGTGTATACGCGGCCTTATAATAAGGAACAACCCGTCGTCTGCCTGGACGAAAAAACCAAAGAACTTCACGCCACGCCGCGTGGTCGGATTGCCCCGCAACCCGAAAAGCCCGCCCGCGAAGACTACGAATACAAGCGCAACGGCACGCGCAATTTGTTCCTTGCGGTTGAACCGTTGCGCGGGTGGCGCAAAGTGCGGGTGACACAGCGGCGAACCGCGCTGGACTTTGCCGAGCAACTACGGCAGTTGGTCGAGGAAGATTATCCCCACGCCAAGCAGATTGTTTTGCTCACAGATAACCTCAACACCCATACGCCCGCCTGTCTGTATGAGGCGTTTGCTCCGGCGCAGGCGCGAACCATTGCCGCCAAACTGGAGTGGCATTATACGCCCGAACATGGCAGTTGGCTGAACATGGCAGAATGTGAACTGTCGGTCTTGGGCAAACAGTGCCTGAACCGGCGCATTGCCGACGCCGACACGCTGGAGCGCGAAGCGGCAGCGTGGGAACGCGAGCGTAACGCGCAGAATGTTACGATTGAGTTTGTCGGGGAGAAGCCGAAAAGGAAATCTATCGGGCTTCGCTCCCTTTGTAAAACTTGTGTTCTGCGGGAAAAGCCCCGCGCAAAACAAAAAAAACCGCCTGCCCGCCGTTTTTCACGCGCTTTGGAGACAAATACGCCTGCCATCGACCTATCCCACCGTCAGCGAGTGTAAACGCCGCAGATTATACGCCAGACAAACCAGACACCATTCGCCCGTGACCGAAAGAAGCCCGCGCAGCGAAAATTGACGAAAGCCCATCACGGCCTTGATCTGACCGAACACCGGTTCAATCGTGCCTTTACGCCGCCGATAAATCGCTTTGCCTGCCGCTGTTGTCAGTTTGTACGCCATCTTTTCACGCAGACTGGCGTTCTCGGTTGGCGGCTGTCCCGCTTCCGCGAAATGCGCTTTCCAGCCGACGTTGTGCGCCGTCCGTCCGGTGGCGATATATGGTTCAATCCCGGCGGCTTCTAAAATCGTTACGTTCGTTTCGCTGAAATAGCCCGTTCCCCCGTGTCCAGAGCCGCCGCGCCCGGCCTGCCAAGTTCTTGGGAGATTGTCTTTAAGGTGGGAGCGACTTCGCCCTGATCGTTGGCATGGTTTGAGAGCGAACCGCCCACAATCAGTAGGGCCGCGTGATCTACGACTGCCTGCGCGTTGTATTGCTGGCTGAACCCGCCGTCCCGACTGTTTTTCATGATGCGGCTGTCGGGGTCGGTGAAGTTGTATTGGTCGCCGTCCTGGGGAGTCGCAGAGGGCGGCGCAGGCGGTTTGCCGCGCGGCTTCTTGCCCGTCTGGTCTTCCTTGGCGGCGCGTTCCTGCATCTTGGCGTCGTAGTCGGCCTGCTCGAACGCCGCTTTTTCGGCGGCGCGAGCCAACAGCAGGGTTTTCGCTTCGGCAAGGCGCTTGAGACGCTCTTGGCGGCGGGCGATTTCGTAGGGCGCGTCCAAGCCTTCAGGAACGGTTCGCAGATCGGCGGTTTCGGCAAGGGCGAAAAGTTCGGCGACTTCCGCCTGAAGTTTCGCTTCGATTTCGAGGAGGCGTTTATAGGAGACGGCCTTACTTTTGGAAGCGGCGGCGTGGAGTTTGGTTCCGTCGAGGCTAATGTTGCCGAGTTTGAGGAGGCCCGTCGCCTGCGCCAGCGACAGAATTTGCACGAAGAGGCCGCTGAGTTCGGGCAAGAAGGTCTTGCGAAAGGCGGCGATAGTGTCATGGTCCGGGGAGAGATTGCCCGCAAGATAGCGGAAGGCGGCGGTTTCTCTGGTTCCCTGTTCGATTTTGCGGGAAGAGAAAACGCCGGTGGCGTAGGCGTAGAAGAGCAGGCCCAACAGGATTTCAGGGGCGTAAGGTTGTCCGCCGCGCTTGCCATAGTGGGCGTACAGGGGCTCCAGGTCAAGTTGGGCCACGATGTCTACGATGAAGCGAGCGAGGTGGTCTTCGGGCAAGCACTCTTCCAGGCGGACGCTGGTTTTGAGGGTCGCCTCGTAATCGACGGTTCGGAATTGTCTACTCATGTTTCTATTGTGACACATTCTACGAGGCCAGAAGACGTTCTCGCCGACAGACCTGCTACCTTTTTGCTTTTTCATTTTTTTTTTTATAAAAAAAAGAAGAAAAAAGACCTCCTCCCACACACCCCCCCCGCCGGCCCCGCCGAGCGGGGGAGGGAGAAAAAGAGGAGTGCAATAACTAAAAATGCAACCCCCCCCCCCCCCCCCGCCCCCCCCCCCCCCCCCCCCCCTTCCCCCCCGGGGGGCAACCACGGGGCCCCCCCCCCGGGAAATTTTTATTTCCCCGCCGCCGCCAGTATTTCCCCCCTTTTTTTTTTAGGTGTATGCGGGTTTTCCCCACGCCCCCGATTTTGCCCGCCAAACGAACGGCACAAGTCCCACTATCGGCATCGTCAATGGCGGCTTCGTGAACGATACCCTTTATTCTTACAACAGCAGCGCGATCAACGTCAGCGGCGGCAGTGTGAACCTTCTGGAAGCCTTCAACAGTAGCGCCATCAACCTCAGCAGCGGCTCCGTGCTGCGTATTGATTCCTACAACAATAGCACAATCAACATCAGCGGCGGCATTTTGAGTTCTGGTCTGTATGGCTACAATGACACCACGGTAAGCGTCAGCGGCGGCATCATAGGCAGTCTTACTCTGACCGATAACGGCGTCCTCAACTTTTTCGGCACGGGCTTCAGTTCTTCGTATCAGGGGGATCATAGCGGTCAGTTTGTGTACGACGTGACTGGCACACTCGCGTCGGGTGACAAACTCAACACTGTTATCTTTCTTGATGACACGTCACAAGCCCGCTTCACGTTTAATGCGCCTGCTGTTGTCCCGGAATCCAGCAGTATGGCGCTGTTCGGCGGGATAGTGACGGTGGGCGTGGGAATTCTTCGCCGCAAACGCCGCAAATAGGCTTTCGCGCTGAAAATCCCCCGCGTCACGATAGGATGCGGGGGACTTTTTACGTTCTGATGAGAGTGAAGCCTCAAGTTTCGCCCCGTTTCCGCCAATAATTTCTCTGTCAACGCGCCGGATAGAAGGGCTTCCCGCCACCGCTATTTCCCTGACGCCATCTTAGTCTCCCGTGACGCGGAATACGTCTCCCGTGACAAAAGCGACTTATTTCATCGCGCAAAATATGTCGCTTTCCGCGCCGGAGACGAATTTCATCAGGAAAAATACGTCGCCTGCAATCGAAGCGACGTATTTCCTGAGGCAAGGGACGAAGACGGCGGGGCGGGAGACGAAGACCTTCCCGGCATTTTTCAGGAGATGAGACCAATGCCAGACGATTATCTGCCGAAAGGCAAGACCCAGCTGCAAGCGTGGCTGACCAACTTCGGCACAGTCGCGGGGGCGCAAGCGGTTCCGCTGGGCCTTCTGCCCGCCGATTTGTCCGCGCTCGGAGCCGCGCAGGGGACCTTCAACGGATCGGTCGCAGGCGTGAAGACCGCAAAGGCCGCGCTGAAGTCCGCCACGCAGACGGAACTGACCGCCACCAAAACGGTCAATACTACGGTGCGCGGCATCGTGCGCCGCATTCAAGCGAACCCGGCGGTCACGCCCACGCAGAAAGCGTCGCTCGGCATCAATCCGCGCAGCGCCGCCAAAAATCACGCGCCGCCCGTGACGCCGACGGGCCTCACAGCGGAAGGTTTCAGCACGGGCGTCAATGCGCTGAAATGGGACCGCGCCGGCAACAAGTCCAACACGATTTTCGTGATACAGGCGCAGATTGGCGCATCTTTGGATTGGGTAGAAGTCGGCTCGAAGAACGCCACAAAATTCGATCATGTCGGGCAGACTCCCGGCGTGAAAGTGGCGTACCGCGTCCTTGCCACTCGCGCAGGAATGGCAAGCGTCCCGTCTCCCTCCGTCACGCTCTACGGCGCTTCGACCGGCGTTGTCCTAACGCTGGCAAAGGCCGCCTGAGTCGGAACGCATGGCGGCCAGCGAAAAGCGCGAGACGCTTACGGCCTGAAACGCGCCTCACCCTGTCTCGTTTTGATGCGAAGGCGAGAACAATACAGCAAGTTAAACCCCGCCGCCGATAATCTTCCACTCACTGCCCGCCTGCGCGGGCAGTTTTTTTGCCTGTGGCGGCAGGTAAATGGTGAAACGCAAGCCTACGGCATGGTCTGGTCATCTGTAGTTAAGACAGCAAGGATTTGAACTCCAGGAAAATTTGCGAGCCGCGTATGCGCGCCCGTTTTTCATTTTATTTTCATGTTGCCATGTTATTATAATTTTGTCAGAACTGGCCGGGACGACCTCTTCTGCCCCCGACCGTTCCGGCAATTCTGACGATTTTCAATGCACTTCGGATGAACGAACATCCAGTATAAGGGAGTAAGGCACATGAAGAAGACGTTTTTTCTGCTCGCGGCGCTGCTTGCGCTTGGCACGACCTCAATGGCGCTGGCTCAGCGCGGGCCAGGAGGCGGAGGCCCCGGCGGTGGCGGGCCGGGAGGCGGTGGGCATAACAACCCGTCCGAGATAGGCGGCGCGGTTTCCAACCTTGCGGTGGATGGCAGTTCCTTCACGCTCACAGGGCCACGCGGCGAAACGGTCACAGTAGACGTTACCAGCGCGACCACAATCAAAAACGCCAGCGACGGCAGCACTGCTACGCTCGCCAATGGCGAAGACGTTTTTATCGCGGGAAAATTCGACAAGACAGACAAAGTTTTGACCGCGACCGCGATTGTCGTAGATGATCATAAGCCGCAGCCACATGGCTACTTTGGCTCCGTAACCAGCCTTGCAGCGGACGGCAGTTCCTTCACGCTTACAGGACCGCGCAAGGAAACGTTGGCCGTTACGGTGAGCAGCGCCACGCCCATTACCAATTACAGCGATGGCAGCGTCGCAATTCTGGCCGATGGCGAAAACGTTCTCGTGACCGGCACATTGGATACGACCGGCAAAACGCTGGCGGCAGCCTCCATTGTGGTGGACGACCGCAAGCCGCCCACGCAGTTGCAACTGGCGGCGGGAACCATCCTCAGCCTCGAAGCGAAGAATGAAACCTTCCTCTTGACCGTTGCGAAGGCCAACTTCAAGCCAACCGGAATCACGATCAACGTTGTCACCACAGCAACGACAGCCTATGGCGGCCCAAAAGGGAAGCTCATGTTCGCCGACCTGAAAGCGGGCGCAAAAGTGCAAATCGCCGGTACATTCGACGCGGCCTCGCAAACTTTGACCGCCACGCGAATCGAAATCGTAAAGTAGGCGAGGAGATATTGGGGGTTAGTGGAAAACCTGAACCCTAAGATATTCCCGACGCAAATGAAAGGCCCTGCGCTCCCTTAAAAGCGCAGGGCATTGCATTACGACAGTAAGGTTTCACCTTACGCCCCTGTAGGGCACAGCGTATTATTGCCGCTGTCATACTTTGGCTTACAAACCAATATTCACAGGCGGCAGCAAGGCATTCGCGGCGGTCAGCAGGGCATACGGGCGTTCGTCGGGTGAGGTCAGTTGCGTCAGCGCGGTCAGGTCATGGGGTTGTGGGCCGCTTGTCATCCAGTCTCGGACGTTCTCATTAACGGCAAATTGGCGTAATTGGCCCGTAGGCAGATGGCGGACGGTTTGCAGGGCCGCTTCTAAATCGCCTGCCTCGCTTTGGGCTTCGGCGATGTCCAGCAGTTGCACTTCCCATTCGTTTTCGGCGCTGAGGCGGGTTCCTGTGTAGGGTTCAGTGGGCGGCAGATGCCAGTTGCCTTGCTTGCCAGGCTTCATTACGCGAACAATCTGCTCCACCGCCGCAAGAAGCAGGGTTCGCGCTTCTACTTCCCGGCCCACTGTGTTGAGCAGTCTGGCGGCGTCTCGCTGCGCATAAGTTTTCGCCAGTCCCGGTGGCATTTTCGCTATCAGCGGCAGCGCTTGCCTCACCGTGAGACGCGCCGGGATACGGAGGTTTAGAAGCGGCCTGCTTTTGCGCAATACTCAGCAACACACTGGCTTTGCCGCCGTCATCAGGCGCCAGCGCGAGGCGCTGCTGTTTTTGAAGGTCATCGGTGTCAGCCTTCCCCTGCCAGACGAGATGCAGCAACAAGTCGCGGCGGGCGGTTTCGTCCGTCAGAGCGGAAACTATCGGCGCGAGGCGGTCTGTCATGCCGCTACGGTTCAAGTGGTACGCCAGTGTAAACAGCGCATCGTTCCGCTGCTGCGCCTCTTTGATTTTCAGCACGTTCTGCAACGCGCCGTCTGCGTCTCCGGCTTCCGCCTGACAGTTAGCAAGGTCTGACCGCCACGTTTCCCAACCGGAGTCCAGCGGCGCGACAGCGGCGGCGGCAACGGTTTGAGCCAGCAACGCGGTCACTTCCGGCTTCGCGTCAAGGAGAGTCAGAGCTGCCATGATTTGTAGATTGACCGGAATCCGTTCGCGAACGTCGGCGATACCCAGCGCCACTTTTGCCGCCTTGCCCAGCGTGTCCTTTGCGTTCTTATCGCCCCGCTTCGCCTGCCATTCGCCCCATGCCATCAGCATCTCGGCCCGGCTTTTCGATTCCGGGAGGGTTTCGATAAGGGGCAGGATGCGACCCGTTTGCCCCAGCGCGGCGTAGGCGTCCGCAAGATTAATGAGGCGCCGTACGCGGTCTTGCGCAGACTGCAAACCAGCAATAAGAGGCTCGAGTCGCGGCAAGACTTCTTTCAGGCAGGCTGTGTCTTTTGCTCTGGCGGCCTGAAGCGCAATATCCTGATACGCCTGAAGTCTATATACGTCGTCCGATAGATGATCCGCCACTGCCATTACGATTCGCCACTCGCCCATTGAAAGCAATGCTGTGGCGAGCCCATGAAACGGCGATGGCGCATACGCATAAGCGGTTTCCAGCGGGATTACCACCAACTGCGCAAGATTTTGCAAGATTTTTGTCGCCTGAGGGTTCTTGCGGTCGCGCAGTCGTTCGCCAACGAGTAAGAACAGGGTCGCTTCCCCTTTTCCGAGCCGTCGCGCCGCCACCGCTTTTGCGCCCGCCGCATTACCGCTCCACGCCCGCAGCGTCACAGCATAGCGGGCGGTCTCTCGCCGTTTCCCTTCGTCCTTTATCCCGGCAGCGAGCGCTTCCGCTTGCGCAGCAAGGGCAGGAGTGGCCTCGGTTTTCGCCTGCTTCCAAAGCAATTGGACGGCATATAGTCGGGCGTTATCGCGCTGCTGGCTGTCGCTGGAAACGTCGGCGAGGCGCAGCAGGTCGGGAACATTCTCTGACCACTGGAATTCGCTCAGCAACATTCCAAATGCATCATGACGTGGTTTCCCCTCCGGCAAGGTTATAGCAAATTGCAGCGCTTCCTGCCGATTGGCGACGGACTGGCGGTTCTGCCCCTTTGCCGTCTGCATTTGCGCCAGTCCCAGCAGCGCCTGCAACCGATTGAGCGGGTCGCCGGTCAGATCAGCAGTTTGCAAAGCCCCAGCCTTATCGCCCGCCTGCGCCTGCCCCCAGAGAACACTATAAAGCGCCTGCGAAACGCGTTCAGGCTTTGGAAATCGTCTGGCAGTCGTAATGGCATCGTCGAAATAATGCAGTTTCGCCTGTTCCAATTCAATCTGCTGTAATGCCCATTCCGTTGGCGTCGAGATATCATCGGCAGGGGCAACGGCGGCATTACTTGCGACCGTTGCTGGCGATGGAGCGGCGCTTTCGGAAAGTTGACGCAGTAGCGCCTTTGCTTCCGTCGCGCGATTTTGATGGGCCAGCCAGCGGGCGCGTTCTAACGCCGAATGCATGCGGTCGTATTCGGTGGCAATAGCGGGCGCGATGCTGTCAATCGCTGTGAAGGTCTCGTCCATGCCGTTCCAATCCTCAGCGCGTTCCTGCGCGTCCACTATTCTCAAAGAGCAGACTGCGCCGCGCCTGCAAGTCCGCAACGCCCGCCGCGCTTTCCCGCGCCTCAATCAGAAGGCGGGCGATTTCGGACGGATTAAGCGCTGACTTTGGCGGAGGCTGCGCGCAGCCCACCTGACACGAGAGTGCCAGCAACAGCAGACAAGTCAAGCAAATTTTTTCGGCGTAACGCATGGCTAGGCGGTTCCTTTCGCGCCGCATAATAGAAGGCTTCTCTTTTAGACGAAGCGAACCCAAAGCGCGTTACGAGAACAAAGGCTTTTCTATATGATACCGTGTGAATAGCACAATCGCTGAAACTGGATACCGGGTATTGCGAATACACGGCAGGAAATGGGCGTCCTACGGACGCGGCGTTTCTCTGTTAGAACTCGTTCGTATCGAACCAAACTCTGAGAGTCGAAAAAGCCTTTTGCATCTGCAGGACGCTCATTATCAAAATTCAGCGTGAACTGCTTTTTGACAATTTTTTGGATACGCGGATTGTTCGCTTATGAACGTGGCGCAGGTCGCCGACAGAAGACATGATCGTCCGATTTCAGTTTTAGTTTCTCAGTGCGCGTCTATTTCGATACGGTCTCCCGCAAACAGCGGACGCGGTGTGTCCAATGTGATGAGCAATGTGTTTGTGGCGGGTTCCGGTGTCAGGTGGAACCCAAGCGACTCCTGTCGGACGCTGACGTGAACGGTGGTTGGAGAAAGATCAGCGCGGGGCGGGGCGGGAACCCGCAGCGCCGCAATGAGAAGTTGTCCATTCGCCTGTGTTTTGCGATCTGAACCGGACGGCGCGGAAACGACAAGGCGATCAAGCCGAAAGGTCGTCAGTCCGCCGTGCGCTGTCGGCCTGTACTCCATCCGTCCCTGAAACGTCGTTCTGAAAATCGGCGCTACGAGACTGCGCCACGTTCCAGGCAGATTTGGGTTCAGCGTCATTTGCGCAGTCTTCGGGTCATAGACGAAGCCGGTCAGCGCGTCCAGAATTTGCCATGCCCCCGCCTGCGCCAGCGAGGGAACGGAATTTTGTTTTGCCGCCGCGACGTTTCCGGGCGACGCTTCCAGCCTTACCCAGGGCGATAATCCCGCCGCATCCCGCGCTGCGTCTCGCATTGTCAGCGCCGCAAGCCCCGCTTCAGGCTTATTCTGCGCGATCTGACCAGCGATGTCGGCATAAGCGGCAAACGCATCGGACGCGGGAGGCGAAACGTTCGACTTGGCGGACGTTGGGTTCGGAGTGTCAAGCGAATACTCCGTGTCTATCGTCCCGCCTGTTCGTTGATTTTGCAGATTCGGGAAGAACGCGGACAGCAGAGACTCGGCAGCGCCTGCCTGCTTCGTGTTTGGTGACAACGGGCCGAAAATTCCGCCTGAAAACCATGCGAATTTATCGTCTGCTGTATGAAGCGTATTCGTCTGCAATGGCGTCACGCTGTTGATAAGGTCGCGAACCAGCGGGCGCGGCAAGTTGGAGAACGTCAGCGATTCCTGCCATTCCAGCGTCAGGGCCAGCAGACTACGCCAGTTTTCCAGCAGGTCGCGGGCGGCTTTCGGCGCATCGGCCCACCGAGCCGAATCGTAACGGCGGTAGTCCACGCCCGACTGCGTATAATAGCGCGGCGTCCGCCATGCAACCGAAAATGGTATTTCCGCGAAATCATTGGGCCGCAGGGTCAGCCGCACCGAAATCACGCCCGCCGGATGCGCTTTGCCCTCCGCGCCAATCGGCGCGTTTCCTGCCACATCGCCCGACCGCGCAAATCCGTCCCACCATCCCGGTTTTGCTTCCAGCGCGTTCCATCCCGCCAGCGTCACGGTGGCGTCTTTGCGGGATGGCAGGCACAGAAGCGCTATCTCGCCGGTGGCGTTGTCACGCAGGCGTTCCGCAGGAGAAGTTCCCTTTGTCAATTCGGGGCCGGTAAATCGCAGCCCGAAAAATCCATTCGCGGAAGGAAGCGCATAAATAGCATCTCCGGTTCGGTCCCGAAAAGGTTCCCTGCCCCGCCGTGCCTCCAACGCCCAAAACGTTTTCCCACGACAGGGCCACGCTAATCTCAATAGTATCCGTGGAGCGGTTACGAAATTGAAACACAAATGCGGCGGCAGGAAAAGAAGAGTTCCGTATATCGAATGGAACCAACGGTGAGAAGGCCCGCAGTGATACACTGACCGGCGAAGCGGCATCGGGATAATCCAGCAGCGCAAGCGGCGGCCTGCCGTCGAAATCCAGCGCGGCAACGGTCGGCAGGCCATAGGGTGAAGTCAGCGCAAGAACGCGGCTCTGCGTTCGCCCTCCGCTCCGAGTCCACAGCGCCGCGAAACAGCCGTTCAGGTCGCCGGTCGGCTGCTGAAAGTTATTGGTGAGGGCAGCGGCAGAAATACCGCCGTCCGTTTGCATCTGAAACGTTCCTGCGCCAATCCCGCCAAGCGGCAGCCCGCCATGCAGTCGCCGCGAATGGATTACTCCCGTTTCCATTTCAACAGCAGGCGCGGGTTCTTGCGCGAGCGTGGCGCAATGCAGCAGACAGAGCAGCGGCAGGAAACATCGCGCGTTCGTACTAATCGAATTTTTAATCCAGGGGTTGTTATTTTTCACACGATGTGTTTCGGCGTGAGAATGAAAAAACCCTGCGTCTCCGTGAAGTGAGAGGCTCTGGCTGTCAGACAATAATGACAAAATATTTACAATTTTTGACTAGATAGGAAGGAAAGCCGCATACCGACGGATAATACTGCCCCTGCGAGAAACGCGCCTGTCGCAGATGACTGCGAAAGGCCTCGTTCTGTGCGAAATCATCTCTGAAACACTTATCTCAGGAGAACACGAATCCCATGAAGAAACTGATTGCCCCGCTCAGCGCTATTGCGCTCCTTCTCAGCATCGGCGTCCCGACCCTGGCCCAGACAACCAGCGCCAGCGCAGTGAAATCCGTCCTCGTTGGTCAGGGCGCAACGACCACCAAGAAAACCACCGGGAAGATGGCCAAAGGCAAAATGGCTAAAGGCAAGATGGCCAAAGGCAAAATGGCTAAAGGCAAAATGGCCAAAGGCAAGATGGCTAAAGGCAAAATGGCTAAAGGCAAAATGTCCGGCAGCACACCCAAGTAAGAGCGGCTCTGCGTCGCCGTTTTGTCGCTTCGGCCCTGCCGAAACGCGAACGCCCCGAAAACTTTGCCGAAGTTTTCGGGGCATCATTTATTATCGCGCGCATTGCGATGGGTTCAGGGCAGGACGGGCGGCTTGAAGGCCGCGAGTTCTTCAGGCGTGGAGGGCGGCGTGACTTTCCCCGCCTTAACCATCTGCGCCAGCAAATCCAACTTCTTTATCACATCCGGCGCAATGTCGTTTTTCGTGTACTTGAAGTCGGTCAGTCCGACGCCATCGGCCTTCAGGTCGAAGATATGCGGCCCCGGCTGAAATTGTCCCGCCTGCGTCTGTTTGATCGTGTCGTAGACCGCGACATCCAGCCGCTTGACCATGCTGGTAAGCACGCGACCGGGAGCCACATCGTCCTGATTAGAATCCACGCCAATCGCGTAGTAGCCCGATCCTTTTTCCTTCGCCGCATTGATAACGCCGAGTCCGCTTTTCCCCGCCGCCTGAAAAATCACATCGGCTCCGCTTGCAAACTGCTGATCCGCCTGACTTTTGCCCGCGTTCACATCTTCCCAGTTGCCCGTATAAGTCGCTAGAACCTTTGCGTTCGCGGCAGCGGTTTTCGCGCCCGCCGTATAGCCCGTCAGAAACTTTTCAATAAGAGGAATATCTAAGCCGCCGACAAATCCCAGAACTTTGGTTTTGCTGACCGACGCTGCGAGATACCCGGCGAGAAACGCCCCCTGTTCTTCCTTGAACGAAAGCGAGGAGCAGTTGGGCGCATCCGGGGCGGGCGCGTCAATCAAAACGAATTTCGTTTGCGGGAACAGTTTCGCCGTGTTTTCCAGCGCGTCATGCAGTTTATAGCCGACCGCGAAAATAGGATTGAAACCTGCGGACGCCAATTGATTAAGGTTGGTTTCGTAATCGGCGGTAGTCGCGGTTGGCAGGTACTTCAGAACCGGCATCCAGTCCCAGTTCCGTTTTCGCGCGTTCCAGGCCGGCCCGCGCCGCCGCATTAAAAGATTTATCGTCCGGCCCGCCCACGTCCAGCACCATGCCGACTTTCAGGGCTTTTGCGCTCGGCGTTCCGTTCGCTGGAACGCCTGTTGCTGTTCCATTTGGAAACATCGGATTTGCCGTTTCCGACTTGCCAATACATCCATTCAGCAGCAGCCCTGTCAAAATCAACCCCAGACCTGCCGCGCTTGTTCGCCGTCCGTTCACGGAACCTCCTCCGGGAGAAATCAGAAGACAGGAAATAGAAGAAAATGCTCTATTAGCAAACTACAATTACGCTTGCATTGGAAGGAAGACCTTGCAGGCGCGAATGGCCCCTCTGTTTTCTGTCCCCTGATTGCTACTCCCTGCCTACTTTTTCATTTTATGAATCGCTTCACCGCGAACGTCCATTGCCGCTTCGCCCAGCGCTTCGGAAAGCGTGGGATGCGCGTGGATATTGGTCATCAATTCTTCCACAGTGGCTTCCAGCTTAATCGCCATCACCGCTTCGTGAATCAGTTCTGTCGCATACGGCCCGATAATATGAACGCCGAGCAGTTCGCCATACTTATGTTCGGAAATCACTTTCACGAAACCGTCCTGCTCGTTCAGGGCCATAGCGCGTCCCAACGGGCGGAACGGGAAGCGCCCCGTCATCACGTCGTAGCCCTGCGCCCGCGCTTCTTCTTCCGTAAGGCCGACGGAGGCCACTTCGGGCGAAGTGTAGATCGGGGCGGGAACGGCCCGATAGTCCATTTTCGTTTCATGGCCCATCGCGTTTTCCGCCGCCACAATCCCCATGTGCGACGCCAGATGCGCCAGCAATTGTTTGCCGACGACATCGCCAATCGCATAAATGTTGCTGACGCTGGTCTGCAAATAGTCGTTGACTTCTACGCCCCGCTTGTGCAGTTGAACGCCGACTTTTTCCAGCCCCAGCCCCTCGAAGAACGCTTTGCGTCCCGCGCCAACCAGAACCACTTCGGCCTCAATGGTTTTCGTTTCCTCACCGACCTGCACCGTAACGATTCGTGTCGCGCCCTTGTGCTCTACTCCAACCACTTTGGCCCCGACATGGAACCGGATGCCCGTCCGCGATAAGAGTTTACGTAGTTCTTTCGATATCTCCGCATCGCCTGTAGGCAGAACTTCCGGCGCGATTTCGATTACGTCCACTTCTGCCCCAAGGTTGCGGAACACGTAGGAGAATTCCAGGCCGACCGCGCCCGCGCCGATAATTACCATAGTTTTCGGGCAGGCGGTAGAGGCAACCGCCTCGTCGCTGGTCCAAATTCCATTGCTGCTGATGCCGCGCGGATCATCGGGATTGCGCTCCACGCCCGGAATAGGCGGCATCACGGGAACGGAACCGGTCGCCAGAATCACTTTGTCCGTCGTAAAACGCTCGGTTTGGCCGTCCGGCAGGCAGACTTCCACTGTATGCGCGTCCACTAGCCGCGCCGTGCCGACAATCGAGCGGACATGATTGCTTTTCAGAAGAGCCTGTACGCCGCCGCGCAAATTCGTCACAACTTTCTGCTTGCGCTCCATCATTTTGCCGAAATCAAAACTAATTTCGCCGCCGACTATAACGCCCATCGTGGCGGCGGATTTCACATGGTGCAGACGCTCCACGCTTGCAATCATGGTTTTGGTCGGGATACAGCCCCAGTTCAGGCACGTCCCGCCCCATTCGCTCGCCTCTTTTTCGATGCAGACCGTTCGCGCGCCCAGCTGCGCGGCGCGAATGGCGGCAACGTAGCCGCCGGGGCCGGAACCGATTACCACCACATCGTTATCAAATTCTCCCGTAGGGGACATTTCCGTTTGCTCCTCAATGCGCGGGGCTAACAGGCGGCCCAGCGCTCTATCTATTTCCGCGTCGTCGGGCAGGGTCTCAGCGCGGCCCAGGCGGACTTCCGGCAGGGGTGGCTCGGCGACGGCGGCCTTTTCGTTTTCATTTTCCATACAGCGTTTGTCTTCATCCTCGCCCGCCGGAAAGGAACGGGCGCAGCAAAATTTGGCGTGGCAGGACGGGCTTGCGCTTTCCTGCCAATCGCAACGCAGTATAGCATATTGCCGCTTGCCGTTGCAACCCGATTTGACCTTTGCGCGCAGGCGCAGGGAGACTCAGCGTAACCTGTATTCCCATACGAAATGGGCGGCGCAATCTGCGCCGCTCGTTCTATACAGCCTTCCTCATATATTGCCTCCAACGGTTTCACGCAACTACTAACGTTTGTCGAAAGACGCAGGGCTGCTGCCAGGCGCGTTGAGTTCGCTGTCCGTTATGAGCGGATTAATTTCTGTGGCGATCTGGGTTTCTGCTCTTTTATGTTTGTGCCCGTCGCTTAATCGTGGATTAAACATCAGAAGGCGATGCGCCAATCCGTCCACGCCGATATACAAATCTATTTTGCGCAAAGTAAGTTTAGGATTGGCTTTTTTGTCTTCGATACGGACATCAATTTCAAGAACACGATAAGAGGCGCCACGCCACGCTTCCCTGCCTCTGTCGAAATAAGTCAGCGTAGTTTGCTGCCCATAGGTAGAATAGCGTTTCCCGGACATACTTTGCGCAAAAAAGTGATCCGGCGCGAAGAACAAAACAGCAAGAATAAAATCGGGATATATCAAGTTAAACATCTCGGCAGCAACTTCGGGATGCGTGAGAGCGGCGGCGTTCGTATAGATATCAGCCTCCCCCGTTTGTGTCCGGGGCTTCGCGCTGGTCTTCCCGTCGTCATTGGCAGGATGGCTGAAAGCGTTTGTCGAATGAAGGAAACCGGGTCGCTTTAATTTTATTTTGGCGACAGCGTGATAAGAACCGGGTTTTTCCGGGTCTTCCGTGACAAGCGTGGCGGAAAGTGTTTTCATGCTTCTATACTTCGCGGCGACCGCTTTAAGCAATCTGCCGTCCGCCTCATCTGCCTTCGCCGGAACTTCGCAGCAAAGCGCTGCGAGAACCGCGCCTGCTGTCAGTCCGATTTTGTGTTGAAATCTCATTCCATCTGCTCTTTCTTGTCCACTGACCTATCCGCTGACGAATACCGCCCTTGCGCGAACTTACTTTGTCACCCGATAATAGTCTCCGCCGCAATCCCCATAATGTTTTCGAGACGCCACGCTGGTCTTCCTGCCTCTCAAAAGAAAACAAACGTGGCAATGATTTTACCGCACAAGAAAGCGCTGCGTCGCCGCAGAAAATCTTTTCGGGAACGGCGACGGGAAAGATAGCGCCGCAGTTAATGCCCGCGTCGCCGACGATAAATCGTTCGCCGCTGGCGATAGATCGTTCGTCACCGCAGAAAATCTTTTCGTCATTGGCGATAGTTCCGTTTTCGCGGCTCGCGGCCAGCCAAAATCCGAGGGAGTGCGCAAAAGGAAATTTTACGGTTGCCAACGCTGAAAGCCGACGAGCGCAGTGTCCACCCCTGTGTTATTTCGACCGCAAACGGCGGGAGCGGAGGGACCGTGAACGGCGCGGCTGTGCTATACTTTAAGCACAATGAACGAACGCGACTTTGTGCAGAAAAAAGAGAAGATTGGGAGCGGCTTGCCGTCCTGACCCAAAAAGCCAATGGCCGCCGGGGACTTCGCTCTCTGTCCCGCGAAGAATTACTGGCGCTGGGGCCGCTATACCGGCGTGTGGCGTCCGATCTGGCGCAGGCGCGAGCCAGAGCAGTCAGCCCCGACCTGACACTGCATCTCAACGCAATCGTTGGGCAGGCCCACGCCCTGTTGTATTCGGCGCAGGCGAAGTCGTCGCCCGGTCGCGCTGTGCAGAATTTTTATATGACCGAATTCCCGATGCTGCTGCAGCGCTACCGCCGCTACTTTTTCGCCGCCATTGCAATCTCTATCCTCGGCGCCGTTTTCGCCTACTGGGTTGTCATCACGCAGCCGGACAAGACAGGGATATTCATTCCGGAGCAGTTCAAATCGTCGCTGGACGCCTGGAAAAGCGGCAAGATCGCCGACGACGCCCACGCCGAATTTTCCGCGCAATTGATGACGCACAATCTCCTGGTAGGTGTTCTGGCTTCCACGACGGGCGTTGCGGGCGGCGTTCCCACTGTCGGAATTTTGTTCAACAACGGCACAACGCTGGGCGCGTTCTCCGCCGTAATGACGCAGGCGCATCAGCACGCCCATTTCTGGCCCGGCATCCTGCCGCACGGCATCGCGGAACTGACGGCGATTTTCATTTGCGGAGGCGCAGGCTTATTGTTCGGTGTTGCCCTTCTGCTGCCGCGCCCGTATTCCCGCGCCGACGCCCTCCGCATCTACGGCATGGACGCCATCAAACTCACGCTTGGAACAATTCCCCTGTTCATCTTTGCAGGCGTAATCGAAGGAATGTTCTCGCACCTTGCTATTCCTCCCGCCGCGCGTTATGCGTTCGCTGGCGTCAACGGCGTTCTGTGGTATCTGTACCTGTTTCTTCCGCGCCGCGCCCTGGAAAACACTCCGTCTGCCGATACCGCCGAAAATGCGCGGAACTTGCCATCGACCTGACGCGTATCACGCAGGAGTAAAGAACAGAAAGAACACAGAAAACAAAATTGAGCCGTTCAAACTTGCAGGGCTTTTCCTTACCAATACAGGATAGTACAGGCGTGAGAAGTTTGCTAATCGGGCCTCTTCTTTTATTTTCTGTTTTCTGATTTCTTCCAATGGAGCCGGAACTTGACTGACTCGAATGCAGCGGAACGTTCGCCCCGTGAAACTCTGGCGACGCTTCGCGCCCAATACCCCGATTCGCCGTTTCTGGCGCTGGGACAAACCGTTTTCTGGGACGAGCCAGTGAAGGCCGCGTTGCGCCTTCTCCTCGACGAATCGGGGCTTGGCGGTCATATGACCGTAGGCGTTCACGATACCGATTATTTCGCTAAAGCGCAGATTCGGCGCGGTGAACAGGGCCGTTTTGCTCTGCTTGCGCATAACGATGGCAGCACACGCGATCTATGGTCGGCGGCAGGCGAAATCTCCACGCTGTTTGGCAGCGAGACGTTTCCCCGGCGGCAGGACTACGCCCGCTATGGCGCGGCTTTTGAGCGCGTCGCAAAGTCAAGCGGCAAACTGCGGCAGGAGTTCCTCGATGAAATGACCGAAGCGTGGGGATGGCGTGGGTTAGTTTACACCGGCTCGCGAGACATTATTGTAAATCAATTGCCCTTACGCGAAGTCGGCGATGGTATTATGCAAATGCTGGACTGGGGCTTTGCGAACGCCGTTCAGCAAATCGTTCCCGGCTGTTGTCAGGACGAGGCGCGCCGCGTTGCCGACGATATCATGGGCTGGTGTCAGGGCTACCGCGCCGCAAACCCCGACCGCACCCTTTCCGACCTGTATCAATTCCTGCTCCCGAAATTCTACGAACTGCTGCTTGGTCACGCGCCGACCGATATTTCCGTAGACTGCACCGCCAATTTGCTCCGTCTTACACCTGAAACCGCGGCTTTGCCCCGTTTCCGCTTCGTAGAAGCATTCCTGAATCCGCAGACCCGCGACATCGCTATTCAAGCCTACAACGATTCTCTGGACGGCGCGGAGATATATACCCTAGACAAATTCGGCGCAGGAGCCTTACCCTTTGACTTGATTCTGCCGGAGCATGGGCGCGGAACCCTGCGCGTCACACCGCGCGTCTTGTTTGTGGAAACGCGGCAGCCTGTGGCGATTGCCTTGAAGCGACCGATAGAGACCGTCGCGGAACTGGCGGAAGTTCTCTATCGCAAGTTCGGCGATTCTGTTACGCTGGTCGGCAAAGCGGTCACGCTGGTTTCCATGCTGGCGCAGGAATTCATTTTCGTGTTCAGTGAAGAGGGTTCCCTGTATGTCAGCCGAACGCGGCAGATGAACAATGCGCTGGCAAAAGCGGGCGTTCCGCTGGATATGCGGCCTATTTTGCGGATGCGCTACGATACCTGGGACGCGCTTGCCGTTTCCGAAACCACCTTGCGACCCGCCGCGCACCTCGCCGCAACGTTCGACCAGCCCACATTGCCCGCATCTGAATTCGCCGCAACGTGGCGCCATGTCGTGGCGGAACAGCGGGCTTTGTGTGAACGCCTCGCAGAACTGAAGAAGCCGCTCGACCTTATGGCATTCCTACAGGAGCGCGAACCGGATGGAAACTGGGCCGCGCAAATCCGAGCGTACCACGACGCGCAGGATTGCCTGCTCACGCTGCGCGAGGACGCCGCTGCATTGCAGGCGCAAGTCAACGCCTATTACGTTCGCCTGCGTACGCTTGGAGCACTCCGACAAAGCGTTCAGACAGCGAAGGGGCAACACCATCGCAGCATGACGGAATGGACGCCGGAACAGGAAGCCACACGGGAAGCCTTTACGCGGCGCGAACGCGAAATCGCCCGCGAAAAGCGCGGCATCTGCGCAAATGTTGTGGCATTGAAAGCGCAACGGTGGAACATTGAGCGCGGCGCGGAAGCCGTAGAATGTCGCAGTCGCCGCAGCGGTATAGCGGACCAAGCGGAATCCGCCCGGATGCGTCTGATTCGTAACGCCCTGCTCACAACCGAAGGACTAACGCACACCGCGCACCGCCCTTCTGCATGGTGGTTCCCTCTCGCGGACACAAGCGGCGCATGGTTCCGCCGCCTCGTAGACACAACGGAACTCTACACGGAACCCCTCCTCGATTAACCGCAACTCGCGCCATTCGCCATCGGCCCCGCGCGTTTGCCTGTATCTCGGCGGCGCGGCGTTTACGGAATGAGATCGGAACATTCCGCGCAGATATAATCCAGAACACCAAGCAGCCGGGGCAGATCGTTGAGGCCGTATTCCGCTGTTTCCAGCGTTTCGCCCGATTGCGCTATTCGGTAAAATTGCCACAACTGCCCATTGCTGACAATGCCGAAAACGTCTGTTTTAATTCCCTTGTTCTGATTATTCCATTAACAGGCCAGCATCTCAGCAAGGCATGGCGTCTGCACCTGCTCAAAGTCGTTGCGTTTCGCCTCCACCACGCACAGCAGCGGCGTGTCCAGATAAGCGCGTATCGGCGCAAAGAGATAATCGGCGCGGCCCATGAGATCACCGGATTCAAGCGGGATGTCTTTCCAGATTCGCAGGCGCGGATGACCGGGAACAATTTCAGTGAACACCGCATCAATCAGCAGCAGTTTCGCCGCCTCGCTTCCCCGCAAATCGAAGGCTTCTTTCCTGCGCAAATCTTCCAGCAGATGGGCGCTTGGCGGGCGCGGCGGCGCGTCCGGCGTCCAGAAACACAGGTTTTCCTGCCCCGATATCTGCATCACTTCTTGCAGCGTCAAACTGGTATTATGCAAAATCGGTTACGAAGCAGGCAAAGGCAGGGCGGGTTGTAGAATAGGGAAGCATCTTCTTTTTTGGAGGCTTCTTATGGCGACCGAAGAACCGGTTTCACCTTCCCGCGAAGAACAAATTCAGCGCTTGCTTGGCGCGTACGAAACGCATCTGCGAAAAACATTGCCGACTACGCCGCAAACGCTGGAACAAATCGAGCGAACCGCCCAGGATATCGGCGAGGAAGTCAAGCAGGAGATACAAAAAGAAGTCGCCGACGCGCAAGGGGTGGGGTCTAGCAGCAAGCAGACCGTTTGCGCCTGCGGAAAGAAAGCCCGCTGCATCGGCCTGTACGGGCGGCAGATCGTCACCCGGCATGGCGTTCTGTCGCTTAGGCGGGCGTACTATCACTGCCGCGCCTGCGGCAAGGGTTTTGCCCCCTCGACCGGCAGTTGCAGATGGGGAGCGGGCAATGCAGCGTCACCGTTGCCGCCCTGCTGGCCCGCTTCGCGGCGTATTTGCCTTTTGAGACGGCGGCCCGCGAACTGGAACTCGTCTGCGGCATCCGCCTGTCCGCCGCGACCCTAAGACGGCAGGCCGAAGCGGTCGGAGAACATCTTGCCCGTGAGTGGCAGCAAAAGGAAGCGCGGTTGTGGGCGCAGCCCGAACGCGAAGCGTCCGCCCGCCCGCGTCAGTTGCATCTGACGTGCGACGGGGTAATGGTTCACGTCGGCGGGACATGGCGGGAAGCGAAAATTGGGTGCGCGTATGAACGAGCGGAAGACAAAGCGGGCGTGAAGAACGCGACGTATTACGCGACGCTCTTGCCTTCACAGCCTTTTGGCAAGCGGTTGCGAACGCTGGGGCATGAAGCGGGAGCGGAGAACTGCGGCAAGGTGGGGTTTGTGGCGGACGGAGCGGAGTGGATTTGGCAGGAGGCGGGCAAGTATTACCCGCAGCGGGCGCAGATACTGGACTTCTACCACGCCTGCCAGCATTTAGGGAACGTGGCCTCGGCGTGGCATGGAGAAGGAAGCCAGCAAAGCGCGGAGTGGCTTGAGACGCAGAAGGAAGACTTGCTTGCCAACCGCGCCGAGCGGGTACTCAAAACGATAGAAGACTGGCAGCCGACGACGCAGTCTCAGGCAGAAGTGCAGCGCAAAGAAGGCGCCTATCTGCGGACGCATCTGCGGCGGATGCGCTATGAGACCTTTGCCCAATCGGGCTACCATATCGGCAGCGGAGTGGCGGAAGCGAGTTGTAAGAATGTCGTTCAGGCGCGTTTCAAGCAAGCGGGGATGCGTTGGAGCGAAAGCGGCGCCGAAGCGATGTTGCATCTGCGAACCGCGTGGTGCAACACCCAGCAGGCCGACTTAATGCAGGCGGCGCGGGGCGCAATGGGATTTGCATAATCTTGAAGCGCACCCTTCCCCCTCCCCCCCCAGGAAAGGGGCCCGTTTTTTTCAAAACTACGCGGAGACGCGCCACACAGAACATTTCTCTTTCACAGTTCCTGAGTATCGAGCCCAAACAAACGGTGTCTTTACCCCCGCGCCGCATTTTCGAGAGGAACCGCCGGAATGAACCCTATCCGTTTACAAAACACACTCCGAACGCTTCCCGCGCTACGCTGTCTGCGCCGCAATCCCGACCATAGCGTTCCCGTCGCTCTGCTCACGCTCTATCTCGGCGTCTGGCTGATTGCCCCGAGCCACAAACCACAGATCAAACTAGCCCCGCTCCCGCCGCCCATGATTGCCGTTATGCCTGCGCCGCCTGTCGTCGGGCTGGAACCAGAAGAACAACCTGACAACTACCAACTTGTCAGAACGTTGCGCTTGCGCGAAGGCAAGGACGTATGGCAATTGGAAAAATGGCAGGCTTTGCCCTATTCCAACAGAATAGACTGCCTCAAGATTTACTGCAACGGGCATCTTATCCGCGAAGCCGACGCAAGCGATGTTGCGGGGAATGGATTCCTCTTTGGGAAAATGCCGTTCGCCTCCCGCTACCCCATCTTCGCTATCATTGGGGGCGGCGATATGGGGAACGGGGCCATGAAGCGGTTCTATACGTTGCGGCAGGGCAAAATAATTCTCATGCTCGAAATGCCCTATTGCGCTGGCGGGCCAATCCTGCGCGATTGTGACGGCGATGGCAGACCGGAATGGGCCTTCGATGATTACGACTGGTACGAGTACATGAACAATGGCCCGGAGCGTCTGATGGTTTACAAACAGCAGACGGACGGCGCATTGAAACTGTTGAAGAAACTACCAAATCCGCACCATCGCCATTTGCCCGATACTGTCCATTGGCTAAATGACAAATCGTGAGACGCAGATAGCCACGCTCCAATAGGGCAAATTGCATTCCGCAGCATGGCTTCTTTGAAAAACCGAAAGGCAGAGCCGGCATGAACCCAACCCGCTCCCAAATTACGCAACAACCGCTTTCCACTCTGCGCTGGCTGCGCCACAACCCGCAGCACAGTCTTCCTGTTGCTATGTTTGCGCTCTATCTCGGCGTCTGGCTAATCGTCCCGCGCCATAAAGCGCAATCCGTTCCCGTACCGCTCCCACCGCCCATGATTGCCACTACGTCTGTGGCATCCAATCAGCAGGCAAAAAAACAGAGGTTTGTCCCAACTGAATCAGACATAGAATGGCAGTCATCCGTTGCCGTTGCAACCCAATTAGGGGTGCGTGATAAGTATGGAGAATTAGGAGAATACGACGCGAGATTTTTCGTAATCGCTCCAAATGGAGAGAAGACGGAACGTAAAATTCATGTCAAAAACGACCACTTTGGATATGTCACCTTTCCCGATGACTTCCCAACCTACTTTGACGAGGAAGGGATTTACAAATGGTATTGCAAGGTCAACGGTAAGCGGGTCGTAAGTGGAAAGTTTGAGTACGGTCGTCTAAAAAACGGGGCACTATTCGTTACTGTTCTGGATTCCGAATAGCATAACGGATGCGCTCGTGTCGCTGCGTTGTGGGTTCGTTCTTACCATCATGTGGGCAGGAACCAGAAGCGGGTTTACTCTACTCGCGCCGCGCTGATGCGTTCAAGACAATCCGCGATAGCCTGCATTGTATTGGGAGATTTCGTCAGGGCGAACCGCTGAAAACGCCTCATCTCCCGTTTCAATGCGGCGGAAGCGACAGGGAATCTTTCACCGTAAGAATCATAATGGGGATGAGAGCGCGCAAGTTCTTCCTGCGCGTCATGCAGCGCGTCCACCAATTGCCTGCGAACGCGGTTCCGGTTGCGCTGCGGTTTTCGATAATCGCGCAATGTTCTGGCGAGCGCCTGCTCACACGCGATTCGCGCCGACTGATAAGGAGAAAAATCCCAGGTTCCGCTGCCATTTACCGACTGCCACCAATCCCAATAATAAGCCAGCCAATCATACAGTTCCTTGCTAGTTTGTCCCCATTGCCGCCGCGTGAAACGAGAACAGGAACGTAATCGGCGCAAATTCACCTGATGCTGACAATCCCCATAGCGCGGCAGCGCGTCGTAGTGAAATCCGCCATGCGCCGTAAAATAATCGTACCACTGATCGGGCGTCATTTTTAATATGAATGCGGCAGGCCGTTTCAGCGGGTCGCGCCTGTTTGCGCGACAAGGCGACAGCGTGAACAGCAGCAGTAAAGAAACAACACACAGCCGACGGATACGCATGGAGAGCAACCCTCTCACCCAAAAGCGAAAAAAGAACTACGTCGGCAAAGTTGCCTTGAGAAGCTTAATTTAGTCAGTCAAGCGGACATATAAACCGGCCAAGCGAACATTTGGCTTGCTCTGGCGTGAGATTGTCAATACGCCCTTCATTAGCGCAATTATGTTCGAGTGTCTGGTTGGGAAGAGGGCGCAAGGCAACTTTGCCGACGTACAAAAAGAAAACAAGCAGGCTCTGACTCGGCTCCTGCTATTCGTAATAGTTGTAGCGCACAAAATCGGTAATGGCCCGCATTGTATTAGGCGATTTTCGCAAAGCAAATTTCCACAGGCGGCGGTCTGCTTCCTTCATATTCGCAATGACCTTGTGTTCATCCTCACGCTCAATTTTATAATTCGATAGGTCGCGCTGGATGCTCTGCAAAGCGCGGCGCAGACGATGGAGGTTTGTTCGACGTTTTGTCTGCGCTCGCGTATAGCCGACTAAGACTTCGGATAACGCCCGCTCGCACTCCGCGTAGGCCGTCCTCTGCACCCGGTAGAACTCAGACCCCATACCATCCCTCAGATAAATCCAGTCAAGATAAGCGTCTTGCCACTTGCGGAGCAGGCCCGCCGTTTGCCCCCATGCCTGTTGGGTGGCGCGGGGCATCTGTCGCAAGCGGCGCGCGTTCACAGTTTTTTGACACACTTCATAGTAAGGCTCAATCTCTTTGTAGAATACATCGCGCCTGTAGCAATAGTTTTGCCACTGGCTTAAACTCATTTTCGTCACGAATGTAGGCGGCAGTTTCAGCGGGTCGCGCCGGTTTGCGCGGCAGACCGACAGCGCGAACAATGGCAGCAAAAGAATAAATAACAAACGGCACAAACGCATGGCAATAAAAGTTCTCCCGCTGACAAGATACCAGAAAGTTGCGCACTTTTCAATCGCAACAAGCGGACCGCACAGCAAGTGCCATTCACCGTGCTTGCCCCTCATATTGCCCTCAGAAAAAATTATCACACGGGTATTACGCGGCAGGAAACTCCTTCCGTTTTCGTGAAATGAGTGTGAAGCCGCGCAGGATATCTCAGCGAAACCAAACGGCATCTTGAGCCACGCACAAAAGTTGGAGAGGAACATTGGAATGACGCAGAAATGCTCACGAAACATACTGCCAACGCTTTCCTCGTTGCGCTGCCTGCGACGCAACTCTCAGCACAGCATCCCTACTGCCATGCTCGTTCTATATCTTAGCGTCTGGCTGATTGCGCCGCGACAGAAGCCGTATACTGTTGCTGCGCCGCTCCCGCCGCCTGGCCCTGCGGCTGCGCCCGTACCATCCATAAAGTTGGGCGTTCCCGCATTTGTTCGCGCATTAGGCATGAGGCCGGGAATAAGTACGGAAAGGGATTTAGAGCGTCAAATAGGCGCGGGAGAAGTCTGCGTCGGAGGACACTCCAATAGCGGACGTTACTGGTCTTTCGCGAATGGTCTCGACTTTAAGGCTGATGGATTCGATAGGGCGGCAGGCAGAAGCTTGTTCTTGGATATACTTGTGTTCGAGGATTGGAACGGGTCGCTTGGCGATACGCCCGAACTGGCCAAATATGGGTTTGGCGTGTGGGGGAAACTGTGCGTTGGCATGAACAAGGACGAATGTTTGCGCCTCCTGCCAAGCGATATGCCGCCGCCTGTCATCACGCAGGATGAAATCACATGGACGCAACAGGGGCTGTCCCGGCGAAACGCGAAACCGGTCATGTTCGATTATGAAGCTACGTTGCACTTTTCCGGCGAAAAACTGGAATACCTCCGGCTATGCTATGATGCTCTTACACCCTGAAACGCAATGGGATCAAAAGGCGCATCAAACATGACACCGAAACGCTTCCGAAACACACCGCAAATGCCCAATGAAAGCGGCAGGCAATCGAATGCCGCGCTTGCCGTTCTGCGCTGGCTGCGCCGCAATCCAGAACACAGCGTCCCCGTTGCTATGCTCACGCTCTATCTCGGCGTCTGGCTGACTGTTCCGCACCACAAATTGCATACTGTTCCTGCGCTTCCGCCGCCTGTCCTTGTTGTTACGCCTGCCCCACCTGTCGCCCCGCCGGAACCAGTAAAGGCGCAATCAGGCGAACGGCTGGACGCAGCGCGGTTCGTTTCAGTAGGAAATGACCAATGGCGGATTGAGATATGGAAGGCTGGCGAAGAGTTAGGCGTTGAAGATTATATCAACTTCTATCGCAATGGGCATCTTGTTCGCCAGGTAAACGCCGAAACGCTGGGGGGCACGACGCTGGGCTTCGGCGAAGCGAAGTTCGCCACCCGTTTTCCCGTTCTCGTCATTCAAGTTGAACCTACGTGCGGAACGCCTACCATCACACAGATTTACACGATTCGGCGCAGAAAATTGATAGATATGGGGCAAATCGGAGCACTCAACGGCGGGCCGATCTTCCATGATTATGATGGCGACGGCAAGCCGGAATGGGTCTTCGATGACTATGACTGGTACACGTATTACGGCAAGGCCCCCAAGCATTTTCTGATTTACAAAGAACGGGCTGATGGTACGCTGACGCTATGGAAACGCCTGCCCAACAAAAAGGGACAACGCCTTCCGTCCAATATCGATCAGGAAAATTGGGACACATAAGCGAATATGAAAACATTCCAATATTGCCTTTATCTTGGAACCTGCGGACTGGCAGCGTGTCTGCTTGCGGCTACTGTCCGTGTCGAGCATGACGCGGCAACGCCTGCGAGACAAGGCTGCGGATGCGCGGATGAGACGCTGCAATCTGTGGCGTGGCGGCAGGACAAAGCGCCGAATGTAAACGGCGTTCTAAACTTACAGGGCGATATAGCCCGCATCCACGATCCTGCCATCACGAGAGAAGGCAATGTTTACTACACGTTCTCGACCGGGCCGGGAATCCGCGTGACGACCTCCAGCGATAAATTGACCTGGAAGCGGCAGGGCCAGGTCTTCGCGAAGCCGCCGGATTGGACGCAGGCTACGATACCCGGCTCCAATGCTGCCTTCTGGGCCCCGGATATCTCCTATTGGCGCGGCAAGTGGCATCTGTACTATGCGGTCTCTACCTTCGGGAGCAACCATTCCGCGATTGGGCTGGCAACCAATACCACGCTGAATCCGGCAAAGGCGAATTATCAGTGGAAGGACGAGGGCGCGGTCATTGTCTCGAAGCGAGGCGACGGCTGGAACGCGATTGACCCAAACCTTATCGTGGACGCGAAGAAGCGCGTCTGGCTGACATTCGGCAGTTTCTGGGGCGGCATCAAGATGGTCGAACTAAACCCGAAGACCGGTATACCCGACAAGCCGGACGCGCCGCCGATTTCGCTTGCCGCCCGCCCGGAGCCAGGCGCGGGACACGGCGCAATCGAGGCCCCGTTCCTGATACGCCACGCGAAGTATTACTATCTGTTCGTGTCGTTTGACTTCTGCTGTCGGGGCGCAAAAAGCACCTATAATGTTCGGGTGGGCCGCTCTGCCGCTATTACCGGGCCATATAAGGACAAGACCGGAAAGGCGATGCGGGACGGCGGCGGGACGCTGGTTGTGGCGGGCAACGGACGCTGGCGCGGCACGGGGCATAACGCCGTGCTTCAGGAGAAAAACGCCGACTGGCTGGTGTATCACGCTTACGACGCGGAAGACGGAGGCGTCTCTAAACTGCGAATCGAGCGAATGGCGTGGGATGCGGATGGCTGGCCGCTGGCGCTGAGCATGACCGCGCCCCAAACGCGGTAGATCGGACGCCCCGCGTACGGAAATGCGATTGCGGGTTGTCCCGGTCGCAGACAGGTTGGCGGAACGCCCCATAGACGGGTTGTTCACATCCCGGTCAGGCTCCGCTCATGCAGAGGAAGAAACAAGATAACCCTCCCCTTGCGAGGGGAGGGTTGGGAGGGGGCTTGCGAGCACAGTCAGGCGGAGCGGCTTACCGCGCCGCAGTCCACGACGAATCTACCCGGTAGCGCGTCATGGCCTTCACCCGCCTGGCTGTGTTCACGCCCAGGTCTTTCTCGTAAACGACGCCCTTTGCGCTGACCAGAAACGTCTTTACGCCCGTGACCCGGTACTCCGCAGGATAGGCCGCCAGCGCCACGCCGCCAGCGCCGTTCACACCGCCGGGGGCCGCGCAGAAATAATAGCCGTTGCGCAGCGTTTTGCCGTTCGCCGCCAGCGTCGCCCGCCCCCGCGCATATGCCTTGGCCTCGCGCATCGCGTTCATTTCGTTCGCGCCAATGTTCCGGCACGCCATCTCTTCCATGCCCGCGTCCGTGTCGAAGTACCAGCCGTTTTTGGCGGCCATCAGCGGCACGGGAAACGGCCAGTTCTCCGCGCCGACATACAGCAAGACCCTGCCGTCCGGCTCCTTCACAAGCCGGTGCATTTCCCGGTACTTCGTCAGAAAACGCTCCCGGTCGCGCCCGTCCTGAAGCCCGTCATCGGATGCGAGCAACGCCGTTCTGGTTCCGAAAAGCGACTTCAGCGCCTGCTTATCCTGGTTCTGAAGGGCCATCACAAGCGCGTGACCGGCCTGCGCTGTGGTCGCAAAAACTCTCTGGTTCGGCTGCTGCGCCGAAGCCGACGCCGCGCAAAACGTTCCCGGAAAAACCGTCAGCGCCGCCGCAAACCGCAACGCTTCGCCCATCGTGAATCGCTTCCTCGTCATGGATTTTCCCTCCTGTGGGTTCTGATGTCCGGTAAGTTGGAGCGGCATTATCTGCGCCCTCCGCCATGCGATCCGCCGCCTACGCCGCCGTGAAAACCGCCGCCCGCGCCGCCGCCTACCCTGCCATGAAATCCGCCGCTAACACCGCCCGCGCTGCCCCGATAGCCTCCGCTGACGCCGCCGCCCAGACTGACGTGGCCCCGCGTGGAGTAGCTCTGCGTCACGCCGCCATGATTATAGCCACTGAACGCGCTGGAATGACTGCCGTAGTTGAAATGCGGCGCCGTATATGGTCTTATACCCGCATAACCCGCGCCGCCGGGCCGGTACCCGCCGTAATGGTTAAACGTCGTATTGTTTCTGAACAAACGTGTTATGCCGTATGTACGTGTTACTGCGGTTGATGTACGTGTTATGGTTGTAAATAATCGTGTTGTGATGCCAGTCCGCGCCCCAGTGATTCCAGCCCCATCCGAACCCCAAAAACGCGCCCACGCCGAACCCGATGCCAAAGGAGATGCCAGGCCGGTTAACGTAAAGCCCGCCATAGGGATACCAGCCGGGGTACACAGGAATAGCATAGCCGTAGGCAAGCCAGGGATCGTAGGTCGGTACGTACACGACCTGCGGGTTCGCCGGTTCAATGATAATCGTCTGCCCCTGCGTCGTCACTTTTTCCTGCGCGTTGCTTTTCAAACTGCCCGATTTCTCGGCCTTCTTCCGCAAGTCCTGCACGGCGTTCAAAACGTCCTGCGGCTGATTGACATAAGCGTCGCCCAGTGAGGAAGTCCACGACAGGTTCGAGTCAAGGTTCGCCAGCACGTCGGGAAACTGCGTCAGCGCCCGGACGCTGGGATCCCAGCTCTGCCGGTTGACTTCCTGCGCCAGTTGTTCGCCCTTAAGGTCAGAATGGTCTTTCAGCCAGCGATTAGCCTGCACAATCTGCGCGGGATACAGCGAGGCGGCGAGTATCTGCCCCACCAGCGCATCCGGGTACAGCGCTATCGGGGCGACCAGTTGCCGCATCTGCTCCTTTGTTTGGGTGGCGGGGCGATCCGGTGAAATCGCATAGCTATCGGGCGGCTGCGCCCGCGTTCCCGGCGCGATGCCCGCCGTCAGTAACCCGCAAAGCAGCAAGGCTCCGCGTCTCTTTAAGTCTTTCATCTCTATTCTCCTGATCAGCGAGGCGACGCTTCCGCGCCGCGCAACGGATGTTCCTGCGTCTGCTGCGTCCTGCGCCCTGCGTCTCGCTGCTGATGATCTCAGCGCGTTTTGTGGGAAAGGCCCGCGAACCGCGCTTCTTTCTTTGCGCCTTCTTTGCGCGCGCTTTGTTCGCTCTGCGTTTTCTCTCTGCTTTCGCGATGCTGACTATTGTTGTCAGTGTACTTTTCTATACGTAATATCGCGCGAGATTGTGCCGGGAACTTTCGCTGCGCCGCTGCCCAATCCCCCCGATCCCCTTCCCTGATTCGTCAGAGCGCAGCAAATAGCGCCCCTGCAGGGTGCGACGCAAATTTAGGGCAAATGGGTTTTGTTGTCGAAATAGGGGCTATCTTTCCTTTTGGAGCCTGCCCTGTCCACCGAACCCGACCGTGACGCCCTGATCGAAGAACTCGTCCGCCAGTATCGAAAACAACTTGACAAGCAACTTCCTGACGCCGACCAGACGCTCGACCAGAGCGAAGACATCGCCGGACAAGTCGGGCGCAATGTCAGCGAAGCCGTCCAAAAGCGGCTGACCGAAAAACAAACGAAAACGCCGCCCGCGAAACGGCAGGCGTGCGCTTGCGGTGGCGCGGCCCGCTATAAAGGAAAGCAGCCGCGCCAAATGGTGACCCTGCACGGCGTGGTGGTTGTCCGTCGCGCCGTGTATCCCCCCCCCCCCCGCGAGAAGAAAAAAAAAATATAAAGGGGGGCAAAAAAAAAAAACCCCCTTTATGGTTAAAGAAAAAAGGGAAATTCTTTTTGCCCCCCACCCAAACATTCTACCTTGACAAACTACTGCGCCGCCTGCAAGAAAAATGTCATTCCTGCCGATGTCCTCCTGCATTTGGACAGCGGCAGTTCTACCACGCAGGTGCGGGCCAAAGCCGCCTACCTGAGCGCCCTGCTTCCCTTTGCTCAGGCTGCAAACGCGCTGGAGCGTCTGGCGAACGTCACGGTAAGCGCCGACACCGTAGAGCGCATGGCCCTTGCGGTCGGTTCCGCGCTGGGGGAGCAACAGCAAAAGGACGTTGTGGCCCATCACCATGACCGTCTGCCCGAACCAGAAGGAAAAGCCCGGCGGCGCCTGTACATCGGCATGGACGGCGTGTTTGTTTCGCTGCGCGAGGGCTGGAAGAAAGACGGCAGCGCGGGAACTTGACGTGCCGGTACGGCGAGTGCAAGGTCGGCGTGGTCTACGAACCAGCCCAGGATAAGAACGGCAAAGACACGCAAGTCCTCGCCCGCGCTTACGTGGCGACCTTGCAAAACGCCCAAGCGTTCGGCCCGCTGCTCGGCACAGCGGCCCACCAACAGGGCCAGCCTCGCTGTCGGGATGTGGTGGCAATCGGTGACGGCGCGGCATGGATATGGCAGATTGCTGCCAAGCAGTTCACAGGAGCCACGCAGATTGTGGACTTTTTCCACGCTTGCCAGCATCTGACGAATGTGGCGGACGCGCGTTTTGGTGTGGGCAGCGCGGAGAGCCAGAGTTGGCAGAAGGCGCGTCGGGCCGATTTGCTGTGCGACAAGGTAGAAAACGTTCTCCTTGAGATCAAGGCATGGCAGCCGCGCAGCGAAGGGAAGCGCAAGTTGCGGCAGACGGAGTACACTTATTTTTATAGCAATGCGGCGCGGATGCGTTAGAAGACCTTTTCGGAGGCGGGCTACCACATTGGCAGCGGCGTGGTGGAAGCCAGTTGCAAGCAGATCGTTACGCAGCGGATGAAGTTGGCAGGAATGCACTGGCGGCAAGAGACTGCCGAAGCGATTTTGACGCTTCGTGCCGCGCAGTTAGCGTCACAGCCACCGGACTTAAGGGCGTTCTGCGGAATGGCGAACTAATCTGCCCTAAATTTGCAACGCACCCCCTCATGATAACAAAAGAGGAAAAATCCTAAAAAAGCGAATAGTCTAACAAATTTTGATCCTTTCCGTATCTAAATTCTCTGGGCAATTTCACTTCAGGCCCAAGTTGCCTGGCACGATGTCGGCGACATTCTCTGCGCCGGTGGAACCAAAGTCGCTGCGGTCGGCCTTCCTTTTCGTAGAGGGGCTGGTCGCAAGCCATTCCTCTGGTAGTTTTCAACTGTGGGCCGAATGTGTCCGGTAGTGAAATCATTGAAACGAGGTATGCGATATGAGGCAACAAAACCTTTCGAGAAGACAGGCGCTTACCCTGATGGCGGCGGCAATTGCTGTCACCACGGACGCTCCGCTGGGGGCGGCAGAAGCAGGGCCGCCCAATCCTCTAACGCTCTGGTACGAAAAGCCGGCGAAAACCGCGATGGGGGAGGGGCTTCCTATCGGTAATGGCCGTATGGGCGGTATGATCTTCGGCGGGACGGCGCAGGAGCGCATTCAGTTCAATGAAGACAGCCTCTGGACGGGTGACGAGAACCCCACCGGCGATTACGGCACAATGGGCAGCTACCAGGCGTTCGGCGATGCGCATCTGTCGCTGCCGGGACATGAAACGCCGACGGCGTACCGGCGCTCTCTCAATCTGCATGAGGCGCTGGCCCAGGTTACCTACCAAGTGGGTGGCGTGACCTACCGGCGCGACTATTTTGCCAGCCACCCCGATCAGATACTGGTTGTGCGTCTGACCGCTGACAGGCCGGGCGCATACACCGGCACGGTTAATTTGACCGATATGCACAGCGGGAACATCACGATAGATGGCCCGCAAATTATCAGTCAGGGCGCGCTGCCCAATGGCCTCCAATACGAGGCGCAGCTGCGCGTTCTCCATGAGGACGGCGCCGTCCAGGTGAGCGACGGTAAACTGGCCTTTGCCAATTGCAGTAGCCTCACCCTGCTGCTGGCCTGCGGCACCAATTATGTCATGGAATATCACCAAGGCTGGCATGGCGCAAATCCGCATGAGCGGGTCTCCCGGCAGATTAAGCAGGCGGCAGCAAAACCCTACCCGGCGCTGAAATCGGCCCATGTCAAAGATTATCAATCGCTCTTTGAGCGCGTCACGCTGCGCTTAGGCGCGACGCCCGCCACCCGTCGAGCATTGCCGACGGATCAGCGCAAAGGGCTGGATACAGGCGATGACCCGGAATTGGAAGCCCTTTTTTTCAATATGGTCGCTATCTGCTGATTTCCTGCTCCCGCCCCGGTGCGCTTCCGGCGAACTTGCAGGGGCTGTGGAACGACAGCAACAACCAGGCATGGAACTGCGATTACCACGCCAACATCAATATCCAGATGAACTACTGGCCGGCAGAGGTAACCCATCTTGCGGAGTGCCATCTGCCGTTTCTAAATCTCATCACCAGCCAACTCGAACCCTGGCGCAAGGCTACCCAGGCGACGCCGGAGTACAAATTGGCCTCTGGCGCGCCAGTTCGGGGCTGGGCGCTTCGCACCTCGCACAATATCTTCGGCGGCATGGGCTGGAACTGGGACAAGACGGCTAATGCCTGGTACTGCCGTCATCTGTGGGAGCATTACGCCTATAGCGGCGATAAGCCATATCTCCAGGCGGTCGCCTATCCTATTCTCAAAGAGACCTGCGAATTTTGGGAAGACCATCTGAAAACCTTGCCCGATGGCCGCCTTGTCGTGCCGAACGGCTGGTCGCCCGAACATGGCCCCACCGAGGATGGCGTCAGCTACAATCAGGAGATCGTGTGGGATCTCTTCCATAACTACGTTCAGGCGGCGGACGCGCTGGGGGTGGACAAACCGTACCGTGACACGGTTGCGGCTATGAAAGAGGCGCTGGCGATCCCCAAAATCGGACGCTGGGGGCAATTGCAGGAGTGGATGGAAGACAAGGATGATCCCAACGACCATCACCGGCACACCTCGCACCTGTACGCGGTGTATCCCGGTCAGCAGATCAACCTCGTCAAAACGCCCGAACTCGCTTCGGCGGCGAAGAAATCGTTACTGGCGCGTGGCGATACGGGCGATGCGCGCGAATGGTCTTTTGCCTGGCGCACCGCGCTCTTCGCGCGCCTGCGCGATGGCGACAATGCCCACCGTCAGCTTCTGCATTTGCTGACGACCGACGCGACGCTCCCCAACCTCATTGGCAACCACCCGCCGCAGCAATGGGATGGCAATTTCGGTATTACGGCTGGTATTACCGAACTCCTGCTGCAGAGTCACGAAGGAGAGATCGCCCTCCTACCTGCCTTGCCAACGGCATGGCAGACAGGCAGCGTCACCGGTCTGCGCGCACGGGGAGGCTTCACGGTGGACATGAGGTGGTCAGCAGGCCATCTCGCTTCGGCAGTGATTCACAGCGCAACCGGGACGGCGTGCCGTGTGCGTCATGGCAGCAAGGTGGTTGAATTTGCGCTCAAGCCGGGAGCGAAAGCCCATTTGGATGCCGATTTGCAAAAATCGTAGCGCCTGTCTGTTGGAGGTTGGACCGCTTGGTTTGGCCGAAACGCGCAGAGGCTGCGGTCGCGTTTTGAGAGCGATACCTCCGGCAACGGCTTTCCCACCACCCCGTTCGCCACGGTGGTCAAAGCCATAGGAATCGCCAGCGCGGGCAAAAACCTCTACATCAAGCAGGGCAATTATGGAGCGGACAAGCGCCGCATCATCAAAGCCCTGCGGCTCATTAACTGGCTCAATGCCGGACAGACGCACATCGGAAAACCCTGATGTTGGCAGGGCAGGGGGAGAACGAGCGTATTCTACACCTCTGATACTGAGACACAAGCCCCCTCGACTCTGTCCGAGGCTGAAACTCGTGAGACGGCTATATCGTGCGCAGAGAGACGAAAAGAGTCAGTTTGGCACAAAAGAGGTAATCTTTTATGGCGCCATAGTCACGCATAAGTCGCTCTTTGTAGAAACTCAATAGGACGGCTGAGAGAGGCCGGGAATGTGGGACTTACTATGTTTTCCGCTATTTTGATCGCTCGGTATCTATGAACGAGCGGTCTTTATTTTATATTTCACACCAGCCAAACTCCGAAACCCGCTCCGAAATACATACCGCTCACTCGATTTCAACGAGCAGATATGTCGGGGGATGCAGAACCCCTGTAAACTCCCACATTCCTCACGCTGATAATCGCTTGAAAATAGTTTTCCGCTTTGTCCGACCGCCGCTTAGTATCTCCGTAGAGGCACAAAGTCGCCTCTTGTTCTGAGGCGCCTTCAAAACTTAACAGTTGCCGGTTCTGCGGGAGAAACGTCCCGGAGGTAAAACTGTTTGCGTCGGCGGTACACTGTCCCTGCTGAAAACCGTTCTCCACTTATGGATGGGGAGCGGTCACTCGTCAACTCAACCGGCAACATAACCGATGCTGCGCGCATCGCCCGAGAAAGGATCACACAAATGAACAAGTACTTGATTGGCGCGGTCGCCTTGTGTCTGCTCGCAGGCGCCTCCTTAAACCTGCCACAGTCGGCGGCACAGACCGAAAAGCCTAAACCGAACGAGTCGGCGGCGCAGGTATGTTTCGCAAGGCTGAAGAAGCTTGCCGGAGATTGGACGCATCAGGAGGACAAGTCCGGCAAGGAGAGGGTCACGCTACGGTATAAAGTGATATCCGGAGGCAGCGCCGTCGAAGAGGAGATGCTGCCGGGCTCGCCGGAAGGAATGACCTCCATCTACCATCTCGACAACGGCAACCTGGTTATGACCCACTACTGTAGTCTAGGCAATCAGCCCCATTTGAGGGCCACGAAGGCCAGCACAGCGTCCAAAATGGAGTTCGAGTGCGGCGGCGGCGGCGGCAACATGAAATCCGAAAATGACCTGCACATTCACCACCTCGTGTTCACATTTCTATCGGAAGACCATTTCACACAAGAGTGGTCCGCCAATAAGGATGGCAAGCAGGTCGGCTCAGCCGATAAGTTCGAGGCATATCGCAAGGCCCCGAAGTGAGTATATGGGTGATGAGGTAATGAAGTGACACCAGAGTTTTTTGTCGGCGCTCGAACATGGGCTGGAGTTAGCGCCTCATCACCCCATCAAACGATATCCACCCACCTACGCTCCTTACTCGCAGGGATCACCGCGTCTATTGCCTGCTGAGCGCGCCAATAGAACGACACCATCGCTTCGGTCACGCAGTTGATCGGACGCGCAGCCAAACTACAACAGGATCGTAAAGATTAGAAAGGATTACAACGATGGATAGCCTGATTGCTTCCTGTAAAGAGAGCGCAGTGCAGGGGATGGAGTATTTCTTGAGGAACTTTTCCTTCGTACCGGACGACAAGTTAACCTGGACGCCGACGCCAACGGCGAAGTCTGCAATCCGGATTGCCGCTCATACCGCTCTTTACGCCGGAAGATTCGCTCGCATGATCAAGGAACGAAAACTTCCGTCGAGTGACAACTTACTGGAGTGGTTGGCGCAAAGGAACGCGGAAGAAGCCGCAATAACGAGCCGCACAGAGATGGAAAGTATATTCCGGAAGGGTACCGAGGAGGTTATTGCGGCATTGGATTCCGTTCCGCCGGAAGCGATCAGAACTTCCCTAGAGAGCGGATTGGGATGGTCACTGCCTATGACCGACCTGATGAATATGCCTGGGTGGCATGCCACGCTTCATGCTGGGCAGATCGATTACCTCCAAACATGCTGGGGCGATCAGGAAGTGTATGTTTGATGGGCTGAGTGGGGGATGAGGTGGTGAAGTAATGACGAGATTTCACCGATTGCAGCCCGCCGCAGGCATTGATGAAGAGACCGAAATCCACTACGTCCACCCAATTGTCTCCGCTAGCGTCCCTGCCCGCAACCGTCGCGGTGGGGACGAATTCAAAGGCTCCGAGGTCGGCTTTGGCTCCCTGAGGGCAGACGACGCCGCGCTGGTCGATGGCGGCGAAGTCCACGTCGGGCGTCTCGGCAGCCACATCGGGCGCGGGCCTGCCAGATCAGGAGCGCCATCGTTCACATCACTGCCGCCCGTTCTCGCTTCGGTGTCCAACGTGGCGGTCGTCCGGCCATTCCTTCACTGCATCGGCAACTGTGTGTAACAATAGACCGATCAAGTCTGCGGGTACCTGTTTGTTTTCGTCGTGATCCGTGTTGAATAGCACGGCCCACGTCAGGCCATCATGTCGGCGTATGAGCAACGCGGATGTGCCGTCGAACAAACCATCGTCAGAATAGAGTGAGACAGAATCCCGTACCAAAAATAGTGTAGATTTCCTAAAGGGCGAGAAAGCAACCCACTCATGTCTGACCTGAATATCCGAATGCTTCCTGACCCGCACGTCAGCCAACCCGCCAGCCGAAGACGCTTCACCGTCGCGGATAAACTTCGCATCTTACGCGAAGCCGACCAGTGCACCGAGCGCGGACAACTCGGAGCCATCCTGCGCCGCGAGGCCATCTACTCTTCCACTCTCGCTTCCTTTCTGAAAGCAGTACGAAGAGGGAAAACTCGTCGCCCAAAATGACCCGCGCCAAAAGCAGAAGCGAAAAGAGCGAGCCGCCCAAAGGCAGCAGGAGGCGCGAACTCTGCAAGCCTTGCAGTTGGAGAACCAGAAACTCAAAGCCTTGGTCGAACTCCAAAAAAAACTTTCCGACCTGATGAACCTCACCCTGCCGACCGAATAGCGCTCACGCAGATTGAGGAAGCAGCGCGGCTCACCGGCATTGCGCGGGCCTGTCAGTCCGTCGCAATGAGCCGGGCGACCTTCTATCGCAAGCGAAACGGCGGTCAGTTGGCTTTGGGACTGCGGACAAGTTCCCCGTCCCAAAGCCTGACCCCGGCGGAAAAAGCGGAGTTGCTGGCCCACCTGCACTCGGAGCGCTTTTTGGATCGCTCGGTGCGCCAAGTCTACGCCGCGCTGCTGGACGAGGGCTGCTACCTGGGTTCGATCTCGACGATGTACCGTCTGTTGCGCGAGAATAAGCAAGTTGCCGAAAGGAGGCGGCAATCGCGCCATCAAAAACATACCCGCCCCGTGCTTCTCGCCACCGCGCCCAATCAGGTGTGGACGTGGGACATCACCAAACTGCGCGGTTCCGCCAAAGGGCAGGGCTACCGCTTGTATGTGGTACTCGCTATTTTCAGTCGCTGCGTCGTGGGCTGGCTGGTTGCCGCGCGGGAGTGTCAGCATCTGGCCGCGCAACTGATCGAAACGGCCTGCCAAAGACATGGCATCTCGCGCGATGCGCTCACCCTTCATGCGGATCGGGGCGGGCCGATGGTTTCCAAAACGGTTTCGGAGTTGCTGTGTGAGTTGGGCGTAGCCCGTTCGCATTCGCGTGCGCACGTCTCCAACGACAACCCGTTTTCCGAGGCGCAGTTCAAGACGGTCAAGTATGCGCCGCAGTTTCCCGGTCATTTCGATAGTATTGAGGAAGCGCGCGGGTTTTGCGCGGATTTCCTGACCTTCTATAACACGCGGCAGTACCACACGGGCATCGCGCTCTTGACGCCAGAAATGGTTCACTTGGGACAAGCCGCCGCCGTTCAGCAAGCGCGGCAGGAGACCTTAGATCAGGCGTATGCTAAAAAGCCGGGTCGTTTCTCCAGAGGAGCGCCCAACGTCGTGTCGCTGCACGAGCAAGTATGTATCAATCGGGTCGAACCGCAGACAGCGGGGACTGACCTGAAAACTACATAAAAAGAATTTCATCTTTTTGTCTCAAAACACTTGACACATTTCCCCCCTCCCCCCAAGCGTTCTCAACCTTTTTAGGGTTGCTCTAAGTTTTTTGACGAAACCCCCGGGGGGAGAAAATTTTTTTTTTTTTTTTTTTTTTTTTATAAACCCCGGGTGTTATCTTCGATGATACGACGGAGTACACAATAGCCGAAATTAGAGTAAGATTCTTTGCTGCCCGGATCAAAATCGAGTTGGCGGCCCATCATGTAACGGATGATTTTCTTCCCCCGCGGCGGCTTTTCTATCTGCTCCCCCCCCAGCCCCCCCCCCGGGAAAATTGCCCCCCCCCCCCCCCCCCCTTTACTTTTTTCTTCCCCCCGGCGTTTTCATTTTCGCCCCCCGCCCAGCCCCCCCGGGCGGAAAAATGGGTTCGACCCCCCCCGCGCGATCAAACCCGCCCGTGTGGCAAAGCAATTGATGGACGGTGATCTGCGCCAGTCGCGGATCAACCTTTGCGTTCCCTTCCAGAAAAGGCTTGATATCAAGAAGTGTAAATGGATGGTCGCTCAGCTTGAGTTTGCCGCGCTCAACGAGTTGCATGATAGCCGCTGAAGTAAATGGCTTGCTGATGCTGGCGATGCGGAACAACGAATCCGGCTGAACCGGCTCGCGAGCTTCCTTGTCGGCGTATCCAAACCCGCGTGCATAGATCAATTTGCCACGCCCGGGGGGGGGGGCGGCGGGCCCCGGGGTTTTTGTGTTCTCTGATTTGAAAATACCGAATGTTAGCCGCTTTGCGTCTACATTTCGGTTCTCGGCGTAGCCGTTTTCATGCGATAGGGTGCGCCTCGCGCATGGGAGGCTAAGAAGCGTTCGCAGGAGATCATCGAACCCGGATAAGGATGGAACCACCTTACCAGTGATTGGAATATCGGCCGTCTCCCCAGCGATTGCACGGCTTGGGATGGTAGACGCTAGGGCCATGACGGCAGCTGTTTGGCCTGCGGACTTAAGGAAATAGCGACGGTTGAATTGTTGTCCCGTTTGGTGTGGCATGGAAATACTCCTTGATTGATGTTCTTACGTTTCCAAAAAAATAAAAATTTTTTTATTTTTTTCGCCCTGTTTTTTTTCTCACCAGGTTTTTTTTTTTTACAAAATTTTCCCCCCCACCAGTTTCGATGTTGTTGTGTGGGTTTCCCTCGGCCACAAAAATGAGAGAGGGGGGTGGGCCTACCGTTTTTTAGAACCCCTACCCACAAGAGTCCTTTCTGGCAGGAAAGGATAGGCTTTCGCCCCAAAATAGTGGATATTGCTCAGTATAGTGGCCCAAGAAATTTAGACATTAGATATTCCGATGAATAACGGGCGCTCCGTAAAAAACGCTATATGTACCGGCAATAAATGCTTGTTCGCCACTGTAAATCGCGTAGACAAACTATTCATCGGAATATCTATTAACAATCTTGTTTTTACGTTACAATAATTACGAGTAGGTCGCTCGTTTTGGAAAATCAATAGGGCGGCTGAGATAGGCCGGGAATGTGGGACTTACTATGTTTTCCGCTCTTGATGGGCCGCTCGGCCGTTATGACCGAGCGGTTTTTCCTTGTCCTCATCACCTTCACTGCAAAGCGTACGGAACCGCATAAGGCGGATATCACCTGCAGAAGCCTTTATAGCAAGAGTTTAAACAACGATACATCGGAACGGTCCCAGAGCGACCATGATAGCCTGTTCCAGCGACATTGCGCGTCCCTTCTCCCGGGCGGCGGTAAAGAGGGTCTCCCCCAACGCCTCCCGCGCCGCAGCGCACTCAGCCTTCTGTTTCTCGCGGTCGTTCGGCGGCAGTGGCGAACCGATGGACTCGCGCAGTGAGGACGCCGCGCCCCATAATTGAGCCGCGCGTTCGACCCGCGTCTCTTTAAGGGCGAGGGAGGCAAACAGTTCAAAGAGGTAGATGATGTTATATCTGTCCTCTAACTCCCAGAGTATGGCAAGGCTCTCGTCATACAGAGAACGGGCTAAAGCGTGGTCGCCCTCTTTCTGAATCATCGCCCCCAGGCTGCCAAGGAGGTGAGCAATACTATACCTATCTCCTAACTCCTGCATTATTTCCAGACTCTCGCTATATAGAGCCCGCGCCGAAGCCGTATCATCGAGAGAGCTGGCAACGCCCCCCAGATTGCTGAGGGTGATGGCGATTCACTGCCTGTCTCCCAACTCCCGCCTTATCGCTAAACTCTCCTCATGCAGCACTCGCGCGGCGGCATAGTCGCCCTGATAATTGGCGATATTCGCCAAGTTGCCGAGCGCGTTCGCGATCCCCTGCCTGTCTCCCAGCCCCCGCCGTATCTCCAGGCTCTCGTCATACAGAGAACGCGCGGCGGCATAGTCAGACTGAAGCCAGGCCATGCTCCCCGCGCCAGAGAGCGTATCGGCGCGCGCTATGGTGCGAACCTGCGCCCCCGGATGCGACAGAAGAGACTTCAGCCAGACGCGCCCCTCGCCCGGATACCCGCGCACTTTCCAGAACCACTGCAAGGCAGCGCCGAACCGCAGTCCCTTTTCCCCTCCCTTCGGATCATGGAGACAGCGCGTCAGCGCCGCCCGCAGATTATCCTGCTCCTCCGCCAGAACCGACAGCCAGCGCGTCTGCGCCGCGCTCGTCTGATGCCGACGGCTCTCCTCGGCCCATTGCAGGAAGAAATCACGATGCCGATTGCGCAGCGCCTCCGTCTCTCCCGCTTCTGCCAGACGTTCCGCCCCGTACTGCCGCATTGACTCCAGCAAACGATAACGCGCTGTACCCTCCTCAGGCTCCTCGAACACCACCAGCGACTTCTCCACCAGATGCGTCAGCGCGTTCAGAACCTTCTTATTTCGGATGTTAAGTTTTGGATTCTGGACTTGCGCCGGAACGTCTGGCAATCCAAAACCTACAACACAAAGTCCGAAATCACAAACAGCCTCCGCCGCTTCCAGATTCCAGCTACCGGCAAAGACGGAGAGGCGGCGGAACAGGAGACGCTCTTCTTCGCTCAGCAGGTCATGGCTCCAGTCTATGGTCGCCTGCAAGGTGCGCTGACGGGGCAAAGCCGCCCGACTGCCTCCTGTCAACAGTTGAAAGCGGTCCTCCAGACGGGTGACGATCTGCGCCGCCGAGAGCGCCTTGACGCGAGCGGCAGCCATCTCTAGCGCCAACGGGATTCCGTCCAGACGGTGGCATATCTGCGCAACCAGTTCCGCGTTGCGGCGAGTCAGTCGAAACGCGGAACTGGATTGCCTCGCCCGCTCCACGAATAGCCGCGCCGCCTCGTACTCCAGCAGCGAGGAGGCGGATTTCTCTACGTTGGCCTCTCCTCGCGGAGGCAGCGAGAGCGCCGGGACAGGGTAGAGATGCTCGCCCGTCAGTCCCAATGCCTCGCGGCTGGTTGCCAGAACCCGCAGACCGGGACAGGCGGACAGCAGGCGGTGTATCAGAGAGGCGCACGGCTCCAATAGATGCTCACAGTTGTCCATGATCAGCAGCAGGGCTTGCGAGGCGAGCGTCTGCTCCAGTGTCTCCTCCGGCGTTCTGGACGGTTCCTCTCGCAGGCCCAGCGCCCGTAAAATAGTCTGCGTTAGCAGCGCAGGATCGCTCAACGGAGCCAGGTCTATAAACCACACGCCCCCGGAAAACCGCCCGATCACCCGCTCTGCTACTGCAATGGAGAGCCGTGTCTTGCCCACGCCGCCTGTTCCCGTCAGCGTAACCAGACGGCGCTTACCTAGCCAGCCACCCACTTCGTCTCGCTCCTGCTCCCGCCCGATCAAGTCCGAGAGGGGAACCGGCAGGCGGCGCGGCGGCCCGGCGGGCGAGGGCGAGGGCGCCGACAGGACGATGGGGTGGGGCTCGCGCGCGAGCAGACTTCGATAGAGAGCGTCGGTTTCTGGAGCGGGGTCGGCGTTGAGGTCGCGGCGCAATAGAAGGCGCAGGCCGCGATAAACTTGCGTCATCGCGGCTTGATCTCCGCAATCGGCGAGCGCCCGCATCAGAGCGCAACAGGCGCTCTCCCGGTAGAGGTCTGTGGCGAGGAGCAGCCGCAGCCAGTGAACGGCGGCAGCGGGTTGACCGTCGGCAGTCGCGCGGGTTGACAGGATTTCCAGCGCGGTTAGATACGCCTGCTCACGCGCCTCACGCTCCGGGAGAATCCACGCCTCCTGGCAGTCGGGCAGGAGGGGGCCGCGGTAGAGCGCAACCGCCTTTTCAAGTCCAGAGGGGTTTGCTTTCGTCCCTTCGCTCGTCTCTTTCCTCCCTTCTTGAAGGGCGTTGTCGAAGGCGACGACATCCGCAAACGCTCCTTCGAGGTTCAGGCGAATCGCGCGCGGGGTCGGGGCCAGCAGGCGAGCGGCCTCCGCTCCCAACGCCTTGCGCAGACTGGAGAGGCTCTTACGCAGGTAGAAAAGCGCCTGACTCTCCTCATTGTCGGGCCAGAGGGTAGTCGCCAGCCAGTCACGGGAGGTGTCGCGGGAGTGCCGGAGGACGAGCAGCGCCAGCAGCCACTGTTCGCGACGATAAGGCAGAGGCGGCAGCGGTTCGCCGTTTATGAGGACATCGAAACCTCCCAGCAGGCGAAGTTCTACAGCGCATTGTGTTGGGTTTTCCTGTATGAGCGCCATGGGGACTTTCTACCGAATCAAGAACAGAGCGGAATAGAGAGATCATTCGCGACAATTGTGCGTTTCTCCTGCTATTTAGGTACGGGTTTGGGTACGCCTGCCTGCGATACTAAACAGTATCCCTTGCGCATCCTGCGCCAGAAATCGCTCCGAACTCCTGAAAGGAGGAAGCATGAAACCCATCTTGCGTTCCTGTATTATGATGTTCCTGTTACTGTTGCCGGGAATGCGCCCCGCCTGCGCGCAGCAGACTGTCATCACCCCGGCAGACGAGGTAAACCGTATCGTTTATGTCGCCAACGCCATAGACCGGACGGATATGACCCAGACGCCGGAACGGGCGGCTATTGCCGTTTTTATTATCAAACTCTATTCGGTTGACAATCCCTTGCCCAGCGAAGTTCCCTATTGTCCCAATCCCAGTCCCAACAACAACCCGAACTTCCCGTCCGGCACGGCGCTGCGCCTGATCGCGCAGGCGCAGGCGAAGTATGACCGGCTGTACCGGGTCGGAGGTGATCTGAAGTTCGCGCTGCAACCCTACGATGTCGCCGCCGCGATGCTTGGACTTCTGTCCGAACAGACCGGCAATCCGGTGGCAAACACCATCACCATTGAAGCCCTCAATTTCCAGACCTGCGTGGGTCAGCGCGTCAACGACAACCAGCCCGCCTATCTGCAGCAAAGCGACTATCTCGGAGGCGGCCGCGTGGCGGGGGCTTTTCGCAGTACCGCAGCCTCGTCTTCGAAAAGATGTTCAACCTTGCGCGACAGAACCCCCGCGTGGCGTCGGTCGTGGACGCCTTCTTCGGCCCGCTTTTCCAGTGCAGCGTACTCGACAATACTTTTACGTTGCTCAACAAAAATCCGGTTCTGCGCGACAGCCAGAACTTCGCGCCGTTTGTCAGCCTGATACAGACGGACGGGAGCATTGTTGTCCCGGTAACCCTGGTCAACAATCGCCCCACCTACCCCGCCTACGCCACCGCAGCCTGGCCTTCAACCAGCGGATGAACAGCGTGACGACGACGGCCCTGAACACGCTTGCCACCATCACCGCGATCCAGAAGACCAACTATGCGGCCTACTATTTTAACCCCGACCCCAGCGTTCGGGCGAGCATTGCTGCTATGGATGCTGTCAACACCCCCAAACTTCAGAGGGCCCAGGCGGCGGCCTACGCCTTGCCGCTCTCCATTCATCGCGATCCGAAATTTGTCGCTTATCAGCAGACCGTCGCCGTCTTGAATGCGACCGCCGAGGCCGCTTTCTTGGGTGGGACGCTTTGCAAGACGTGCAACGTCCTGAATCCCATTGACGCCATCGGAAGCGCGTTCGATGTCGTCGGACACGGCGCTCTGCTTGCCGCCCGCTCTTTGGATGTTCTCGCCACCTTCGGCGTATTTGGCGCCTCGGATGACGAGGTTATCATAGATGGAATCAATCAGTTGAGCGATCAGCTGAACAAATTTCAGGTTCAGATCAATGGACGCCTCGACATCATAGACGGCAAACTCAATACCATTTACACGACGATGAACGCGCAGTTCGGCGAGGTCAAAGATTACCTGGTTAACATCAACACGAATATAGTCGAGGTGCAGAATCAAGTTCGCGGGGTGCAGTTGCAGCTCAACACGGTCGAGTCCGACATCTACCGGCTGTCTGAGTTTATCTATAACTTCTCCAACGATTCGCAGCGCAACAGCACGGGACTGATTAGCTCCCTCGACGAGATAGACGGCATTTCGCGCAATGGCAGCGCCATTGATATCAACGAATATTCACGGCTGTATGGCATCGTGAAGAGTTACGCCCTTGTCAACAGCAAACAGACGGCGGAAGTAAGCGACTGGAACACCGGCAATCGTATCTACTCCGATTCTGCGCTGATTAACGAGCTGTCGCTGGGGCCCTTCCCGGAATGGAATATCAATTACATTCTGGAGTTCGCCCGCCGCAAATGGGAATTAACGCTCGGCCCGGCAAGCGGCGTCGCAAACCCTCGCGCCTGGGCGATGAGCGTTACGTCCATGATGCGCCTCGCGGCGGCAAAGCCCGACTTCTTTGCGCAGACGACCCTCAACGACGCCGCCAGCGCCGGGGACGGATTTTACGGAGCGCGCAGCGTAGGCAACGACATCCGGCAGGCCGTTGCCGATTGCGCCGTTCGATACAACCCCGCCACCTCGCACTACGAGAAAAGCCTGCTGTTCCGCAATCTGATGGATTTCCAGCAGACAAAGGCGACCGCGCTGAACGCCGCAATCACGGCTGTCGAAACTGCCGCCGGGGGAACGCTGGCGAATCAGGTGGCAGCGGTGCGAACGCAGTGGAACGCGCAGACCCCGACCGCGCAGGGAGCCGTTCTGCAAAACGCCGTCAAAGAGTTCGATGGTTCGCGCCGCCTGCTGGAAAAGTTCACGGAACTGGCGCTTTCCCGCTCTGTGGCGCAAAACACTTTCCTGTCCGGTTTTCTCTACAGCCCGCAGCGTCTGCCCGACCCGCTTGTCGTCAATAATCCCGCAGAGACCAATCCGGCAACGGCGCAGTCGCTCTATGGCAAGTACAACGGCGGAAGCGCCAATCCCAAAGATACGTTCAACACGCTTCAGTCCCAGCGCTGGATGGCAACCGATACCCTCCTCCAGTCCCTGCTCGATTTCACTGTCGCCAACACCACTAGTGACAACCCGGTCGGAGAGCCGCTGGCGGAGGTGGAAAACCTAATCCAGCGCTTCGGCTTCTTCACGCTCTCGCGCATCGCGGGAAGGGTGCAGCCTAAACCCGGTCAGGGCCAGTTCATTCCCGGCGAACCGATCTATATCACCTTCCGCAGCCGAACCTTTAGCCAGCCCACGCTCACGATTACGACGACGCTGGACAGCAACAACGCTTTCCTGATCGCCGTGCCTGCGGACGCCTACGACGTGCTGATCCGCACCGCTAAGTACCTTCAAAAAGGCGTTTACAATGTGGATGCCCGTAACGGAGGCATTGCGCTCAGCACCGGGCGCATTGACGTGCAGCTGACGGTCGGCGAGATTTACTTCGATAACCGCATTGACACTCGCGACCTCATTGCGCTGCGCAACGCCTGGATGAGTACGCCTGCCAGTCCGAACTGGAACCCGCTCGCCGACCTCAACAGCGATGGCGTCGTCAATCAGGCCGATCTCAACCTGCTTCGCTCTCCCGGCGTCTGGGGACAGGTCGGAGACCAGTAGATTAAGTGCCTCACCCCGCTCCTTCCCTCCTTGGAGAGAAGGAGCGGGAAAACACGAAAGGAAGAACTCTTGATGAACTTATATCGAACAGCCCTTCACGGAATAATAACGGGACTGCTGGCGTTTGTTCCGGTCGTATCGGGGGCGTAATCGCTCTTTCTCACCCCGCCGCACGAGCATATTGCCAACCGACCTTATAACGGAGTGGAAATGCTGACCATCAGTCTGGTGGTGGACGGCGGCATCGCCTCCTCCGTCGCTTGGGGACGACGATTACTTTAACAGATACCAGCACGCTCCAGTTTGCGCAAAACTTCGGGGGCACGGGCAAGCCGTTTCTGTCTACGACCCCGTTTTTCGATACCGACTTGAGCGATTCGTATAACGCCAACAGCGGAACCCTCTCGCTCAACTTTGCCAACTTCACGCCGGGCGCGACGCTGGGTAACAATGGCCCGGTCACGCTGGGGCAGTTCCAGGTGCTGGTGCTGAAAGAACCCAACTACCCCAGCGACGCCTCTTTTGGCGGTCGCATCACGCTGAATCCCACACTCGATGCGCCGCCCTTCGGCAGCGGAGTGTTCGATGAACTGGGCAACAACCTGATACTGGGCGCCTATGGCGCGACCATCACCTCCCGCCCGCCGACCCCCGAACCAGCCGCCTGGCTGACAATGGGGAGCGGGATCGGGATGGGACTGCTCTGGCTACGCCGTCGCCGATCCAACGGATGAAGGGTCGAATAGACAGACAGGGAAGTCTGTCCCGCAGTTTACTGACTATTGGCTATTCTTCGGGTGTTGAAGCGCCCGAAACCCGCAGAAAGGAACGCAAACCATGCGCCGTTTTCTACTTACCATTACTCTCCTCTGCCTACTATACGGTCAGGGCTTGCCTGCAAACGCGCAGGCAGTCGCCCCCCGCCCTGCTGAATTTTCAGGGACGCCTCGCCAAACCCGACGGGACGCCCGTCGCCGACGGCAGCTACTCTATCCAGTTCAGCCTCTACAACGCCGTGACGGGCGGCGCGCTGCGCTGGCAGCAGACCATCAACCCGGCAGCCGTCCGCAACGGATCGTTCGCGGCGCAGTTGAATGTCGGCGCGAACTTCCAAAACGGCGCCACGGCGGCGACCCTGTTTAATGGCAGCCTCTGGCTGGAGATCAAGGTCGGAACGGACGGGGCGCTCGCGCCCCGGCAGCAGCTGGCGAGCGTGGCCTACGCTCTGAAAGCCGGAAGCGTGCCGGACGGCAGCATTACCGCCGCGAAACTCGCTCCCGGCGTCGGCGGCGCGAACGGCGCGGCGGGCGGCGACCTGACTGGAACCTACCCGAACCCGCTTCTGGCAACCCTGACTTCCAGCCTGTACAAAGTCTCTGGAACGCTGTTGTCCGCGCTTCAAGGCGGCGTCGCGGGGGTGGATGTCGCGCAGACCGCCATCACGGCGCAGAATCAGGACGAAGCGTGGCAGTCGTTCACCCCGACTCAGAGCGGCAGCCTGACGGCGCTCGATCTTTATATAGGCACCACAACCGGGATAAACAAGACGATTCCGCTGACAATCTATTCGGGCGAAGGCACGACAGGCGGCGTCCTACGGCAGGTTTCGGTGACGATAACGCCGCCTATGGGCTTTCAGAACCTCACGATTTCGCCTCCCGTCGCGCTGACCGGCGGGCAGAAATACACCTACTATATCGGGCGCAGTTCCAGCCTTCAGTTCGGTTATGCCAGCAGCGATCCCTATTCGGGCGGCACGTCCGACATCGGCGCGCCCATAGATTACGCCTTCCGCACGTACATGAACACCGGGGCGAGCGGGCGCGTGAATGTCAATGGCGATTTCACAACTAGCGGTTTTCTGGGCATCGGCGGCAGTAAAGTCCTCGAATTCGGCTTTGGCGTCGCGGGCAAAGAGCCGAACGCGGGCAAGATCGGCTATCAGGCGTTCACGGTGGACGCGCTCGATATCTTCGGCGCGGGGCCAGACACTACGAGCCGCAAGATCAAGTTTTGGAATGAAGGCGGCGCGGCCTTTACCGGCCCGATTCAGGCGGCAGCCGGAAGCGAGCTGTTTTTCGCGGACAACGGGCAGATTCGCAGTTTTGACAACAACCATCGGATTATATTCAACCGGGCCGGGAATCAAATGGAGATGCGAGAGTTCGGCGATCTACTCTTCTCGCCCGGCGCGACGGTGAAGGTGATAATGCAGGCAGGCGGCAACGTCGGCATCGGCACGATCACTCCGGGGGCGAAACTGGATGTCAACGGGAACATCAACAGCGCGAACGCCATCACGGCGAATTCTATCACCGCCAGCACGATCACCGCAACCGGCGCCCTTAACGCCGGTTCCATCACCTCCGGTTCGCTCAGCGTTTCGGGCGGCATCACTGCCGGGGGGCCGTGACCTATGGAAATGTTGTCACGGTCTCCAACAGCGGGGCGGATGGAGCGATAGGCGCGGCGGCGACGGTGGACGCGACCTCCACTATCCTGATCAATCAAACTGCGGCGTTTCGCTCGCTGACTCTTCCCAACCCCACCAATACCACGCCGGGGCGGACGGTGCGCATCGTAAACACGGGGAGCGCGAAATTCCAGGTTCAATCGGCGGTTCTCATCGCGCCTCAAATGTCAATGTCGTTCCTCTGGACGGGCAGCGCCTGGGTTCCCGATACAAACCAGAAGCGGGTGCTGACCGGCACGGTAACTATCGGAGATATAGGAGCAACATCGACTGGTTCTTTGCCATTCACAGGCGATTTCCAGAGCGTAACTTCTAACCACGTTACGACGCATATCACACTGGGATGGGGTTTGCCCAACTACGCTGTGGTGGTATCCGCTTTTACCACGGATGGAAACAACTTCAATGACACAGCCGGTATGAAATATCCGATAACCGGCAACGCCACCTCCGCGGCTTTCGACCTCTACATAGCCGAGAATTACGGTGTCCAGACTCTGCTCGTAAAGATCATGGTCATCGAACTGTAACAAGAGCGATTCAAGGAACGGCTTCGATCTCACTATCGGTTTTATCGAAGCCGTTCTGGTTCTGCGCGGCGGCTTTGACTGGCAGCGCGATCTTACGGGGATAAACGTCGCGAGGACAAACAATCCGCGATACAAAAAAGTTGATCCTTACCTTGTAGACATCACCCATAGGTCATCCGCCTCAGAAACTCAATAGGTCGGCTCAGGTAGGCCGGGAATGTGGGGCTTATTATGTTTTCCGCTCTATGTATACTAATGTCTGCTTAAAAATCAAGGTCTACTTGATGCCATATATCAGGCAGGCCTTGATTAGTTCGTGGCACGCACTTTCCCCTCGCAAGTAAAAATGATAGGCCGCAGGATCATCAGGTTCTGCGGCCTGTTGTTCTTTGCTTCCAAGTTTCCGAAGCGTAATTTGCTGCTGGTATCGAACCAGTTTGTCTGCTGGGCCGTTTTGCGTATCCAGCCAACGATAAATGACTTTTCGAAAGGCCTGAAAAGCGGGGCAAAGGTCATTATGCTGCAAAGAGTACGAAACCTATGGGAACAAGCGGCTATAATTTAGACAGAGCGGGTGGCAGGCATCACCCTCCATGGCTTGGGGCGAGAACCCGGAATCGGCGTGGCAAAGAGGAAGCGGGGGCGAGCGTAAAGCCGCGAAGAGCGCGAGCTAAAGCAAAGTGAAACATGAGAAAGGTTCCTTTCAGGCAAGCGCAGCTGGCGCAGGATCGGGTTGAATGGGCAATGCGGAAGCGTCTGGATGCCTCATAGATGTCTCTTGCAATAAATATTACAAGGGTGATAAAAAACTAAAATTAAGCCAAGTATTTTTTTCGTAAAGTGCTCGGAATTCTCGCCTCATCCCCGCTACGCTCATTGCTGGAAGAAAAATTTATTTCCCTCTCTCAGATCTGAAATGAAATCGCTCCGCCTCCGTCCCAACATCATCGCCCTGTCAAGTGGCGGCGGGCCTCACTGTGCAGAACGCCATTGCGCGTCAGACCGTCTATCCACAATGCGGCGGCGCAGAGGGGCAACCGCGCCGCCAGATGCCGCCGTGTTTCAGGGTGTCGCGGAGACGTTCGCGGGTTCCTGTAGCGTGTTTGGAAGGTCGGGCATATAGCGTGGGGCGGCGTTCCACAACGCGATAACCGGCGTTTCGACGTGGTGCAGGCCGTAGCCGAGGATACTGAGCGACGCGGTGCCGAGTGGGAAATGTTGCGCCACCATCAAAGGCAGACCAATCCAACGCGCCGCCAGAACGCCCCCGAAATGACCGTGCGAGAAGAGCGCGATATTTCCTTCCAGACTGCGCAGGCGAGCGATAAGCCGGTCGGCGCGGTCAGATACCTGCGCGGGCGATTCCCCGCGTGGACTGCCATCCCGAAACAAGTCCCAATGCGGCTGCTCCCGGAGTATATCCGCCGTTATCCGCCCCTCGTAATCGCCGTAATCCCATTCCGCCAAATCCGGTTCGATTGTGGCAGCGCTGTCGGGCAGGGCCAATGCCCGCGTTCGCTGGGCCCGCTGCCGGGGACTGACCAGTATCGAATCAAAGGGAATATCGCGCAGGAGACTTATCAGCGCCCGCGCCTCGTCCTCGCCTTTCGCAGTTAATGGGATGTCCGCAAGGCCGGTGTGCTGCCCGGTAAGCGACCACGCCGTCTCGCCATGCCGGACAAGGTAAAGGCGCAGGAGTCGCGTCTTCGGCTGTCCCGCCGCATTACCCGCGTCCAGCGTTCTCGATAGAGCCGCTGTATTTTGCGCGTCCATTAGAAATTTATCCCCTTCCCATTGCGAATTTTGGCCCAATCTTCGCCGCGTTCGACAAGACAACATTCCGGCGCGATGCGTTTGTCCCGCCCCTGCAGTTTCAGAAAGGCCCTGCGAATTTTAGATTCGGCAGGCGGCTCGCTGCGTCCT